CCCCTTTGTGTTTTCCTTCCCTACCTTTTAATAAATTCCACTTACACCCACATGTCCTGCCATGGGTTCTTCCCTGCGGGATAAGAATTTGGAAGTCTTCTGATCACAGACTAAACTGGCACTGTTAACAAAGGGGCATCTTCCTGGTTCACACCAACCTCATGGAGCTCAAATTCTAAGGTTTGAGTGATTTTTGTCTTCAAATTCTAGAAGTGTTTTATATCTCCTCTTATTGATTATAAAGAACCCTATGAGTGATACAGTCTTGCCAACCATACAGGTAAGCTTGTCAACAACTTAGAGCCAGCTGACAAAGACATGCAATTTATGGGACGTGTGTATCTGGAATCCTAATTAATTTAGGGCCTTACAGAAGGTCAGTTCTTTTGTGAAACCCTGGATGTCACCCCCCAAGCAAGGCTTCTCCCTTTGTGTACTTCTTTGGACATTGTGCATATCCTACCCCAAAGAACCAGGAGCTCCCGGCAGCAGGGACCATACATAATTTCATCTCTGAATGCTTAGACCCTCATACAATGCCTGGCACAGAATTGGGACCCAATAAATATTTCCTGAAAGAGTGATTTGATTTAGATGATACCTGCAGCTATAGTATGTAACTAAAAATTGTTTAAATTATTCTTAACTGTAGGAAAGTTAGAAAACACAAAAATAGCACACAGAAAAGTTACATGTCTCATCCTTGAGAAATAACCACTAACCTTTTGATATATTTCATTTGTTCTTATGCATATTTAAACCATTTAATCTGAATCATTCTAATCCTGTTTTTACAGTTGTGTTTGTGTACTTCCTTATGTGATTATTCTTCAGTAATATTATTTAATAGGTGTGTATTATTATAGGATATAATACAACATTTCCTACACAAAATTAAAGGCATTTGTAAAACAGTAAGGATGACCTAGTGATCTACCAAGTTGACCTGATGTCTTGACATGGCATGCTCTTTGGCAACTGGAAATAAAGTGGAAGGCAAGTTCAGTAATAGAACTATTACTGGCTATAGAGCCGAGCCCTAGTGGCTCACACCTTTAATACTAGCTACCCAGAAGGCAGAGATCAGGAGGGTCTCAGTTCAAACCAGCCCAGGCAAATAGTTACAAGACCCTATCTTGAAAAATAATCATCACAAAAAAGCACTGGTGGAGTGGCTCAAGCAGCAAGAGCATCTGCCTACTAAGCATGAGACCCTGAATTAAAATCCCAGTGCCACCAAAAAAGAGAGACAGAGAGAGAAAGAACTATAACCTTAAGTGCAAGAAAGTCCTTGGTATAATTAATACATTCAACAGAAACAGAATCCAACTCAATTCACTACCAGATGCTACTCCCTAAAATTCCACCAGGTGGCAGAACAGGCTATATGATAGCAGCGGTTTTCAACTTCAGAGGGCATTACAACCACCCGTGGGTTTCAACCCCAGAGTTTGATTCATTAGGCCTGACAATAATTTGTATTTTTAAGTCTTCCAGGTAATGCTGATGTGCTAGAAGGGAACCAAACTTGGAGAACACTGGATTACAGGAACCAACGTAGACTAACCCAAGGCCCATCCCCTCCTACAACTTTGTAACAGAACCAGGCACAATAAGCACACAGAATAAGACAAGGCTCTTGTTCTTCAGACATAGTCTAGTGGAGGAGAAAATGGGAAATGGGAAAACAAACACAATATATTACTTTTACCTCTCCATTTCTTCTAATACAAGACTTCCTAAGTGTTAATTTTTTTCTTTTGTCTTTCTGATTCCCTCTCCAAATAGAGTTCAAGCCTTGTGCCCTTAAAGCTTGAGTGATCAACTAGCTCAAGAGTCACCTTACATGGCTAACTCTGCTGACCTAACAAACTCAGGAATGTTTGCTATCCTGTGTAAACTTTTGGATGGAAAATCTCCTCTTGGGCTGGTGGAGTGGGTCAAGCAACAGAGTACCTGCCTAGCAAGTATGAGGTCCTGAGTTCAAACTCCAGTACTGCAAAAAGAAAAAAGAAAACCTCTGAATTTAGACAGGCCTAAAATAGAAAAGCACAGGACAGCCCTCCCTGACTCTGCATTAATGAGTTAAAAAAAAAAAAAAAAAACAGGATTACTATTTTCTGGGAATTTGAGCTTAGTTGCTTTTTGGGTTAATTCCTCATTTTGAATTTTAATAAATATTTAAGTTAATTGGGGGGAACAATCCTTTGAGATTTATGATTGCCTATGTTTTCCTTTCAATATTATTGGTCACCTATGATGTCTTCATGAGAAGAGTGTAAACTAAAAATAGTTACACTATATATCCAATATTGTCATCTAGCTCTCTCCTTAATATCTGGTCTTATTAGACCTACATTAACATACACTGCAGAATCTGTGACATATCACAGAAATTAATGGTATGTAAGTAGCAACCAATAGGTTTGCTTACTTGACACAAATTCTTTTTATGTAATGAAAGAAAACCTTAATGTACGCCTTAGGTTGAGTTATTGTTTCTAAATTAGTGACCTCTAGGCTACTGAAATCTTATTCATGACCATAATTTGTCTCATAAGTCTGTGAAGGTGTAACAAAATGTTTTCACAAGTATTTGAAAATGTAATAAAAATAAATGGGTAAAAGATGCAGATAGAATTCAAAATGTAAATAAGCACACATAAACATGCCTGTCTCACATGTTAAATGTCAGTTAAAGCAAACCTTGAGGTATCTCCTTTATACCTATTTGATTGGCAGACATGTTTAAAATAACCACTCAAAACCACTCAAAAAATATTGTGGTAAAACCTATATTCTGATCCAGAATTATAAGAACATAAATCAATTTAACCCCCTTGGAAAGCCACATGCTAAAGATAAGGCAAAGGCCATAGAATATTCCTTTTGAAACACAGAGGAGGTTTCTGGATTCCTACCTATTTGATTGGCAGACATGTTTAAAATAACCACTCAAAACCACTCAAAAAATATTGTGGTAAAACCTATATTCTGATCCAGAATTATAAGAACATAAATCAATTTAACCCCCTTGGAAAGCCACATGCTAAAGATAAGGCAAAGGCCATAGAATATTCCTTTTGAAACACAGAGGAGGTTTCTGGATTCCAGAAATGTTTTTTTTGTTTGTTTTGTGGTTTTGGTGGGACTGGGGTTTAAACTGCTTTTGGTTTTATTTTATTTTTTGTGGTACTGGGGTTTGAACTCAGGGCCTCACGCTTGCTATGTAGGTGTTCTACCAATTGAGCCACTCTGCCAGTCCTGTTTTTAAGACAGGAAGGATCTCACTATGTAGACCAGGCTGGCCTTGAACTTGGGAATCCTCCTGCCTCTGCTTCTGCCAAATGCACACCATCATGCTTGAGAGAAGTGTTCTTTAGATTTGGGCAGTGGGCAGACAGGTGACCTATCTATTGAACTATTAGATAAAACTTTTTATTCACTCTCCATATTTGTAACATTAAAAATGTTTTAAAATATTTCTTTGCTTTTACCAATTAATTTTCTACCCAAGGAACTGTACGAAAAGTTCTCTGTAGCACTATCTAAACAGCAAAACTGAGAACTAGCTAATTATCTACCAAAACAGGAATGATTTAGCAAATTACAGTAATAAAGGAATATTGCAAAGTATTATGGCAAGTGTAAAGACTTAAAGCGCATTTCTGACAGCACACTACAAAACAATAATCTGCAGTCATATAAATCTACTCACAGATGCATAAGGATTAGAGTATTAAAAACTGTTAACAATGAAGGAGCTCTGGGTAATTTTTCCCAGTAAGTTTTTATTAGATGATCTTTTCCACAAACAGAGCATGTGGTTAAAATGCAAAGGACAGGAACATCCTACTGACAATGACTACTCATGTCTAATCACAATGTGATCATCAAATATTCTGCTCAACTGTACTTAGTACACACTGGATGTTTATAGGATGTAGCAGAACAGGGAAGTATGACAGGCAAAAAGCTGTCTGGAATTGTTTTCTCATTTTGCTTGTGGCATTTTATTCCTAATTTTCAATGCTCTGAAATTCCCACAAGTTACTTTTCTTTTAGTTTGCATGGTTCTTAAAATAATTCATAGAATTTATTAAACTGTCAAGAACTTACCAACATCATGGAGTTCCTATGCTGAAGCTTACAATGTTGATGGGGATACATGGTATTCACTGAATTTTATTTGTGGATCAAAGGTGAAAGTTAATAGCTTGTCAACTATGAACAGAATTGTGTAATTTATTGCCAAATGAGTTGACAAAAATGCCTGGTCAGGTAGAGTGGGGGATGGTGGTCAGCAGAGGCTTTTCAGATAGAGGGAGGCTAATAGGATTCTTAAGCCTAGCCCTAGAAAGGACCATGGAGGACTTTCCACAAGATGAGGAGAGAGAATAAGTTCCAAATACAAGGGTGGGAACAGAAAGACAGCAAGCTGTTTGCTGGGAGAGATGTGATGGGCTCCACTTCAGGTTAAGAAATCCTGCTGGTAACAGGAGCTCAGAGGAGTGGTTGGCGAGATCCCTGTAAGCAGAGAATAAGGCACAGGTGGTGTGGAAGGTGCACACAGGTGGTGAAGGGAAGGTAGCAGTCCAGGTTTGAAGGGATCGGGAGAGAATGGAAAGGTAAACAAGGAAGAGTGGGGAAAAATCAGGCCTGTGGGGTTGGAAAATCAGGGCTTCAATCTCATCACTTGTTATTCCTCTAAGCAATTAATCACATCCCCATGCCTCAGCTTTCTCATCTGTGAGACAAAAATGACAATCTTTCCTGCACTGGTGCTGTTGGGAGATCAAAGGCACAGAACCATGTTAAGCAAATGACAAGGAGCCCTACAAATTAAGAATAGACCCACTCAGGAATGTGCTCGAGCTGGCAGAATGGCTTAACTGGTAAAGTGCCTGCCTAGCAAGGGGGAGCCTTGAGTTCAAACTCCAGTGCCACAATTAAAAAAAAAAAAAAAGAAGGGATAAGCTGGATACAGAAGCGCAAAAGGGAGGAAGATAATCCCATGATGGAACCTGCAAAATCCTACTTTCCCCTCCACTTACATCTAATCATGAAGGCTATCAAAACTCCTTCCTTGTATATTACTTTTAAATTTACTGCAGAAATTGTTCTGTTGAGCTTACACTTGAGAACACGCAGAGAAAAGAACAGAACAACTTTACATCACAGAAAGCACAGTTCCATTTCGAAAAACACATTCTAAACACGTCCATCTTTTTCTTTTTTCTTTTTCAGAGATGGGATCAAATCTAGGGCCACATTCATGATAGGCAAGAGCTCTACTACTCAGCTACACTCTTGGCCCAAAACACTCATTTTTCAAAGGTCCACTGAAGGGAAAGCAAGAAAAGTCTTAACCATAAAATGTATTTTTAAGGAAATGCAGTTTTATTATTTTCAAGTACAGATAACTTGGACTTGGCTAACCAAATGTCGCCTAATTTAGGGAACCGGCTTTCATGTATAGATGTTGATTTATAGTTAGCACAATCACTTGTAGATAAAAGAATGATTCTATGATGCATGAAAATAACTTCTCATTTTGTCAAGTTCCACAATCGCCTAAGTAATCCTTTCTTCCCCCACCCCGCACAGTTCATACATGAACTTCACCTCATTCCCTCTAGATCACAATGTACATCAAATTGCTGAGACATGAGTCAATGAAATTTTTTATATTACTATAGATGTTGAGTTAGTGAGAAATCAGCCTTTCAACCTGAGTGTTCTCATCAAGAGTACTTAACTCTAAATTTGTGAAATCTGTCTGTTCACTGTATAAGAACAACAAAAAATTGTAAGCTTTTGTCTTCTGGATTAATCATTTGCCAGGTTTAAATATGCAAAATCATTTCTATTTGGGCACATTTAAGAAGGAAAGAAGTTAGATTTTGTAGGCTGTGGAATTACATCGGTCAGGACTGAAACATCAGCTTGAAGCAACTGAACCACTTGGGAGAGATAAAATACACTGAAGCAAAACACCATTTGCACTGAATGTGGTCATTCAGCCCAAGGTGACTGAATGGAGTGGTGCAAACACTAGCCAGTAATTTATTGGAAGATTTATTCTGAAAAGATTTCATTTTCTCAAGGCAGGCACGGAAATCTCTGGTCAGAGACACTTCCAAAAATGGCTGGTGGGTGTTTTGTCAAGAAGGCCAACCTATTCTTTTCATCAGGTTTTCTGTCTGGGAATTGCACAATTTAAGAGCATCTTGGTTGTCTTTATCATCTTGGCAAAAGCACCAGCATTATCAGGTAGGAAAGCTGCGTCAAGTAGACAGGCCTAAAGGGCTTCTCCCCTACCCTGATAATGCTGTCTCCAAAGGCAAAGGATCAGTGTACCATACCTCTGACTGCAGCTGTGAGCAACAACTGGGTTCTACTTACTTTCCCATAGACAAAAGTAAGTGGTCCATACACCAAGTCTGGAGGAAGAGACACAGAAAGCTGTAAGAGTGATAGTGGGGAGATTCATTCCTAGGCTCCCAAGAAACCAGCACAATCCTAACTTCAAGGAGCTGGCTGAGTTTGGCCAAAGCAATGGTGTAGAGCCAGGCTCCACCATTACTGCTTCTGTTAGCTCAGAATTCCTAGCCTAAAATTTCTCTATAAATTAGCCTATAAATCTCTCTTTTTTTCTTGCAGTACTAGGGTTTAAATTCAGGGCCTTGCATTTGCTAGGCAGGTAATTCTGCCACTTGAGTCATGCCCCAGCCCTAAAATTTCTTAATGTCTGTAATAACACTATTTCCAAAGGAATTTTCTTTTCTCCTTTACAAATGCAATGTAGTAATCATTCTTCTGTTAGCAAATATTAGAATGATTATACAATCTTCAAATTTTACTAAGCATTTTCAATGGCCAGAACTGAGCAATTTTTAAACTATGAAAAATGAAGTCCAAACCTTAAGAGTTTAATAGAGAATACTTTCCACGTTCTGCTTTTGAAGAGTTATCTGATACATGTATCTTCCTATAGAACTTCCTCAAAGTCCTGTCCTGCCACTGGAGGGTATTTCTTCTCATGTCTCTGGCAGGTCTAAAGGGGTCAGGTTAGGGCCAGATTTGACAATGCTTACTACTTTAAATAATGGAGCTTGAGGAAAATACCTTTCAATGGAATGGGAACAAAGTCCACTAAAATCCTGGTGCCCACTCAGCTCTCCTCCACTCCTGTACTCCCCTTGAACACGAAGTTGTTATTGTACCCTTTATGAACCTAAGAGAAGCCAAACTGCCATAAGGACACGTGACAATGTCACCCAAGAAATTCAATCCTCAGAAAAAAGGGTAAGGTCTATTCCCTCGTAACTTAGATATTTTTCCAGAAATGATAACATTCACAAAGAATCAAAGCAATTTCCTTGTCTCTGAGCAAAGGAATAGGAAGTCAATGTGTGCACAAAATGGCTTCTAACCCAATGAAAGGAGCCTAAGGAACTACAACTTTAGCTTGCCCTGCCTATTTCTCTCTTCGACTCCATCATTTTGCTTTATTTTGTAAAAAAAATGATGAGCTGACTTTCCAATTTTTATAAAAGCTGGTGGTTGTATGAATAAATCCAGCACCTCTGAAGTAATTACATAAAATGCTCAGGTGAAATAAAGGTATTTATAGGAAAGACTCAAGGTTAGGACTCTAATCACTGTTTCAAGTACTGCTGTCAAAATCCAGCCATGTCACCTTGATGATATTTTGTGTTCACCACTGAAAACTGAAAAGGGACATGTGAGTTTCAAGTTTGTCATATTTCATAAAACTTTTCCCACAAATTACTATAATGACCTGCCCTTTGAAACTAATGATAGATCTGAATGTGAGGTGGGAGATTAGTAATCTCAATTATGCATCCAAATTGACTGAAAATGAGTTTTCCATTTATCACCATCATTGCCTAGTCTCTAGGGACCCCTGCAAAAGATTCCAATTGTAATTCTGGTTTCTCGTGTAGGTGAACCAAAAAACAGTTCATGCACACAACTCAATGTGACAAAGATTAAATACAGATTTGGGGGATTGAGAAAAATAATTATTCTTTCATCTAATCCCTGTGGAGTTTCGACATGACTACTAACCGAACCTGTCCTTGAAACAAACCAGTGATTCTCTATTAACTTTCAGCCTTCTGAAGTCCAGTCATACTCTACGTTAATGCAGATTCTAGAGTTCACATCATTCTCACTTCTGCCATGAACCATGTGTCCCATCTGTTAAATGATATGCTTTATATTGGAGGCAGCAAGGAGTAAAGTACATTCCCTGGCAGAGGCTTTCACTAAAGTTCATTTTCAAACTATTTTCCTGTTGGGTCTGTGAATGAAAAGTGCCATCCCCTTACTCCCTTGCTACCACAAGGGAACAGCTTCTGCTGCTCACTCCACTTTCTCATTAAATGTTTGTGATAACTATGCTAAATACTTCCACTGCTGAACCCCTGAATTACCTGACTTTAGAATGAGAGGGTAGAGGATACCAACTGACAGCACATAAACATCTTATTTTAGACATCTCTACTCATTTGTTAACATTTTCAAAATCAGGAGATTTCAAAAATCTGTATTTCTAGCTCCCTGTGGAAAAAAATCAGATCTACCAACACTGAGTTTGTTTCTGCTAATGATAAAACAGCTAGAGCTGAGTGGATGTCCTGTTTGTTACATGTACTTTCCAGGGTTCCATACAATCCTACTGTTTGTTACCTGTAAGCCATATAGGTAACAAATTCTATTAATTTGTTAATTCTATTAATTTGTTACCTGTATGGCTTACAAAGGCATTTGAGTGTGTAAACCCTAATCCAGGATGATTTCCTTATTTTAAAAATGAGGAAAATGAGGATCTAAGGAGGGAAAGGTCACATTAGAGGCAAAGGAGGAAGATGGGTCAGGCTCAGCTTTCATTCCTTCCCACGAAGCACACAGCCTCCCTACAGAACCCTGACTTCTAACTGCATCTCCTCCACCAATAATTTACATTTCCTAAGTGGAATTTCTTATATTTTCTATATTCCTCTTTCATTCATCATTTTCATATAATTGATTTCCTTATAGATAATAACTTTGTATCAGAGATTTCATTAAGTATTATCCCCAAACAAGAAACAACAAATCAGTGGTGGGACAAAACTTCAGTTTCAACTTTTGTACACTTCATTGGATGCAGGACTTGAAGGAATTTTAGTTGAATGCTGCCTGCACAGACAAGGAAACTGGGGCCCAGAGAAGTGATACGCCTGAGGGCATAGAGTTCCTAAGTAATAAATGGTCACCAATCTTCTAGCTCAGTGTTCCTTCTACTACTTCATGTTACCTCTTCAGTTACCCAGATTGGAGGACCAACTTTCTCCACATGGAAACAAAAACTACATAAACCCCCCTCACATCATACGCACAGTTAATCTTGACCCTGCCAAGAACTAACAATCAATTGATAGAATTTGACTTTCACTGGAAGACAGACTTTCTATAGTATTGGGATTTGGTGGGAAGTTCATGAATGTCACAGGACTCTGTGGTCTTTGTAACACTGGCTCTGATAACAGCTAAGCCCCATGTGACAGAAACTGCTATAACAACATCATAGCACCTTTGCTTCAACTTTAAATGAAAAAAGGCTATGGTAAAAAGCTTTAATAACAGATTCAATATGATTTTATAGGCAACCAATTAGCAGATTAATTAATCATTTAGCCTCCTTTAGTTAAAACCAATATTCCACTCAAGAAAGATGAATCCAAAATGCATCCTCTTATACTGACCAACATAAATACAAATGAAGTCAATGGTGTACCCCATTAGCATGCTGCACTGTATGTCAATAAAACAAACCCTCCCCCGCCCCAAACCCTGGCCCCTGGCAAACATAGATAAATGATTGTGCACTGCGTGACGATACCATTAGGTGAGAACTTTGGTTCATGCAGTTGGCTGCCACAAGGTTGCACCCAAAACCCGCAGCCCTGGCACCCAAAGTCAATCAGCGGTTGTGGCTTGTGGCATCAGCCATGCTCCTTCCACAACACTAGGTGAATACTGTGGTCAGGCATGCTGGTGGCAAAGACCAAGCCCGTGTCATTGTGCCCGTCCAGTCCATTCAGCCAGGATGCTTCGCCTGCCAGGAAGCTGGAGCCTCTCTTTGATTTCCTGTACTCTGGCAGAGGCCAGCGGCTTATCAGGCTCTCTGTCCGCAAGTCCATGATGTACAGGTAGCGGTTGTCAAACAGCAGAGCAAAGACTTCTCCAAAGCCAAGCAAGGCCAAGTTTGCTATCTCAGGAGTCTTGATGACCCTACAATGATGAGAATTAGCAATCATAAAGCAGAAAGCAACTTTGCTTCTGTTTAATTTACTGACATCTTTTTTGGATACATTTAAAACAGTACAAAATCCAAGCAAATTTAGATTAAGTGAAAGTTATTGATAAAAAGGAAAAGGACAAAGCCCACTTATAAAAAGTAGAGAGAGGAAACCTTTCATTCTGACTGGCATACAGAGGAAAGGGTTTAATGAAAGTTTATAAAACTTCAAAACATCCATCTATTCTAAGAAAGAATCTTACAGATTACCTAATTTATCATCTTTATTTTGAAGATGTGAGAACTTAAGCATAGGGTAAATACTTTGGCTAAGGTTTCACAATCTGTTAGTTACCAGTTAAAAGTAGAATGCAGGACTGGAAGTCTGGTTCTAGCAAGCAGAGTGCCTGCCTAGCAAGCGCAACGCCTTGAGTCTAACACCCAGTACTGACAAAAAAAAAAAGAATCCAAGAGCCAGCACCACGCCTGTAATTTTAGATACTCAGGAGGTAGAGATAAGGAGGATCACAGTTCGAAGCCAGGCCAGGCAAACGGTTTGTAGACCCTATCTCGAAAAAACCTATTATTAAAAAAAAAGAGCTGGCGGAGTCAGAATGGCTCAAGCGGTAAGAGCACCTATCTAACCAAGCATTACCAAGCGTGAGGCCTTGAGTTAAAAAACCCCAGTGCCATTCAACAGTAATAATAATAATAATGATGCAAGAGTCAACTCCTACCACTCAGTAAAAAATCTTATTCATCAAATCCTGGAACACCGGAACATCCTGAAGTCTAGAACAAACCCAAAATTAGCGTTACTCTACTTAAGTTAGCAAACAAATGAGTTTCTTTTTAAAAACAGATGCTGATATATTAAAAGCTTCCAAAATAATTTAGAAGCATTTGTTAATAACACATTCATAAGCAGTTGTTAAAGGAAAACTTGGGGAGTTGGGAGGGCAGCACCAACTTTCACAGGATGGCAGTTTTCAAACATCAATGGCAAAGGCACAAAAAAGAGAGAGACCTAATTAAATAGCACAAATGAAAAAGAAGTAAGTTTCTGTTGGGTACACCCTTAATGAAACTAGTAAAGCAAAAAGCTGACAAGAAAAGTTGATGTCTTCTTTGGGGAAAGTAGAAAAAAAACTATGAAACAATAATGCTCTGTGACAATATGATTGGGCTCCTGGGAAAAGGGTGTTTAGCTTACATGTTAAAAGACACTACCAGACTAGTGTATGTCCAACATGCCAAGCAGAATGGGGAGGGCCTATAACCAGGACAACTAAAGACAAGTTAAGAACAGCTGAAGGACATTAGCTGACAGGAAAAGAAAAAGAACATCAGGGACAGGAAAAGTAACCATCATTACCTCTAAACAGTGAAGAATACTTAAGAGAGAAGACAGATAATACAAGCTCGATAAAACAGAACTAGATTCAAAGGAAAGAGTTATAAAGTAGATTTCAGTTTGGTATTGGAAAGGGAGGGGGCATCTAATGTTTTATCTAGAATTTACCATGTGCCAGGCATAGAAATTCAAAATTAACATGTTATCTCAATCCTCACAATGAAGTGGGGTAAAGTACCATCTTTACTGTACTAGTAAATAAACATAGGGTAAGAGTAAAATCTTGCCATTGGTCACACAGTTAATATCACACAGAGCTACAAGTGAGCCCAAATCTGATCCAGAACCTATACACTTTTCTCTACATTCAGCTCTTTCCTAAGAGGAAGGGAATGGGCGTCTCCAGTCATAGTGTACAACGCTTTTTGCATTTTTTTTTTTTTTGGTGGGACTGAGTTTGAACTCAGGGCTTCATGCTTACAAAGCAGGTGCTCTACCAGTCCACTCTTCTCTGGTTATTTTGGAGATGGGGTCTTGTGGATTATTTTCCTGGGTTGGCCTCAAACTGCTATCCTTCCAATCTTAGCCTCCCAAGTAGCTAGGATTACAGGCGTGAGCCATCAGCGCCCAAAGTAAACAACCCTTGAATGAATGGCTGAGGGCACAAATGAGTGAATTTCAACTAAACAGATATGTTCCAAGTGTCAGATATACCTGGGTGATAACTGGATCCCTGAAAAGCAATGAGTAAACAGTGTTTGTCCCTTAGAATAGAGAAGGCATGGCATGTAACTGCCAGAAAATGTAAGAATAGGCTTAGCACAAACACTGCAATAAGTATAATGGGATGAATATAGTGTAAAATACATAAGGGAGGGGTGAGGATAGGTAAGACACCTAAAAAATTAGTATTTATAGTCCTCAACACAGAGAAACTAAAGCAGATACCTTAAAAGCAACTGAGGCCAAGAGGAGAAGGGGACCAGGAACTACAGAAAAGGTTAGATCAAAAAGAATTAACCTAGAAGGTAACACACACACACAGGAAATTAATGTGAGTCAACTCCCTGTATAGCTATCCTTGTCTCAACCAGCAAAAACACTTGTTCCTTCCTATTATTGCTTACACTCTCTTCAACAAAATTAGAGATAAGGGCAAAATAGTTTCTGCCGGGTATTGGGAGGGGGGGAGCGGGAGGGGGCGGAGTGGGTGGTGAGGGAGGGGGTGGGGGCAGGGGGGAGAAATGACCCAAGCCTTGTATGCACATATGAATAATAAAACAATAAAAAAATATATAGTGTAAAATATAATGGGATGAATATAGTGTGAGTATGAAGGACTGAGCAAGTCATTCTACCTTTTATGAGCTGGACCTGGAAGACTATCTTTTTTTTTCCCCCTGAGGAAAAAATGGAACTGGGTATTACAGATTAAGAGAATACTAAAGGCCTCTGTAAATTTTACAAATCCTCTCTCAGACATGTGTTTTTCTTATAATTGATAATCTGTGGTTTAAAAAAAAGAAGTTCTATAATATTAAGACTTTCCATAGGGGCAACACTTCTACGAAATTAAGAAGTATTGGTCTGTCCTTTGTCAGAAAAGATCAGAGAATGAGCTCATTTTCCTTGATTAAAAATGGAATGAACTGCTGCTAAAAGAGGTAACCATTTAGATGGATATGTTCAAGAACAGCATTTATCCAAAATCAATTACTAAAAACTCCCTATGGCATAACCCTTCATAAACAGGTCTACAATATGGAATGAGATCCAAAGAAAAGTAGTGAGGATTAACCACTACTTTTTTTTTACTTGAGGATTAACCTCAAGTAAAGAGGAAACAGAAATTCTAACCAGTATGTTCCAATAGTTATATAACCAATAACTCATACATTTCTCATATGGATGACCCATGTTCACTCACTTAACAAATATTTATTGAGAACACACAGTGTGCGAGCCACTGTTGGAACCAGGATTAAGTAGAGAACAAGATAAAGTTCTTCACACACAAAACTGACTGTATTAGCTAAAGCAATTTCTCTACATCCTCACTTGCTTATTCACCCAATTGCTCAAGCAAGAAACATGGCAACCAGGTATCTACATCTCCTCCTCACTGAAATCACAGATTCAATCACCAAGCTCTACTGACTTTACCTTCTAAACTTTCTCTAATGTATTCATTATCATCTCCATTATCACAGCTCTTGTCCATCTTGTAGTATGGCAAGAGCTTTCTATTGTTCTCTTTCCATCTATTCTTAGCCCCTTTCAATTAGTTACTATCACACTAAAATCTGATTCTGTTATCACCTTAAACTTTTAAACCCTTTGATGGCTCCTTACTGCTCCCCATCTCCAACCATACTTCTCAAATAGACCAGTCTCTCAGTCTTTAATATTCCTTACTACACACTCTTTACTGGCACTTAGTTAAAGTGTATATACCTATTCTTTAGAGTTCAACTCAAGGATCTCTTCCTCAAGTAAGTACTGTATTATGTTCCTTCTAGTCTAATCATTAAATTTTTTTATGTAATTAGCTTTTTTATTTTCTTGTGGTACCAGGGATTGAACCCAGGGCCTTCAATGTGAGCCAGGCAAATATTCTACCACAAATGTATACCTAGCCCCTGTAACTGGCTATTGAACGTTGGTTACCCCAGCCAAGATGCCCCACTACTGACGAATGGATTAAGAAAATGTGGTATCTATACACAATGGAATTTTATGCAGCCATGAAGAAGAACGAAATGTTATCATTCGCTGGTAAATGGATGGAACTGGAGAACATCATTCTGAGTGAGGTTGGCCTGGCCCAAAAGACAAAAAATCGTATGTTCTCCCTCATATGCAGACATTAGATCAAGGGCAAACACAAGGGAATTGAACTTTGATCACAAGATAAAAGCGAGAATACACAAGGGAGGTATGAGGATAGGTAAGACACCTAAAAAACTAGATAGCATTTGTTGCCCTCAACGCAGAGAAACTAAGGCAGATACCTTAAAGCAACTGAGGCCAATAGGAGAAGGGGATCAGGAACTAGAGAAAAGGTTAAACCAAAAAGAATTAACCTAGAAGGTAACACACATGCACAGGAAATCACTGTGAGTCAACTCCCTGTATAGCTATCCTTATCTCAACTAGCAAAACCCCTTGTTCCTTCCTATTATTGCTTATACTCTCTCTTCAACAAAATTAGAGGTAAGGGCAAAATAGTTTCTGCCAGGTATCGATGGGGTTGGGATGGAGAGGGAGGGGGCAGAGTGGGTAGTAAGGGAGGGGGTGGGGGCAGGGGGGAGAAATGACCCAAGCATCCCAAGCATTGTATTGTATGCACATATGAATAAAAAAAAAAAGAATGTCGGTTTCCCTCTTGTTGTTTAGTAACTTCCATGGGTTTGGTACATATTTCTGTGGCTTGCCAGTGCACAGCACAATACCTGACACATAGATGCACAATAAATATCTGTTAATGAATAAAGCATATGAACAGAAACGAATACAAATTCCTACAAAAGAGATCCAAAGGAAGTCAGAATAGCTAGAAAATCTGGTAAGCCCTACATCATCAATGTAAAGCAGGGTACAAGTATAAAGCCTAGAAACTAGGTGGCTACAGGGATAGGGCTTAAGAACAGTAAAGATGAGCTGATTCCAAAGAGTGAAACTATGATGTACTAATAGAACACAGATCTTTCTACTCTGATCACTATAGAACTGCAAATAGACATATTTTTGGCATAATATGTCTATTTTGGCAAATAGACATCGTTGGCAGTCTGAGACCCTGACCCCAAGTAACCTTGCCTGCTGTATCGAGATAAGCTAGCATGAGAGACTGCATCACATCTCAGACTGCAACATGCTGTTATTGTGCTTTGTTTCTTTTAAATTAGCTTCAAAACCTTAGTAGTCCTTAGTAGTCCTAGAAACTGAAGCCATAGGATTGGTAGTAGAGTTTCAAAAAAGGCTGATTTATTTGTGTTTGGAAGGGTGGGGTGAAGCAGAGATAAAATAGTTCTTTTCAATGAAAACTCTGAAACTAGTACTTCCTACCAGCAAACAATCTTGCAGGTTCACTACTTAAAGCTAATACATCCAAATACTAAAAACCAACAGAACTTTCTGCTGGGACTCTTTAGGTACCATTCTGAGTAGGAAGCATCCATAAGACAGGTAAACACAGAAACAAACAGAACCTTTATCAACTGTTAAGCACTGAAGCAATGACACTTCTTTTCTACTTTACCTTTGCACCCCTCCCCCCACAAAAAAAACCTTTAATTAAAAATAAAAGCAACATTCACCTGTATAAGATGTGATTTTACCATGGTGACTATTTTTTTCTTTGCAAAACATCAAGTTTTTTTTTCTGGTGCTGGGGACCGAACTTCAGGGCCTTGCACTTGCCAGGCAAGCACTCTTCCACTGAGCTAAATCCCTAACCCTCAAGTTCTTTCAAAAATCTCTTTTCTTATTTTTTGATGCCCCCAACTTCCTGGTACATTAGGTATATTCCTACTGAAAATTCAGCCAAGGAATGATGAATGTTGGAGTAGGAGGACATGTGGAATGCTGGGCAAGACCCGTACCATGCCTCAGATTCAGTTTCCCCATTTACAAAATGGAAGATTAGAATAATGATTTTTTAGGATCTGTTCCAATCTTTTTTTTCTCAAATCATCGATCATTTCTAGAAATGATTCGGATAGGTCTGAAACCTAACTGGTCAGAAATGACTCCAGGAAGACATAAATGAGTTGTCACACCAGACTATTGGTTTAGTATGATCAGAGCCCATACAAGCTGAACTCAAATATATTCACCACGCACAAAAACAATGAAGAGAACAGTCAATTTTCTCTACTCCCCAAAGTCAGCATTTCCTGAACAATGTGATTTCAGTAACTCTGTGAAGTGCTAATAGGTATACATACCGTAGGTGTGAAGTACCAGAGGTTAAAAGATTAAAATGGGTTTCTTAATGTAGGGTTTCTCACAGTTATTAATAATAGATTTGCTAGCTCCTACTCGGTCCTCACCATAGGCATTTCATTTAATACTCACTTTATAAGATGAGGAAATTGAGGTGCAGAAGAATCAAGATATTTACACAAAGTCACCAGAACCATAAGAGATGGCATTGGTCTTTGACATAAGCAAGGTGCCAAAGTCTTATGGTCTTTGGCACCTACGTCAAAGTCTATCACCAAAGTAAATTCTCTCACTTTATCACATGGCATTGGCTTCCATCGGCCTCAAATATGCTAACAGATACTGCCAGTCTCCAAGAGGGGTCCATGACATGTAATGAATCACAAAATTATTTGTCCATGGACCTCTTTGTTATTTCTTTGGAGGTAAGCCCTGGAAATTAAATTTCTCTAGGTACCTTTATTTCTACTAGTCAACAGAAGGCCATTTAATGCCTAAATCCCTCTGAGGTTGACCAGGCTCATGTAACTGCAGAATTTCAACTGACTATAAAGTTGAATGTAAAACAATAGGATAGAAAGAGATCTGAGAGATTTTCTCATCCAAGCCTCACATTTTCTAGAAAAGTATGTTAAATTCTGAAAGAAGTAGTTCATGACTCAGTAAGGAAGGTAATCAAAACCTAGATCTTTTTAGGTTTTGACATATAATCCTTTCTCATTTGTCAACTGCCTTTAAAACATTTGCCTGTATGAAATATTCTCTCTATATAAATAAAACCCTGCTAATAACTGATGCAGTTATTCCTAAAAGCAAGATATTGAATAGTACATTGAAATATTTAATCTTGTCTTTACTACTGAACTGCAGTAGAATTTCAAAGGCAAAGCCTAACGCCCAAGGAAAGATTACCTGAGAATATCATAACTGGCAAAGTCCCACTGGTAGAGACCAAGTGCTGAACTACAGACAATGTATTTGCCATCAAAATGAAGTCTTGGCTGCAGGCAAATACTTCTGTCCTCAGAGACAGACAATGTCTTTAAGCACTTGCAGTTGATTTCTCTCCCAATTGGCCAAATCTACAAGAAAAAGAAAATCAGGAAAGAGATCACAAAAAAGTTTGTCCTTAATGAGTTTTGCTATAATAGTAATGGTGGTAATAATAATAATAATAATAATAATAAGGCTTGTATTTGCTGAAGTCAGATACAAAGTGAAATATGCTACGAAGACCCAAGTTTTACAGTCAAGAGCCATGACTTTAAGTCCTGATTCTCCTGTACACTCTTAGGGAAATATTTACCTCTGTGAATCTCTCTTTCTGCAATGAAGATAACGCTTATCACACAGATGGTTTAAAAGATGAAGTAAGAATATGTGAGAATACCTCTTCCCCCACCCACACACTCCTTCCCCCTCTCCTTTTAGTGCCACCTTTACCAATTCCCCAAAATCTAAAACTGGCCTAATAACCATTACCCACCCCCAACTCCTACTGTTTATAGATATTATCATCAAGGGGTTTTATATATAATATGTAAACAACTGGTCTGGTGTTGAACCGTGAATTTGTTACTGCTAAATTACACTTCCAGGACAGGGACAGAAAGAGCACATCAACCTAGCTAACAACCAAGTCAGCTACAACACAAAAATTAAATCATGGGAAAGAAAAATAGACAATTAAACCACCAACTAGCCTATCATGAACATAGTTGCACAGCACCAAGGGAAGCGATAGGAAGAAAAAGAAGGGATGGAAACCACTCTCCTCAAAAAAATAATTCAATACAGGATTCGCAGGAAATGAAGAAAACGGATACCTAGTTCCTGACCTCAGCAAAACAACAATGAATGTCACTAAGGAACCCAGTGATGCCCACAAAAACACCCTCAATGAATTTCATGGAGAAGATACTAGACATGGTTAGCCAGAATGTACAAGATGCACTCAAGAAATTTCAAGACACCAAAAATAAAGACCATGAGAAGACACAGAAACAAATAAATGAACTCAGAGAGGACTTCAACAAACACGAAAGTGAAACAAAGGACACTATAAAAAGAGAGATATATGAATTAAAAATGATAAAACAAAATATAAAAGAGAGTTGAACAAAGATATGGAAAACCTCAGAAAAAAGAATCAAACAGAAATCCTGGAAAGAAAAAGTCCCTTTTGTCAAACAAAAAACACAGTGGAAGGCCACCCCACCAGATTAGAATAAGTGAAAAACAGAATCTCAGAGCTTAGAGATAAAATAGAAATTAAAGAAAAAAAACAGAAGAAATCCTAGTCAAACAACTCAAGAGCAGTGAAAGGAACATGCAAGAACTCAGCGACTCCATCAAAAGAACAAACCTGAGAATCACGGGTACTGAAGAAGGAAAAGAGGTGCAAGCCAAAGGAATACGTGATATATTCAATAAAACAATAACAGAAAATTTCCCCAATCTTGAGAAAGTATTGTCCATTCAGGTACAGGAAGCCTCCAGGACACCAAACAGACTTGACCAAAACAGACCCTCCCCATAGCATATTATCATTAAAACACAGAGAAAGGATATTGAAGGCTACAAAAGAGAAAAAAACAAATAATGTATAAAGGTAAACCCATCAAAATAACATCAGATTTCTCAATGGAAACCTTACAAGCAAGAAGGGCATGGACTGAGGTTATTTCAGGCACTGAATGAAAATAACTTTAGCCTTAGGAAACTCTACCCAGCAAAATTATCATTCAAAATTGATGGAGCAATAAAAACCTTCCACGATAAACAGAAACTAAAACAATATATGACCACCAAATCACAACAGAAGATTCTACAAGGAATTCTTCACACAGAAGATGAAAGCAAACAAAATCACAAGAGGATGGTAAGTATCAAACCACAAGAGAAGAAAAGACAAGTAATCAGAGAATAGCATTGACTCGGCTGTACACAATCAAATCCTTCAACAACTAAGTGACAGGAATCACCACATACCTTTCAATATTAACACTGAACGTCAACAGACTCAACTCCCCCATCAAAAGACACTGTTTGGCAAACTAGATTAAAAAGGAAGATCTGACAATATGTTGTTTACAAGAGACCCATCTTATTGACAGAAATAAACACTGGCTTAGGGTGAAAGACTGGAAGATTTACCACTGAAGAAAGAGACTGAGGAAGACTACAAAAGGTGGAAAGATCTCCCAGAGAATCAACATAATAAAAATGGTTGTACTACCAAAAGCAATCTCTATATTCAATGCAATTCCCATCAAAATCCTAATGACATTCAACACAGAGATTGAAAACGTTACCCTAAAATTCATTTGGAAACACTAAGGCCACGAATAGCCAAAGCAACACTAAGCAAAAAGAGCAATGCTGGAGGAATCACAACACCCAACTTCAAACTATACTAAAGAGCCACAGCAATAAAAACAGCATGGTACTGGTACAGAAACAGACATGAAGACCAGTGGAACAGAAATGAGGACCTGGATATCAATCCACACAGCTATGCCCACCTTATTTTTGACAAAGGCACCAAAAACATATGATGGAGAAAAGACAGCCTCTTCAAGTGGTTATATGCCTGCAGAAAACTAAAACTAGATCCCTGCCTGTCACCCTGTACTAGCATCAACTCAAAGTGGATTAAGGACCTTTGTATCAGACCTGAAACCTTGCAGTTAGTAGAGGAAAGAGCAGGGAATACTCTGGAAGCAATAGGTATAGGCAAGGACTTCCTAAGTAGAACTCCAGCAGCTAGCAGGTAAGAGAAAGGATGGACAAATGGGACTACATGAAATTAAAAAGCTTTTGCACAACAAAAATTGAAGATACCACCCAGAGAGTAGGAGAAAATCTTTGCTAGATATGCATCAGACAAAGACAAAGGACTGGTAACCAGAATATACAGGGAGCTCAAAAACTGAACTCCCCAAAAATAATGAATCAATAACGTGGACAACTGAACTAAACAGAACTTTTTCAAAGGAAGAAATCCAAATGGCCAAAAAACACATGAGAAAATGTTCACCATCCCTAGCCATAAAGGAAAAGCAATTCAGAACCACACTGAGATTCCACCTCAGTCCTGTTAGAACAGGAGTGAGAACATCAATAGAACATCAAGAACATCACCAACAACAAATGTTGGCAAGGATGCGGGGACAAATGAACCCTCATGTACTTGCTGCTGGGAATGTAAATTAGTACAACCACTTTGGAAAACAATATGGAGACTTCTTAAAAAACTAAACACAGATCTGCCATATGATCCAGCAATACCACTCCTAGGGATATACCCGAAGGAATGCGATTCAGGTTATTCCAAAGGCACCTGCACATCCATGTTTATTGCAGCACTATTCACAATACCCAAGCTATGGAAACAGCCCAGATGCCCCACTACCAATGAATGGATCAAGAAAATGTGGTATTAACTAATACACGATGGAACTTTACTCAGCCACAAAGAAGAATGAAATTTTTGTCATTCGTAAGAAAATGGATGGAACTAGAGAACATCATAAGTAAAATTAGCCAGGCTCAAAAGGCCAAAATCACATGTTCTTCTTCATATGTGGAGGACAGACCTAAAATAAATACAGTAATATTATTGAACATGGGTCACACACTAAGGGGAAAATGTGCACAGGAGGAATAGAGAAAGGGAAGGAAACCTAAAACTTGAATGTGGTTGATTTCACTGCAGAGGAGCAGATATAATAATCTTAAACTGGCAGAGGCCACTATGGAAGGAACCAGAAAGTAGCAAAGAGGTCTGACAGAGATGAGCCAGTGTGGGTTGCAATACACAAGTACATGAAAGTAACGCTAAGAATCTCTCTGTATAGCTACCTTTACCTCAAACTAGCAAAAACACTATGTCTTTCTTATTATCTCTTATGTTTTACAAAATCAGAGAACAAGAGGGCAGAATAGTTTCTGCCTGGAAATGGAGGAGGGGAAGTGGGAGGGGGTGGCCCAAACAATGTATACATATGTAAGTAAATGTAAAAATGATAAAATAAAAGAAAGAAAGAAAAAGAATATACCAGAGTGTCTTAAAAATTCTTTGCAAATTGTTCTAACAAACGAAAGTTTTTTTAGATTAGATCTAAGAATCGAAGAAGGTAGGAGGCATGTGTATTAAGAAAAGAGTAAAGGCACAGTGGGGACACACTGAGAATCCCCTTTGAACATTGAACATCAACTTAAATATTAATAATGAAAGACAGAGCTGTAAAATAGGTACAGTGTTGGGGGTGGCACTAGCGGGGGGCGGGTATGTGAATGAAGATTAAGGTGAGGGTATATGGTTGGTGGACTTCATATACTTGTATGAAAGAGAGCAAAGAAGCCTCTTGCAATTGCTTTAAGTGGGGCAGGGAGGGGGTTGAGGGAGGAGAGACGATGGGAGTGATCTAACCAATGTACAATATAAGCCTATTCAGAATTGTCAATATGAATCCTCCCTGTATAATGAATATATCCTAATTTTAAAAATTTGTTATTAAAACTAAAAGGGCTGAGGGTTTAGCTCAAGTGGTAGATCACTTGCCTAGCAAGTGTGCACCCTGGGTTCAATCCCCGGTAAGGAAAGGGAAGAAGAGGAGGGGAAGAGGGGAGGGAAAGGGGCAATGGTGTATGCTTGTAATTCTAGCACTCAGGAGGCTGAAGCAAGAGGATTATGAATTTGAGGCCAGCCTGGACTACATAGCAAGACCCTGTTTCAAGAAACAAAACAAACACTAAGAATGAATGGAAAATAATTTTTTGTGGATTTCTCTTTCATTTGAAAATTAGGATTAGAAACTGCATAGCATTCAAAGCTAGTGAATCATCCTCCTTCTGATGAGTTTAAGATAACTTTAACTAAGACATTCTTAGCCTACCCCTTGGAATATTCTCCTTTTGTCATCTCTTCAATTTTCTTATATTTGCTAGTTTTTCTTTGATGAGACAAATAAATGGAAGGGAAAAAAAAAAAACTCACCTTGATCTCATATTTATCCGCACTTAAGAGGATATAGTCTCCAGGACTGTGCAAGAGAGACTTGACTTTGCACCTCTGCAAAACCACCTGAAAATTTAAACACCTATGTTATAGAAAGAGCCTTTTAATGCTATTCTTATACTGATTTTATTTCATTTTTAAATTAAAGTATGAAAATGAGCTTGAACTGATAAAGTATGCTAGAATAGCTCAGGTATGACTCTATTACCAGGTTAACCCCTACTAAGATCTTTACACAACTAGATTCTCTGCTACTAGCAGTATATTGTTAGTTGTGGCAGCACATGCCTATAATCCCAGGACTCAAGGCCAGCTTGAGCTACATAGCGAGACCCTGTCTTTAAAAGGAAAAACAAAAAAAGCAGAATTTAAAGGTGTCCAATGTTGACAGCACTTACACTTATCTTTAGACTAGAAGCAGACATGAGGATTAATTTTTAAAATTACAAAATGTGACTTAACAGTAACAGAAAAGAAAGAAGTCCATAAAGAGCAAGAGGTATGGCTCAAGAGGTAGAGCACCTGCCCAAGGCCCTGAGTTCAAACCCCAGTACTTGCCAAAAAAAAAAAAAGCCCATACACAGAAATAGATCAAATGATCTGTTTGTTTTAATATTCATAAGCATGGGTATTATAAAGGAAAAACCACTGGGCATGGAACCAGAATCTGCTATACACTATCTTTGCAACCCTGTGTAAAACCATCCAATCTCATTTATAATTTATACATGCATATATGTGCTGATGTGCTGGGGATGGAACCCAGGGACTCACACATGCTAAGCAAGCACTAAACAAGCTACAACCCCAGCCCTATTTTGTTTTCCAGTTTCCTCACCTTTTAAATAGCAGGTAAGACACCTATTACCTTATCTCATATAACTGCAGTGAAGATGAAATAAAAACATTCAAGTAATAGTAATAATGGCAATGTAATAGAAGTTAACAGTCCATAGTATTCTGGATAATCTGTTAACACTAGATCCTAGTTTGTTTTTTTTTTTAAACAAAGCATAAAGTAGGAGGGAAGGCAAGGTTCACTTGTTCAGAAGGCTGAGTTGCAGATTCAACTGAGACAGCCCTGATGGACCAACTACCTTACTGGGTTCTATCAAAACAACTCATTTAACATTCACAGGAATTTAGAAGATGATAAAACTCAGATTCTGAAGGGAAGAGACATCACAGACAAGTGGTCCCAAGTCTACTGTTTTCTCTATAACACCGAGAAGTCTTATAATATAAGGCTTCCCTATTTAAAAACTTAATGTGCCCAATACATTATTAGTGATTTTCTCACAAACTGCTTTCCCTTTAGCGTTACCTATTTCGAGGAAAAAAAAAGAGCTACTTAGCCACAACATCAAAAATGTACCAATTATATCTGATTCTTTCTTATTTTCGCCAAATGTATCAGCAACCTTAGATGGCTTTACCTTAAAGATATTCATACCTTCACTGCACCCCTCTTTCTTCTTTGCCACCCAAGTCCAAGTTATGAGCATCTTCTGCCTAAGACTAAGCCTGAGTACCCGTAGTCACTTGAGTCTCACTCTAACCCACCCACCATTCCTCATTCAACTTACATTTCTTAAATCATAAATCACATCAGACTCCTGATCAGAACTTCCAATAGCTTTCTAATACGTTTCTGATATTCCACCTTCCTTACTATGGCCTATTAACTCATACACGATGGCCACCTTTTCCCCACCTTCCCCAACTGTAGCACAGCTGCACTGGCCTCCTTCCAGGTCATCAAATGTTCCAAGTTTTTTCCCATTCCTGGTTTCGCCTATGCATATTATACCTTCTGAAACTCCCTGCTACTCTTTCCATACTCTTATTCATCATGCTTTACCCCTTCTCAAAAAGCGACCCCTGAATTAATTAGGTATCTTCCCAGACTTTCTTATACAAAACTGCACTTTCCCTTCACAGAACTTAATATAATTTATAATTGCAAAGCATTCATTTGTGAAGTTACTGCTTGATAACTATTTCTCAAATTAGACTAAAATCCATACAATCTAAAATCCTGGGTCTATTTTTCTCACTCCTATATCCTTAGCTCCTCACAGAATACCATGACAAACTCAAGAAAAGTGCTTCTGCACCATATATTCATTATTAATATTGCATTTGAAATTTGAAATTCATAACAATTTTACTTTGGAAACTAGGAAATACCAAAGTATGTTGTTAAAGATACATTTTTCTTTGTCCCCCTTCTTTGTTGTTGCTATTTTGTTTTTTTCAGTGCTGGGGCTTGAACCCAGGGCCTCATGCATGCTAGACAAGTACTCTCAGCCCCTGCCCTACTTTTGGCAAGCATTATTTTTTCAAAATGAAAATTGCTTTCCTGACTAAAAGAGAAACATGTTCGTCCTAAAGGGAAAAAAGGTACCCACAATTATATCAGAAATAATCATCTTCAAAATTCATTTAGAAACCAGCATCATACTCTACATATTTCTTTGTATTTAACCTCTTTTATTGTGAGCATATTTCCACACTATAAGTCATTAATTTATTAGACTATTTACTGAGTGCCTTCTACATTCTGGTCATTGCTGTACACTATCATGCTTTGTGACTGCCTCTATTCCATCTGTGACTCATCTACCACCCTCCATTCCCCACCAGTGAAAAGCCTAACATCGAGGTGACTTCTTAGTTCTTCTTACCTTGGTGACCCATTCTGTGTGCCCAGTGAGTGTGTTCAGGCATGTCCCAGCAGATAAAGCCCATACTTTCACAGTGAAGTCTGCAGAACCGCTCACCAAGATATCCAGTTCATCATTGTAGTCCACGCTAAACACTAGTACACATAATATACACAAAGTCAAAACAGGACTTGATGTCAATGAATCTTTTATAACTTTTATTCTCCCTAGCTGCCCAATAATATAATCTCCTAACTAGCCCTACTATAAGAACAGTGCTACTATTTTATGATGAAAAAAAATTTTTCAAAATTCTAGTTATGATTATTACAGTTTATTATTCTAAGTTTAGAAAGTCCCGAGAATAATATAACCTCTTACATTTGTGCCAGCTTTAGAGTGAGAGGCAAAACAGGTGATGGACATAATGATACTCCTTCTTAGGACTGCCTACCTGACACTACATAAAACTTTATCCTAGCTTATGAACAAAACCAGAACATAAGTAAGCCTATTCAGACTTGCAATGATAGTAAGACAAAAAAACTACAGAATTACAAGGTGCAAAGCAGTATTCTGACTCAATAAAAGCAAATGTAAAGAGAAAAAACAATGATCTCAAAGGTCAGACTAACCCATTCACTTATACAGTGTCTAAATTTCTTCACAGCTGTGTATCTAGTATATAAATCAGTGCAGGCAGTATAGCAAGTACATTTAAAAACAAAATGTCTGCAAGCGCTAAAGGACACTGAGAATCCAAAGATGAAGACACCAGTCTTTCCTTTAAGGAATTCTAAGTGGGGGTAGAGGAGGAAGTCCAGAAAAAATAAAAAATAAAAAGTTTACCTCTTGCTAGGGAAACACCAAGGAGAATGACTAACTCTGCCCAGGGCTATCAGGGAGGACTTCAGGGAAGAGGCGATATTGGAGATGGGCCCTGAAGGATGAGTAGAGTTTATCAAGAAAAGAAAAAGAATACTGCAGGCAAAGAGAACAGCAGAAGACTGGAGTTAAGAAAAGCTACAGCAATGTCCAGGAAAAAGCAAGTAGAATGTTATTTAGAGCAGGGCTCTCAAAGTTGATCAGGAATAAAATCACCTGGAAGTTACAATAATCTTGACATTGTGTAATATTACACTCAGCTTAATATATAAATTCCATTCTAAATCATACAGTGCCAAATAATTTGTAAAACAGGCAAGTGGTAGCACATAGCAAAGAGATGAAAAACAGGTACGATCATAAACAAAATGGGGGGACAAACCATACCTGTTTTTAGCACCAAAATAACTAGGATTACTTAAACAATTACTGAGCATCAGATATAGTGTAAGAAACTTAGGATGCAAGGGTGAACAAGAAAGGTAAGATCCCTGTCCTATGGAGCTTATGAGCTGGTAAGGCTAACATGCTTACATGTATGATGAGAGTGTTTTGACAGCCATGTAGGTATGGGGAACCTACAGCAGACAAGCCCAAGCTGTTTAGAGAGTCCCAGAGGATACTCATAAATATGATGTTCAAGAGCATAAACTGTGACTCCCAAGGACTAAACCAATGCATAAACGGAGGAAAGGAAGAGGGGAGCTGCTGCACAAGAGGCTAGGAAGTAGCTCCATATGATTTCTACACAGAGCTCCAAAATAACATGCAACAGAAGGACAAGCTCCAGTCTCAAAGCTACATTCAAAAGACCAGTTTTCTGCACAATAAAGCTTCTGTACATTTATTAGTCAGGTATCTGTTTCTTTCATTTACATCTATGTGGTTGTTTTAATCACTTGTGAACCAAGCTCTAAATAGATGTAATCTGAAAAGACTAAACAATCTGTGAACCACCTTCACTTCAAAGGCTTTTCAGCCCTAAAGCTATAAAGTGGTCTGAATTTATAAGGATAGGACTTACTCAATTTGGAGGTACAGAATTCAACAAAAGCAAATGTGACTGATGGTTCAGCAGATTACAAATGAATTAGGAGAGCAGGCAAACTACCCCTACCAGTTTAAGGGTACACAGAATAATTTTTCAAACGGCCACGGAAAGGCAAAACTGTGGAAAACAAATAAGGGGAAATAACTTCAGTGGGTGAGAAAGAGTGGGGGGAATTGGCAGCTTAAATTTAAAAAAAAAAAGGAAAGCAAGAAAAGAAAAAGAAACAGGTTTCACATACTTGGCTCCTACTTTTAAAGGACAAGGCTATAGTAATCATAAAAAATCTTGAAAAATGATGACCCACCCGCCCCCGTGTGCCCTCGGAAGTGCTGGGTCCTGGCTCCGGAGCTCCATTCCCAGCAGGCCACAGTGTTGTCAAAGGAACCTGTCACAAGCTTCTGCTCATCAAACTTCACTGTTGCGCAAGTGTGGGTCTGGATGCCGTAAACACACTGCCCTGTGTTCACATCCCACAGCTTCGCAGACAAGTCATCTGACCCTTTGGGAGAAAAGCAGGGAGGTGAATATGAAAGAACACTCTGGAGATGGAAAATCAATTATGGTGTTCTCAAAAGAAACCCTCATGTCTACTTTCTCTAGCATTTCCACTATAAGGATGAGAAAACCAAAGCACAGAGAAGGTAGTATGATTTGCTCAGTCACCAAAATGTGTCAAACACACTGGGATAGAATCTAAGCTTTTTGCTTTAGTCCTTTTCCTTTAACTTTCAGGTTACAAAAAGGTATTAAGACTAAAGGATCCCTTGGTGCTTCCACTAGAAGAATCTCCTAAGTCTTTGGTTAATATGAGTCTTTGATATGAGCTTGAAATGTGTGGGTATTACCTATGACTGCATGTTTACACTTGCATGCTTGTCCACTAACACAACAGTCATGAATAATAAATAAGAACCAGTGTGTTGACTAGTAAACCTATTTGCTGGAACATAGTCCACTCTAAGGTAAATCAAAAGTATGCCTCAGATCCCTAGCTAACTTCTGGAAAACAAATCTATACAAACTGGTAATTTCTTGAGTCATCTTGAAATATGTGAAGGAACCTCAAAGAAAATCAAAGTTGAATTACCCCAGATATTCACATCAACTCACAAAGAACTGGAAGGCTCCTTAAAATTCTGGAAAAAGTAGTCTTTATTTCTGCCTCTGATGAAAATGTTATACTAATTATGGTGATAATTCAGGACTTTTCTTTAATTAAATTTAAAATCACAATTTATATTTAAAGACTCAACAAAAAGACATTTTAAGACATTAACTATAGTCACCATGATCAGGACATAGTGTTCTACGAAATCACCAAATCACCAGTTTCAAACGGCCAAAATGACTAAATAAAGCCAGTCACAGTTCCACCTTTAGTCAAGAACCAGTTTTTGACAATGTAAAAATAGCCATCATTTATAAAAGAGTGAGAGCATGACTAATGTGGGCAGACTCTCTGAGGGCACATGGAAGACTGTATCTGTTGCCACCTTACTTTTTAGGTCTCTATTTCCCTCTCTATAAAATGGGTGGTGGTTCTCAGTGGGCATGTGAGACCTTAGAATCATTCAGGGAGTTTTAATAGAAAATACAAGCAGTGGGCTGGGGTGTAACTCAGTGGTAGAACACTTGCTCAGCATGTGCAAGGTCCTGGGTTCCATCCATAGCACTGCAAAAAAAAGGGAATGCACAAAAACAAATCACACACAAACAAGGCAACTATCTTCAGAGATTCTAGTTTAGAACACCTGAAGTGAAGTCAAAAAGTTTGTCAGGTAATTCTAACTCATCAGGAATATGCTGAAAGCAAACAGTGCTATCCATCAGAAATATAACATAACCCACATATGTAATTTTAAATGTCCTGATAGTCACTTAGAAAAGCAAAAAGAAATGTATAAAAATTTATTTAACTCAATATGTCAAAATATTAACACTTCAACATGTAACAAATACAAAGACTATTAATATGTTATTTTACATTTTAAGTCTTTTAATTCTGATATTTCACATTTCACATCTCAATCTGGACTAGTCAAAACTCAGAACTCAAAAGTGAAATAGCGCTGTGGCTACTGTGCTAGACAGTACATTCTAGATAGATAATTTAAGGTCCTTAAGCTTGGGCATTTATAACTGTATTCCCAAGGAGCTAGAGTAGGAAAAGAAATCATTTTAGGTCCTATATGAGGTTGGTTCTGATTTACTGCCAATGTTCACTTGGGGCCTCATTCATTCAGTCAACATGTATTTCTAGAATGTCTGTCAGGCAAGGCTTCTGCTGTCATGGGAAGACAAAAGAGGTAAACAAGCATTAAGAATTCAGTATAGGGCTGGAAGCATGGCTCAAGTGGTATAGCACCAGTATAGCAAGCATAAGGCCGTGAGTTCAAACCCCAGTACCACAAAAAAGAAAAAAAAAAAAAAGAATTCAGTACAGTCAGTGTTGGGCAGCACACACAGCAAGCACAAGTGGAGAAAAAATGTTTCAGGAGAAGCACCATGAAGATTGTCATTGTATTCCTTACCATCCCAGTGTTCTACACATGTGTCTTAGGAGCTGGCCTGACTGGCTCCTCAAGGATGCTCTTCTTACCTGCTTTTAAGACAGGCTTTGAAATGTTTAAAGAAAGATTTCATGGCTTTAAAAAAAAAACTTCAAGTTCTAGCTCAATGAACTCTATAGGATAAAAAATTAACCAGACCAAGAAATATCAATATACAAGAAGTTGGTAAAACTGTTTCTGTAAAAGACCAAATAGTAAATATTTTAGGCTTTCTGAATCAGGGCCTCTGTTGTAATTACTCTTTTCTGTGGAACTGGCCCATAGTCAGTGGTTTGCCAAACCCAGGCAAATATCTATTGACATACCTATTAAGTAAATCTATATTACATAAATATGTACAGAGATACATTACATAAATATGTGAAGAGACATTCATAAAGAACTATTTGGAACCATCCTTAAAACTTACTAAGAATTATTTGTATTACTTGTTAAAAATGTATCACCTTATGCATGGAGATTTGATGACTGATTATTAAAAAAAACAACTTCATTTGACTGGGAAACAGAAGCAAGGTCATGCTGGCAAATTGGGTTAGGAAGATGTTTAACAATGACCTTATCTCATTTCTGAAGGATTATTATGGCTGCACTGTGCAATGTTTGCAAAGGTGGCAAAACTAAAGGCAAAAAGCTAACAGGGAGAGGATAAACAAAATGTGAGCTAGATGTACAATGGAATATTCAGTCTTAAAAAGGATGAAATTCTGACATATTTGACAACATGGAGAAACCTTGAGACATTGTGCTAAGTGAAATAAGTCAGTCATAAAAGAACAAATACTATGATTCCACTTAGATGAGGTTCCCAGAACAGTGGAATTCATAGAAAGCAGGATGGTGGTTGCAGCATACTGAGAGGGAGTAGGAACTAGAGTTTAGTGGGTAAAGTTTCAGCTTGGGAAGATGCAAAATGTTCTGGAGATAGATGGTGGTGGCAGCTACACATTGCTAATGTATTTAATGGTACAGAACTGTACACTTAAAAATGGTTACAATGGAGCTGGGCGTATGACTCAGTGGTAAGGCCAAGTTCCATCCCCAACACTGCAAAAAATAAAAATAAAAAAAGTTAAAATTGTAAATTTTATCATGTAGGTTTTTAACCACAATTTGAAAAGAAAAAAAATGCAGGGGAGAGATTAAAGTAATTATTTAAACTAGTTTACAAATATGCCATTTGGTTTTATGCTAAAAAATAACCAGGTTGAGTTGAGTTCCATTTAGAGTGGCACAAGTCTAATTCCTAACTGCTTATCCTTAAGGAGCCAGTGCTTCCTCTACCTACACCCGCCTTCCCATTGGACTCCATTGCTGCAGACTAACCCAATTTTTCAGACATCATCAATCATGCAGCCTAGAGATAAAAATGAAGTAAATAAATGTGAACTCTTACATTTTGTGAAAGAAAAGGAATTCTCTGAATTCAGAAAATATATATTGAAAACAGATTCTGATATAAAATATGTCAGGGATAAAAAAGACAGGCAGAAAATTGAACTGTAACCCCAACCGAATAAACTACCTTATCAAGTTAAGTTTAAATATTTAACTGGCAGAATTAGATCTCAGCTCTCAAATACCTCTCTGAGGCATGTGACTCTGCTGAGCAACTGAATAAACATTTCTCAGTGCCTCTGAAGCTGCCGTCCTCCTCGAAACTCTCGTTTCTCTCACTTCTCTTTCTCTAAGCACACTAGTAGAGGATTTAGTTCTTCCTCTCTAAATCTTTAAAGGTTCACTATTCCAGCCATAGCTGTGATGTTTTTAATTTCTAAATTTTTCTCTCTAACACTGAATACTCTTCAAAGCTCTGACCCTGCATTTCCAAATACCTTCGGAATCTCCAGTTAGATGTAACAATGATCAACTAAATTCAGTTCATTCCAAATTGAACTCCATCCACCCTCTCAAATTTATTACACCATTTTTTTCTTTCTTTTTTATTTTTCAATTTTTTGGTGGTACTGTGTTTGAACTAAAGGCCTATACCACTTGAGCCATGTCCCTAACCCCTTTTGCTTTAGTTTTCAGATAGGATCTCACATTTTTTGCCTGGGCTGGCCTGTAACCATCCTTCTAACATACTTCCCCCGTAGCTGGGATTACAGAATATAAACCTGGCTTGTTTGAGATGAGATCTCTTTTTTTGCTTTGGCTGGCCTAGATCAGCAGTTCTATCTCTGCCTCACAAGAAACTAAGATTACTGGTATAGGCCACCATGCCCAGCCCTCATTCCATCATCTTCTAGTCTGTTTACTATCTACCCAAGCATACAAAGCTAGAAACCTCAGTCATTTCTGAAATCTCTCTTCTCCTTGCCACATATGTAATCCATTGCCAAATCTTGTCAACTCTAATGGACACTCTTATATTCAAATGCTGTTTTTTTTTTAAACCACATCTACCCTTACTATCATAATTCTTGGCCTACTTATCCTGATTACATTGTAACACACAAATAATTTGGAGGTTCTGAGACCTCTGTAAGACTCACTTGATAGGAATTGTCTATTATCTTCTAAAGGAGTATTTTAGAAATTTGTGGGGGTGATTTCAGTTGTCACAATGACGGGGGTAGGGGAATTACTGGCATCAGTTGGGCAGAGGCTAGAGAATGCTAGATACCCTGCAATGTTTGGGATAGTGCATAAATTGTCTTGTATTGTTGATGGGTCTGGCAGATAGTCATAAATGAAAATCTTATGCTTAGTTACCTGAGCCTAGAATCTGTGTAGGCTGGGGATGAGACTCAGTGGCAGAGTACTTGCCTAGTATGTACAAAGCCCTGAGTTCAATTCCCAGCACTAAAAAAAAAAAAAATCAAAGGAAAGTATATGTTTAACTATACACTGAATTTTCTATGAATGCAAATGCCAGGTAAGTTGAGGAAAGATGTACTTTGCTTTGTTGGAAACTTTGCAAACAATCTTTCATCAAATAAGAAGATATTGTTGTATCCATGACATATAGTATGCACTTGTAGCTATCAGTTCATGAGGACAATACATATAGTAGGTATTTTAGCATACCTGTGCTTGAGCATTACATATTTAAATGGGTATGATTTTAAAATACAGTCCTCTTAATTCTCTGGATCAAGTCTTATACTGATTTTAAAAACACGTTTTCATGTAGATCATTTATTTCTATAAACTCAAGATACCATAAAATATCTTATAAAAGGGTGACTTCAGGCTGACAGAAATAAATACTGGTCTACCTGAAGCAGAAGGTTGTAACCCTGGACCTTGTAGTTACTCAGAAATCTTAATGGCTTTCTTACGTCTTACAGAAAACTGTTCAAATTCATGTCCCAACATTCGCAGCTCTTCACAACACAGCCAAGCCTATTTCTTCAGGTTATATTCTACAAGAACCTCATAAGAGACCTAAGGCGCTAATTAAATGAATTTTCTTTATTTCTCCCCTACTTGCTCCATGCTTAGTGCTACATATGCCTTTGCTAATGCTAGTCTTCCTATTGGAAAGTTCTTACTCTGTTAGCTAATCTCTCTAAACTATACCCATTCTTCAAAGCCAAGCATAAACACTGCTCAATATTTTTGAAACATAAGAAATCACTCTTTTCTCTGAACAACTATATGATTTTTTCCATACAATTAATGACACCTTTTTATATACTGCAGTGCTGGGGGCTGAACTGAGGACCTTTCATATGCTTGGAAAGCATTCTACCACTGATACATTCCCACTCCTACACGACTTTAACTCTGTTATAGTTCTTGTTTTTCTCATTCACCTATAAGCTAGATATCACAAAACCAGCAGGCTCACCAAATATTACCCAACCACAGTATTTTAAAAATCTCAATAACACTTAAAAAAAAAAAAGTCAAGAGTATTTCACAAAAGTCTACATTTGAGGCTTCTCTTGACAAGTCAGATCTGGCCATACCAAGCCTGACTCCTATATGATAATAATTCACTGTGATGGAGTAAAAACTCTTTAGGAAGGCACAGTACACTTGGAGACATTTACCTAAGTTAACCTGCCTTCCTGATCTGAGTGTGTTGTACTCTCTGAGGCAAGAACTGTTCTACTTTTAAACATTATCTTCCAAATAGTAGGTATTTTATGCCTAACTGTCTCCTGGCCAGCACAAAGCATACTAGGTTCCCTTCTTACCATTTCAGAAATAACCTGCAGAACAGAAGGATAATTACCTCTATCCATACCATACCAATTTCTTAATATTGCCTTATAGCTGGCTCAAAGTGCTAATCTGAGAGTCACCAAAAATTTATTGCCAAATTCAGGATTTCACAACACCGTAACTGAAAATTCAAGTGTATCAATGTAAAGAAGAATTGGTGTTGTTCTGAAAATTAGCCTTGTTCAATACAGAATACAAGTAAGCACGAAATTAGTTTGGGTGACAAACCAAACTTAAAATTCTTAAATCAAATGTCTATTTTATAAAACTGAGAAAGTGCCTGGCATTTCAGAGTATATACAACCACATGGAAAAATGTATGTCCTTAATAAGGAAATGCAATTTTAAAACAATCTTGAGAAATTATATACTCTTAAATTATTAAAATACTAGAACTGAGTATGGTGAGAATGAAAGAGAAGCAAATTATTTAAGAGTTTGCTGTGAGCATGGTTATCAATTCAATAAATCTGGAAAGGTCACTAAAAACTACAAAATCATTCATACTCTTAGATCTGGACATTCTACTTTTTAACTTCTGCCCCAAATAAATAATTCGAAGAGGAAAAAAATATAGATATTCATAAAAACTAGAAACATAAATATGTACTAATGTACAAATAACTAACTAATGATACTTATACAAAGGAATGGTTTATACTTATCAAAGAGACATATAGTTTAGGTAATAACAATATTTATCAGAATTATCTTGGATGAAATAAAGAATACCAAGTATCCTTATATATTATATAAGATGTAAGTAAATAGGCATTGGAACCATTGACAAGAACTGTCTGGAACTAAACATTGCCTAAGAATTACTTACACTGCCTACCAAAATACGTTGCCTAAAATGTGGGCAGAGATTATAAATGTGTAGAAACACATACTAACTATAATTTCAACAATAGATTTATATGTTATATGTATCACCATGATCAAATGGCATTTATTCCAGGAATGTAAGATTGGTTTAACATTAAAAGGCAATCAAAAAAACACACTAATGGAATGAAAACACCTACATGATCATCTCAACTAATAGAGAAAACATTTTGTAAACAAAACCCAACATGTTTTCGTGATTAAAAATACTTAATATAGGTATAGAAGGAAACTTTCTTCTATAAAGAAAAGGGCATCTATGAAGATCCCATAGTGAACAGCATCAGTTAGTGGAATAACACAAAAAATTCTAAAATTTAAAAATTATGTTATATAAAGTCACTTAATTGCCAAGTATAAGAATAGCCAACTGTTTTCATTTCCAGGCCCCAAAACTCTTAACTTCCAATTCTTCTTAGAATCACAGGATTTTAGAGCAAGGAACACTTGCACTTCCACATTTTATAGAAAAGGAAACAAACACAGAGAGGCGAAGTAATTTGTCCAAAATAACCTAACTCCTTGCTAGGACTAGACATCACTTTTTTATTGTTTTCTCCTTTAAAAATCCTTGATGATAGAAAAAGAAACAAAATTAACTAACATGTAGGACAGAACATGTAGGAAAAGTGTTGGAAAAAACAATCTACAGCTCTCTAATTCAATTAGGCTTAATCAAAGATCTGAAACTTTTTTTCTCTTCATTCCTTATAAAAATGATTATCTTCTCCAGAAAGAAAGAAGAATAAGGATAGGAGGGTAGAGAAATTTACTCAGGGGCAGGAGGAAATGTCATTACAGATATATAATAAATACTCATTCTCAAGCCTGAGTAGTTTGTGTGCTTTTAGGATGATTATACCCTAGGAAATGAGGAACCCCCACCAAAAAAAAAAAAAAAAAAAACAAAAAACAAAACAGTGTCAGGGTCTTACCTGTACAGAGAAGTCCATCTTTGTAGTAAAGTGCATATACTCTGGCACTGTGCCCAATTAATGATGAGGTCTCAAAGGCTTCATGGTCCTCCAGTTGCTTCATTCTCAAAATAGCCTTCAAATAAACCTTCTTCCAGTGCAAAGCGTCCTGAACAGAATCATCTATCTGCCAGCCCAAATTTTTACAGGCAGTCTGCCACACCTCTGTGCAGGCACTTATCACCTTATTCCACTGTTTAGAGACGAGGCAGCACGTGAGTAAAGTCTGAGGATCGAGCCATTTTAACAAATAAAAACTGAGCTCCAAGGGAAGGAGTTTGAGGAAGTCCCGCTTGAGGAGAGTCTCCAGGTTATTGGAGAGGTGCCTGAGCTGGACTGCCCCACTCAGACTAATCAGGTGATCCAGAGTTTCATTTTTCTGCAAGTCCGTCAGAGAAAGAAATGTAACAGAAATGTTATCAAGCCATGTCTCAAAGTCCTTTCTCTCCATAAGGTTATGGAAATATTTACCTGTGGCACATCAAAATATTGTATTAGTTCTGTTCAAAAAGACCGTTCAAGCAAGACTGCTAATAAATGAAGTATTAAAAAATTAGTGTAAAAAAACTTGGTGTTACTTTATGCTTAGTTACTACATTATAACTTTACAGTTAACACACTACACTTATCTGAAAATTTCCATGCACATAAAAGAAAATACATTTTCAAAAACATACTTTAACAAATCATGATCTCTTAAGCATAAGTCAGTGAAACATGTTGGTGTCTGTGCCTTGTTCCTTTTGAAGTTTATCACATGCCACATGCCTTGTCACAGTAGAAGATTTATGAAGTATTCATTCAAAATCATTGTATTCCACAATATAACTCCAGTCAAAACCACTATAAAACTACTTCTTTAAAGAATTCCTTAATACACTATAATTGGGAACTAAAATCACTGGATATGATAACCAGAAAGCAAATCTCTGGAGCAGAAACCAAAGACATTAGTTATGCTAGACACAACATCACAGAACTGACTACTTGTTTTTGCAACAGATGTTCAGGCAAAAAAGGTGTGAAAAAAAGAGAAATGAGCAAGTATAATAAGTTACATGTCTTAGATATTCTGGTTTTTCCACCTTCTTTATGATACTGCCTGTTAGAACATCAATTACTAAAGGCCCTAGACAGTCTGTATATAAGCCTCATACGAACTAGTGACAACTCTTAACCATGTGCTCCAGAGAACCAGCACAATATGGCAAACTAATAATGCTGGTGCTGCAGGGCACAATGCATGTGCCTGTAATCCTAGCTACTCAGGAGACTAAGGAAGGAGGATCACAAGTTCAAGGCCACCTTGGGCAACACAGCAAGATCACCTTTCAAAAATACAAAAGAAAAAATAATCCTAATGCTTGCAAAACACCTAAAAACAGGTATCATCTTTACTTTGCAGATGAAGAAAATAAAGACCACACAAGCTAAATAAATTGTCTACAGTCACAGAACTAGTGAAATAGCAAAACAGATTACAGGCCAGTATTTTCAAGATCGGTATACCAAAAGCTGCCTGTCTCTCTGAAATCAGGGACAAGCAGAGTCAGAACCTGGTGATAAGATCTGGGGTACTATGCCTATCTTACTGTAACATTTTCTCTTTTGGGAGAATGACAAATTGCTCTAGGGCTAACTGGGACAAAAGAATTTTAAAGTACCCTGCATTAGGGTCAACAGGTGTCAACTCACTCTTCCCAATGGGAACTAAAGTAATAGAGAACAAAGAAACAAAGCAAACCAATTTAAAAAAAAAAAAAGACTGGCCATGAGTTGACAGATGTTAATGCTGGGTGATAGGTACATGAAGGTTTATTATTCTTTTTATTTTCACATGTTTAGATATTTCCATGATTTTTTAAAGAAATTCTTTTTTCTAACCTGATTAGTTTTTTACATGACTGTCATATAATTTCAAAAACTTATATCCACATTAATCTGGAAGAAGAAAGTAAATATCTTTCCAGACATGTCACCTAAACCAGATCTACACAAATAGCCAGATCTCAACTTCTAACTTTGATAATAAGAGTAACACTGTGTTTCCAGTATATTTGGGAAAAATGTTCTCAAAAAGCAGTATGATTCATTAGCAGAAGCAACTAACCATTTCTGCTATCTAATTCCAGTTGGTTTCTGGAATTGTGATTCTCTTTCAAGATAATACCCTTGAAGCCAAAGGGTTTGGACTACAGGATATTAATTTATATGAAAGGTCTGACTGCCAAAAAATAATCAGCTCACATTGTTTTACCAACTTGTCACAAGAAAACAAGCTCCCTCCTTCCTCTGAATCTTAGCAACTCTCTATGACATTTTTGGAAAATCCGTACTTTTAAAAATAGTATGTACAAGACAAATTAATCCTTTTCTGTGACCATCCACACAATGTTACAATAGCTAATTAATATTGGTTAGTTAAAAACACATGCCCTGGATTTGTTTTGGTTTTTGTTTGAAGACAGGGTGATGACATATAGCCCAGGCTGTCCTTGAACTCACAATCCTCCTCCTTCTAGCTTCTGAGTGCTAGGATTAGAGATACATCACCAAGCCTGGCCCTAGAGTCATGTTTTATAGTGAAAAGTATGGAGAGGCTTCCTCCATCACACCTACATACACCTCTGTCATAGAAATGCTTATGTTTATGTGACTTATGTTACTTAAATGACCACAGGGCAAATTTAAAACTCATTAAAACACCACCAGGTTCCCAACATTCACAAGTATCTAAAAGATATACTACAATAGGTCAAATTAATGTGCCCACAAGCTTTCCAGTGGGCACCTTTTAAAAGCCCAGCCATTTCTGAGATTTATATTCTCTAACAAGAACTTTTTGTCCCACTCTTATATTAGAGATTGTCCTACAAGCTATTTTCTAATTCTTTATCTGATTGTTATGATAAAGACATTAAAAAATAATAAAGTAGGTCCGCCTATTAACTCTGCAGAAAGTAGTATTTTTAAAATACCAATTTTTATTTTTCTAAAAGAATTAACTAACTTTGAAGAAGACTTCCTTAAGGTCATAGGTTTAAACTAAACTCTTTTAGAGTGCCTCTAGGAATAATATCATGTACTGGAAGAGCAAGGTCCCTCAAGGGAAACCTCAAGAAGTGGTATTTCAATTCAACACAAAGAAGAGCTTTCAAATCATCACAGCATTCCAAGAATGGAATAGCCACCTCCAGAGAGGTGAGTTTCCCATTAGTGTGGGACAGCTGCACAGAGAGATAGAATGAGATGAATGAAAATTCTTTAGAGCCAGCCATTTTTTTTAAACTGATTCAGCCATTTCCTGTTTGATCATGGAAATGTTCAACTAACTTTTAAGCTTTGGTTTTCATTTATAAAATAGAAGCTATAGCCCAACTTTAGGATTATGAGACTCAGAAATAAAGCAAGGGAACCTGTGTAGCACAGCACCCAGTTTAGGGTAATGCAAATAGTACTTTTTATTAGTTCTATTACTATGAATACATGGCAGGAATCCTTTCCATAGCACTGAGGCTGGGACAGACATAACCTATTAACATCCCTTTCAACCTTATCACAAAGTTCTCTTAATATCTGGAAGAAAAACTCAAGACTCAAACTTACTGGGTGTCTATATTTATAATAAATGGTAGTTACTGACTTGAGGCTATAAATGCTATGTTCCTTTTTTTCTCTATCATATCCAAATCCTGTCTTATCCTTTTTTAGCTCTGTCTCAAAATAAACATTAAACTTGCCCTCCTGCTCTTAATACTAACAATCACAAAGCTCTGAGGAAATACGTGATGTGATAAAAAGATTCCTAAATTAAGAGGTAAGAGCCTGGATTTGGTCTCCGAGTCTGCCATTCACTTCCTATCCTCCCTTTGGCAACTCTCATATTTCTATTGGTTCTAAAGACTAAAGCAGTGCTTACAAACATTGTCATTTGAGCTTCACAAGTTCACGGAAAGTATTAGTACTAGTGTGCTTAACTAACAATTAAGAAAACTTATGGCCCAAAAAGTGGAGTGGCTTTCAGAGAGTTGCACAGGAAGTAGCAGCTCAGTATGCTTACCCAGTTCACGCCCTCCCAAAACAAAACAAAACCTATACTTCTAAGTCTTATTAGAGACAGGTCACTCTGGATGAAACAGTGTGAATGTGTTTCTCCCTAGTACTCCACCAGAACCTGGCCTAGTAAAGAACAAAAGCAAGACATTTCTCATTGTTGGGAAGAAGCTTCATCTTCCCTTTCTTTTCCTACCATGCAAAACCAGTTAAAATGTACAGAAGCTTTTAAAATGTACATATACCTATAAATTTACATGTGCATAAAATACATTTTGAATATTCAAGGAATTGTTAACACTAGATGCTTCCAGAGAGAACTGGAGAACAGAGGAAAAGGAATGGGAGGTCTTTTAATTGTATGCCTTTTTGAATTTAAAACCATGTGAATATACTGTCTATTAAAAAGTCTTTAGGAAAGGGGTTTGTTTGTTCAGTTTTTTTGTTTTATTTTATTTTTTGAGATAGGGTCTTGCTATGTAGCCCTGCCTGGCCTTGAACACTTCATCCTCATACCTCAGCTTGCAGAATACTGGGAATACAGGTGTCCACCACCATTCCTGGTCTAAAAGCCTTTAGTTTGAACATGAATTTTTTAAAGTTTTTAAAGAGTACAATGTTTATAAAATATGGGTCTGCAACTCCACCTGTTGCTGGATGACCCTGCATAAATCACTTCATCTACCTCAAGCACGGTTTCCTCACTTGAAAAATGTAGCCACGAATAGATTTACAACAAGGGCTTTTGTGAGGATTAAACAGATAATGCACATACAGTGTTTAGCGCAGGTCTGGGCATAATGTAAGCCTACCGTTTTCAGGATTAATGGAGCGATTTGTGCTTTTTTTTCCCCCCTCCACACAGCATCCCATATACACACTGTTTTCATGGCATACCCACAATTATGGCGCAGTCCCTCACATCACTACAACGCTTTCTATTTCATAAACCACCTCTCAAACTCCCGGTAGTGCTAGGACATCACTTTAACTCATTTTGCAGCTAAGAAAAGGGAGGCACTAGGAGACAGGAACCTCAAGACTTTAACTGTCCTATGCCTAAGAACACCCACAGATTCCTCAGCCCGTTCGTCGCTCCCAGGTCCCTGACTCCCGCAGCTGTGTTCCGCGCGGCACTGACCTGAGCGAGCGCCCCGGGGCCCGGGACCTCGCGCCGGGCTCACACCGACTAGGCGCGCTCGGGCCGCCAGAGCCTCGCAGCGGCCGGGTCCGCTCAGCAGCCATGGCGCCTGCGGAGAAAGAAAGGCAATCAGACCCAGGCGCGGCGGGTCAGCAGAGGCGCGGGAGCCCGGGAGACCCCTCCCCGCCCGGCCCCGCCTCCGCCACAGCCTCTGACACAAACCTGGACCTGCGGCCGCCGCTCCTGGTCCGCAGCCTCACAGGGGAGCGGCTTCCGGTGCCTCTTGCGTCATCTCCGTGCGTCCCTCCGGGTGGCTGCGCCAGGCGGAAGCGGCTGCACTTCCGGCCCCCACCTCGAGGGGGAAGTGTAAAGAACAAGCAGAGCGTAGACAGACGGAGCATGCGCAGTACGGCCGTCTCAGTCCGCTCACCTGTAACCTGAACCATAAATTCTTTTCAAGCCATTTAGCCAGATTTTCCCAGTGTTTATGTTCTTCAGCCAACCTTATCTTGCACCAACTCAGCTTTAGTTTTTGTATTATTCTCACCTCATAGAGGAAAGGGAACTATGGCTCAGTTGAGGAGGGAGTGAGCGCAAACATCTCCTTGAACACCTGTTATATCCCATTGTTCTGGGAGATAGATTAATGAACAGAAAACACGAAATCCCGAACTTCTCGGTGCCTACATCTGGGTGGGGAGGAAGACAAACAAATAACTAAGCATAGCATGAAACAAGTCTTAGCAAGTGCTAAGGAGCAAAATAAAGCATGGTAAGGGAGTAGAGAGGGGCAGAGCGGTGATGTAGATTGGAATCACAACACTTACACCCTGGCTATGCACAAGACTTGGTTATTAATCTCTGAGACTATTTTTCTCATCTTCATAACACATATTACCTTAGTTATATGATTGTTTAGAGGTTTGAAAAAGAAGATACATGCAACTACTAGGAGCTACTAGCAGCTGCTACAAGAGAGGCAGAGATTGGGAGAATCATGGTTGGAGGCCAGCCCACACACAAAATAAGTGAGACCTCATCTCAAACAAGCCAGGTGTGGTGGCTTGTATCTGTAATTCCAGCTATGTAGGAGGCATAGGTAGGATCTCCATCTGAGGCGAGCCAAGGCAAAAAGTGAGATCCTATCTGAAAAATAATATAAAAACAAAAGGCTGGCAGTATGACTCAAGTGGGATAGCCAAGGTTCTGAGTTCAAATCCCAGTGAGGCAGGCAGAGTTAGGGAAAGTTCAGGGCTCATAAAAAATATATATGACTTAATATTGTATGTGTGTGTGTGCATGTGTGTGTGTAAGTTACCCATGCCTGGCCCAGGGAGGCTCAGACCACCCTTTCCAGGACTGGGGGGGCCACCCATTCCCCTCTCCACTCATTTATTATGGCTTGGGAATCACCTGGTTCTTCCCTTCTTATAGGTTAGTGTCGGTTTTAAAAGCACCTGGAATGTGGCCTTTTAACAAAAAGTTTGTTGGTTCCTGGGCTAGCCCAATTAGGCATTACTAATAAAAATAAATTTTTAACACTAAAAAAAAAAAAAACCCAGAGGAGAGAAGCACACTCTCTCTGCTTCCCAGCTTTCACCTGTATTACCCTTCCCTAACTTTTATTAAACCCCATTTACACCCACGTGTCCTGCTATGGATTCTTCCACACTGGACACAAGTACTTTGGAAATCTTCTGATCACATTCTGCACCAGTGCCGTTAATACCAGTACCTCACCCCACACCCAAAAACGAAGAAAAAAGAACTAAAACCACATACCAAGTGCTACACACTTCTAAACAGTACTAGGGTTGAATACAGGAAAGACTCTGTACCACTTGAGCCACTCCACCACCTCTTTTTCTTGCTTATTTTTGAGATAAGGTCCTGATTCATGCCCAGGCTGGTCTTGACCACAATCTCCCTATTTGAGCTTCCCTGCATAGCTGGGATGATAGGCTTGCCCGGCCGTGGTTGAGATGGAGGTCTCATGAACTATATCTGGACTGGTCTTGAACTGTTATTCCCCCAGATCTCTGCTTCCCAAATAGCTAGGATTACAGGTTTGAGCCACTGTGCCAGCCTAAACACTTTATATGTTATCTCATTCAATTCCTACAACAACCTTACAATATCATTAACATATTTAGAAATGGGGAAACTGAGGCCAACAGAGGTTTAGATATCTTGCCTAAGATAACTATCTTAGACAAAATTAACAGTAAAATTAACCTTCTGTGTATGAAGGACTCATAAACTACACCCATACACATACACACACCAGCACTGATCAGTAGAACCCTTGGCAATGATGGAAATGTTCTCTTTTGGTGTTATCCAATAAAGGCAATTACTAGTCTCTTGTAGCTATTAAACACTTGAAAAGTGCCAAGTATAACTGAGGAGCTGGAAAGTTAATTTTAGTTAAGTTAAATTTATGTAGCTACATATGGCTACCATATTGGAGAGCATAATTCAATGATATAGGTATAACAGATAATATAGTCTATAAAAGAGCCACATATCCAGTTAGTGGTAGTACATAGTAAGGTTCAAAGTATCCTGACATTCCATCTAATGTATGTCACTGGAGAAAGGAAAGGGATGAGGAGGATCCCTGACTGGAGAGAAGGGGAAGAAATCCTTGACTCAGCCTGTAATCCTAGCTACTCAGGAAGCAGAGATCAGGAGGATTGCAGTTCAAAGCCAACCCTGTCAAATAGTTGGCAAGACCCTATTTTGAAAAAAACCCATCATAAAAAAAGGGCTTGTAGAGTGGCTCAAGGTGAAGGCCCTGAGTTCAAGCCCCAGTACTGCAAAAAAAGAAAAAAAATCCTTTACTCAGTTTCCCAATTTCCACACAAATCACAGGAATTTGAAATCCATCATCCACACATTTTTGAGGGGCTTCACAAAAAAAGGGAAACTTACAAAGTGGAAGTTTAGCAAGGATTCATTTAGCAAAAACAGGATAAAGTAGGGAGAAAGAGAAAAGGGAGAGCAAAGCCTTCCTGGCTGATGTGCAGGAGATGAGAGCAGAGAGGCTGAAAATGGTAGTCCTTGTCTTAGGCATGTTAATGCTTTTTGAGCTGGGGATGCCAGCTTGAACCCTTACCTAGACAAGTGGTTACATCACCTAGCAACTCCTAATCATTTTGCTAAATTCTCAAGCATGGAAACAATGAGTTTGGTGTGGGTCTGTCACCCAAAATATGGAGATAAGGACCTAAGATGGGACTTACTTACTCAAAACATGGATACTATGGTGTAGCATTTAGAGCATTCTTTATTTTCAGGTCTCACTTCTCATTCAAGAAGACTGCAACTTACTTAACAACTAAAAGAATGGAGGGCTGATGGGAGGAATACTTGCTTTACTTCTTAGTTTTCTTATTTTCCTGAATCTGTCTTTTAAATATTTTTTGTTAGTTCTAATTTCCCTATTGCCTCATCCTATCTATCCTGCCTCAGGTACTTGAAGCATGGGAAATAAAAATTATGTAGAATGCAAACAAATTATAGGGTCTTCAAAGTCAGGTCCCAAGAGAGCAAATTTAATTTTGTGGGTAACAGGAAACCATTGTCGACTTCTAAACCAGAGATTGACCAGTGACAATATTATAAGAAAGACAGGAAGAGATTATACATCTCTATGAAAGGGAACTTAGCAAAGAAAATCAAGTCTCAGGATCTCTTTGCAACAAGTGGTCTTAACCTCAGTAGGGTAGAAGTATGATAAATCAAACTAAAAATTCCCAGTGCAGCCTGCCCAGAGATAATATTGTTCGAATTTTTTATAGATAAAGAAACTACACTGTGTAAATTTGAGCCCAGAGAAGATCCAGGAACAAAATTTACGATTTTAAAAGATTTTTTATTTTAGAAAGAGAACACTACAAAATATAATTCAAGTCTAATTAAATGTTTGCAAGACTTGCTTAGTTGTTAAATTTAGTATAAAGTAAAACTTCCGTTGTTTGAAGTTCTAGGTTAGATTTTCCCACTTGATAAAATTTTCCAAGATTGCATGATGATTGTTCAGACAACACAGCCAACTTTAAATATAAGGAGTTATTCTTAGCCATTAATTATATAAACTGCTGTAAACAACAGGTTGGAAGGTCGATGTGTGAGAAAAGATAAGATAGTCTGGCCTGAGAACAGAATGCTCATTTAACTACTTATGTGACAAGAACATGAATACATGTGAATATTGTTTCCTGAAATAAACTTACTGGTAGAAATTGTGTTTAGGATGATTCCTACACGCTCTAAGAAAATTACAAACAGCAAACCCTTAGTTTCTTCAGTTTAGGCTAAAATGAACTATGAGTTTTATTTAGACATAAGCTTACTAGGTAGTTTGTATGATTTACCATTGATTTAATAAAGTTCATGAACAGCTAAAACTGGGAATTCAGAATGCTTCTCAATGAGACATATACCCCAGACCTCATTATATATGTTTCATTGCAAGGAAAAAACAAAACAAAACACTTCCATGAGCCGGCATTAGTCTATCTGTTTAGTGTCAAAACCCACTGTTTTTCTTGTTGGGTGTTGTGTTGGTGTGGAGAGAGGACGTAGGTGAATAGTTCTTTGAACTCCCGCACGTACGTGAAGACAAGGGATCAGTTTCATGAGATATACAAGGTTGGAAGCATTTGAAGAGGTTTGCTTTTTCTCTTCTTTGTTCTGGATCCACTCTCACTGTAACACGATCAGCACACACTCTCCTATGCAGGCAGCAGGTATTCTGGGAGAAAAGCTCAAGTTGATTGGCAAGAAACCTTATCCTTAAAGTCTGAGGCACATAGAACCTTACTGCAATTGCTGTTAGACTGAGGTTATCCTGAGATCCTTTTGGGAATAACTTGCATCTGGACTTAACAACTTCAAAAGTCCTGAAGTTGCTCACAGACAACATGCAGGTGAGTTTCTGATAATCTTTGAAGCATTTGATATTTATTAAAATGGGCTTTAAGCCTGCTAATGATTTTCTATGTGTAAATCATCAGCACTGAGGAAATGGAAAGGAATGCAGATTATAATTGTAGGAGTTTGTTTTGTTGGTTTTTTTCCTATTTCATGGACATAGACAAGAAAAGGTAGGAGTCAGGATTCTCCAATGATTAAGGATGAGCACCAGCATTAGACGGATTTCAGTCAAAATCATGACCCTATTCCCAATCCCTTAACCACTGTGTTCTTGGCCAAATTATTAAACCATTTAATTTAATTCTGAAGATAACCTATTTGGGAGGGCTCAGTAAGTTAAGGTCTGTTCAGCACAATGTCTGGCACACAGCAAGTGCTGAATATGAGGTAACTATATTTATGGGAGGCTTTTTGGTTAAAGTTACAATGAATAAAAATTTAATTTCTTTAATGTTTCCTGATTCTATTACAATTCTGCATATTCACTTCCAGATGGAAAGTTTCTACCTCTTTTGATAAGGCAGAATAAGCTTGGCACATGTTCATCCTAGAACTCTGAAGAGGTGCTATGCAGAGACTAGAAATCTGCCCATATTGACAGACATATCCAATGGATTTGGAGACAAAGTCAAAACAGACCCTGATTCAGTATTAGATTAAATTGGAAAGTTGTACTTACAGTTGGATATAAATGTTTGATAAATAGTCAGTGTGTGATGGCAACCAAAAGCAATCACTTCATGGAAAAACAGCCCTTGACCTTTGAAATTAGAGAAGAAACTGATCCAAGTGCTTCCATTGGAAAAAGAGCATCATATATTTTCCTACAGGTTTTTATCACAAAGCTCCCACTTGTTAAATAATATCCATGTATCTGTGTCTGATCTTCTTTGTATTCCCAGTGTCTAATACAGTGTCTTGTACATAACAAGTAGGCTTTCATCTAAACAAGGAAGAAAACAACTAACTACCACTTTCCTTGGTGTCTACTTTTGCCAAATGCTGCATCTGGAAGCACTGCAGAAGACAGAATATGATGCCTGTGACCCACAATTATAGAAGAGGAAAATAATAACAATAAATAATAAACACTTAAAATAGAGCATGCTGCTAAGTACTGCAAGAAGTCTATACAGTTCAATGTGTGTGCGGGGGAGGGAGACAGGAATGGAGGTGAAGCTTGAATGAACATGTGTCCTTTTCTTATTTAGGTGACATTCTGCAGACTTCGGACTCACCAGTGGTGTTTCATTCTGTTTAATATTGTATTATTTCATGCCTTGCTTTTTGGGGCTGACTTTGTGGAAGAATATTTTCTGCATTCTTTGCCTCATATAGATATGAAAGTTCTTGAAATAAAGGCTAAGGCAAGAAAATTGAACATGGAACCTCTAAGAAGCAATCCCTCCAAGTATTATGTCCTCAGCCAGTCAGAGGTGTGTAAAGGGAAGAACATTTTTTTGCTTTCTCTTATCTTCAGTAGCCCAGGAAATGGAGCAAGACGAGACCTCATCAGGAAAACCTGGGGTAATGTGACCAGTGTCCAAGGGCACCCCATTCTCACACTATTTGCTTTGGGAATGCCTGTTTTGGTAACTACTCAGAAAGAGATAGACAAAGAGTCCCATAAGAATAATGATATAATTGAAGGAATCTTCTTGGACAGTTCAGAGAACCAAACACTGAAAATCATCATAATGACCCAGTGGGCTGTGACTTTCTGCCCTAGTGCCCTATTCATTCTCAAGGTCGAGAAGAGACGTTTGTCAATCTACCAAGCTTAGTAGACTATCTTCTCAACCTGAAAGAACACCTTGAAGATGTCTATGTAGGGAGAGTTATCCATCAGGATACACCCAACAGAGATCCTCATAGCCAGGAATTTGTACCTCTTAGTGAGTATCCAGAAAAATACTACCCAGATTACTGCAGTGGCGAGGCCTTTATAATGTCTCAAGAAGTAGCTTGGATGATGTATGTGGTTTTCAAAGAAGTACCTATTATGGTGCCTGCTGATGTATTTATAGGAATTTGTGCTAAGTCCATTGGCCTTATACCCATCCACAGTTCAAGGTTTTCTGGGAAAAGACACATCAGATACAACAGATGCTGCTATAAGTTCATTTTTACATCCTCGGAAGCTACAGATGTTGAAATGCCCCTGGAATGGAAGGAAATTAATGATGGGAAAGAATGTTCACTGTTTGAGACTTACTACGGGCTCATTTCCTGCAAACTTCTGACATACCTTGACGGCTTTAAACGTTTTCACATGGGGACCACAGAAAACAATGCTATGTATTTTGGTGACTAGGATTCCTTTGCTTTTCTTGTAAGTTTATTTTTTTGGTCTTTGTGGTATGGGAGTACTCAGGGCTTTGTGCTTGCTAGGCAGATTCTCTATCACTTGAGCTACATCCCCAGCCTATAAGTCTATTGTTTTTAAATTGCCATCTATCCATTATATAAAGTAACCCTTTGTCTCCATATTTTATGTAGTTTCTCTGAATCTTTACTCAAACTTAGCAAAAATACAAAATGTTCTTAGTGCTTTGATGTACACAATCTTGTTAAATATGGCATGATTCTCTTCAAAATAAAATGTTTCAGAAAAGAGAGATGACATTTAATTACAACTTTTTTTTAAACTGGCATATAAAATTATATATATTTATGGTATACAACATGATGTGTTGATGTACTTTCTGGAATGACTAAATTCAACTATTCAACATATGTGTTACCTTACATATTTTTTGTGATGGGAACACTTAAAATCTACTCTTCTAGACATTTTCAAATATATAATATATTGCCATTAACTGTCATTACCATGAAGTATAATGGACCTCTTGAACTTATTCCTCCTGTCAAACTGAATTTGTCACCTGACCAACATCTCCCTGGTCCCCTCCTTCTGGCATCTAGTAACCATCATTTTACCATCTGTTTCTGAGTTTGACATTTTTACTCTCCTCCCAGATGCTGGGATTACAGACATTCACCACCAAACCTGGCTCTGGACATTTTAACAGTATTACATTTTCCAATCCATGAACATGGAGTATAATTATTTGTGTCATCTACAGTTTCCTTCATCCCTGCTTAAAATTTCAGATCCTTGGTTAAGTTTATTTCTAAATTTTATAGCTTGTATTTTCTTGATTATTCTTTTGGATAGTTCATTGTTTGTATATAGAAATACTATGGGCTTTTTGTATGCTGATTTTGTATCCAGTAATTTCAATTAATTTGTTCCTTAGTTTTAACCTCTTTTTGGTTTTGGGTTTTCTACATGTAGTATCTGTCATCTGCAAGCAGGGATAATTTTATTTCTTCCTTTCCAATTTGGATGATTTGTATGACCATTTTCTCTGGCTAGGACTTCCAGAACTATGTTGAATAGAAGTGGTAAGAGCAGGCATCTATTTCTTGTCCTTGGCCTCAGAGGAAAAGCTTTTGTCATACATGGACTTTACTGTGTTGAAGCACATTACTTCTATATTTTATTTACTGGGGCCTGAGCTCAAGGCCTCATGCTTGCTAGTCAGGTGTCCTACCACTTCTGAGCCATACCTCCAAGCATTTTTTGGGGCTAGGGTTTTTGTCCAGTGCCAATCTCAGACTGTGTATAACTTTTATCAAAAAGGATGTTGAATTTTGTCAAATGCCCTTTCTACATATGTTGAGATGATAATAGTTTTTGTCCATTTTGTTAATGTATCACATTTATAGATGTACATATGCTAACCCATACTTGCATGGTGGGATGGAATCCCACTTGATTATAGGGAAACAGTCTTTTAATATACTGTTGACTTGGTTTGCTAGTATTATTAAAAGATTTGTACACATATGTTCATCAGAAATATTGGCCTCTAATTTTTTTTCTTGTAGTGTCCTTGTCTGGCTTTGGTATCAGGGTAATAATACTGGCTTTATAAAATGAGCAGTCCTTCTTTTTCTGGAAGAGTTTAGAAGGACTGAAGTATCTGGTACAACTCAACAGTGAGTCTGTCAGGTCCTGGATTTTTCTTTGATGGAAAACTTTGATTCAATTTCCTTACTCAGTTTTGATCTGCTAAGATTTTCTATTTCTTCATGATTTAGTAGCTATTATTTGGTAGGTATTTTTTGTTGTTTGTTTTTGAAGGTACTGGGGTTTGAACTCAGGATTTCACATGTGCTAGGTAGGTACTCTATCACTTGAGTTATGCCACCAGACTCTATGTCTTTTGATTGGAGAATCTAGTCCATTTTTATTCAAGGTTACTTCTACCATTTTTTTCATTGTTTTCTGGTTGTTTTATAGATTCTTCCTTACTTTTGTTTTTATCTTCCTTTGTTATTATCTTCTCTAGTGATATGCTTTGATTTCTTACTTTTTATCTTTTACCTACTAAAGGTTTTCGCTTTGTGGTTACCATGAGGCTTACACAAAACATTTTATAACAGGCTATTTCAAAATGGCAACAATTCCTCCTTACTTGTAACACTATATTTTACTCTACCTCCAACATACATTTTATGTGCTTTATGTCACAATTTACATCTTTGTACATCCTTAAAAATTTTATCTATTTTTTGACTTTACTTTTTGGTAGTACTGTGGGTGGAACTCAGGGCCTTGTGCATTTTAGGCAAGTGTTCCACCACTTCAGCCATCCCTTTTGAGTTTGTGCTGGTTATTTGAAATAGGATCTCACTTCATGCCCAGCTGGCCTGAACTGTGATCTTCCTATTTGTGCTTCCCCATGTAGCTGGGGATGATAGTCATACACCACTGTGCCCACCTACTGGTTGAGAATTTCTGGACTTGAATTGCTATCTTCCCAATCTCAGTTTCCCAAGTAGCTAGGATTATAGGCTTGAGCCACTGCACTGGCTTTTAGTACTTTTCACATTCAAACATCTTAATAAAGGTATAAGTCACTTACATAACACCATTCAAGTATTCTGAATTTCTGTACACATTTACTAATGAGTTTTATACTTTCCTATGTTTTTATAGTATTAATTAGCATCCTTTTCATTCAACTTAAAGAATCCCCTTTACCATTTCTTTTATTTTTTTTTTATAGAACACTTCATGAATTTGTGCATCATCCTTGTGCAGGGACCATGCTAATCTTCTCTGTATCGTTCCAATTTTAGCATATGTGCTGCTGAAGCAAGCACTAGCATTTCTTGTAAGACAGATCATGTGCCTGTCTATTTTTTATTTCTAACGGACACATAAACATTTTACATATTCATTGGGAACAGGATGATATTTTGATATATTTATACAATGTAAAATAGTCAAATCAAGCTAGTTAACATATCAACCACTTCATACATTTATCTGTTCCTCAGTTTTTTTTGTCAGGAAAGTCTCTATCTCTGCTTCATGTCTGAGGGTCAGTTCTGCTTAGTATAGTATTCTTGGCTGGGAGGTCTTTTTCCATCAGTAGGTTGAACACATCACCCACTGTGGTTTGTGTCCTCTCCAAAATTCATGTTGAAATTTAATCCTAATGCAACAGTATTAAAGAGGTGGGTCCTCTAGGAGGTGATTAGATCATGAGAACACCCTGATGAGTGGGATTAAGACTCTTCTTGCCCTTTTATCTTTTGCCATGTGAGGATGCTGCCACAAAGTGCTATCTTATAAGCAGAAAGCAGCCCTCACCAAACGTCAAGCATACTGGCATCAAGATCTTGGACTTCCCTATCTCCAGAACTGTTGTGTGAGATATAAATTTCTGTTGTTAATGAATTACTCAGTCTCAGGTATTTTGCTATAGCAGCATAGACTAAGACATCATCCCACTTTCTCCTGGTCTGCAAGGTTTCTGTTAGCCTTAGTAGAACTCCCTTATATAAGACTCGTTTCTTTTCTCTTGGTTTTCTTAGGATCCTGTCTTTGGGTTGTGTGTGTGTGTGTGTGTGTGTGTGTGTGTGTGTGTGCGCGCACGTGCATACTAGACAAGCACTCTTCCACTGAGCTATATCCCCAGTACTATGTTTGATTTTTAATAATTTGATTGTAATACTGTCCTGGTATACTCTTGTTTGAAATTAATTTGATTGTGGAGATTTTAGAGCTTCTAATACTTGGATATTTATCTTTCCCCAAATTTGGAAAGTTTTCTGCTATTATTTCTTTAAATAAATGATTCAGTCCTTGGTCTTTCTCTTCACTTTTAGGATATCCTATAAATCTTTTAGGATATCTATATTTAAGTATACCTTCCCCCCACCTCTGATTGTGTATTTTCAAGTAACTAGTCTTTGAGTTCACAGATTCTTCCTCCTTCTGGACATCCATATGTCTCCCAACAGTATCTCCAAAGACTCTGCTTGATCTAGTTTGTTGTTAAAGCTATCCATTAAACTCAGCAGGGAGATGCACATCTTAAATCCTAGATACTTGGCCAGTGGAGTCAGGAGGATTCCAAGTGTAAGGCCAGCCCAGGCAAAGTTAGTGAGACCCTGTATCTAAACCAAAAAAGGGTTGGGAGCATAGCTAAAGTGATAAGAGTACTTGCCTACCTAGTTTGAGGCCCTGGCTCAATCCCCAGTACCAAAACAAAATGAAACGACAAAAAAAAAAAACCCTCTCTCAATTGTAGTTTTTATTTCACTCATTGAGTTATCATTAAATTTTCATGTTTCTTGAGTCCCTGTTTGACATTTGGTGGAACAATCACGCCTTCATTTTCTAGGGTGGCTTCCATGGGAATGACTGTCACCTGCAGTTGGATCCTGCGGTGGAGGCAATGTTATAGTATGTGCAGTTTCTTTAGCTATAATCAATGCCACCAATGACTGTAACTCCATCGGTGGCCTAGGGTCCAGATTTTTGTGGTAATTATGGCAAGGTAGATTGTTAGGATTCTTAGTGGCAAGGGCTTTAAGGATATTCCTGTTCTCAGTTTCTGCACTGGCAAGACTTGGCTGAGGGGACTCCTCTTAGTGCTGTCTGACATGAGGCACAGGGAGTCATGACAGCACTGTTTTCCAGGGCACAGGTGCTTGGAGTGGCTGGGGGGTTGAGGTCCAGGGCTCAGTGTCTTGGTGAACTACCGACACGCACACAAGTTCATTCTCTTAGGCATGGGTGGACACAGCTCTCCTATCAAGTCAAACCCTGTGACTCTGAACTCCCCAGCAGCTCAGGTTCAGGGAACAGAGTCCAACACTGGCATGGCTCTAGGGACAAAAGGTGTTCCCTAGGCTCAGATCCTGAGGAGCAGGACATAGTTGCAATTCGGGTTCTAAAGCCAATAGGCACAGCGGTAACCTGGACATTAGGATACAACAGATGTGCAGGGGTGATTGTGGATCTTGGAGAGGTAGGACACAGCATTGCTATAGGCTCTTGTGATACCACTGCAATGGCCGCAGCAATGTGGGGGGCACAGTTGTAGCATGGCCTTTAGGGAATGGGAAGCAGTGCAATAGTGGCTTCACTCCTCAAGAAATGGGAACAGCTCAGACTTTGAAAGACAGGTTTGGAACCAGGAAGGAGGGGTGCTGTGGCTATTCATCCCAGAGGAAGTGGGATCAGCTGAGATTGTGCTTCTCTGGTGGTAAGGGGCTGGATGTCATGTAAGTTCAAGCACTAATGTTGTAGTTGTTCCTCTGGGTCAAAGCTCAGTTTGGCCCAGGTCAAGGCATCAGGTTGGTTTAGGCACTGAGGGGCATGCCTTCTCCATTGGGCCTACTCCTGGAGGGGCAGGGCACCATGTGGACTTAAGAGCTGGGGTCACAGCTGTTCAGCTAAGCCCAGGCTCGAAGTAGCCAGGGGCAGGATGCTGCGAGTGGGACAAGGGAGGTGGAGTGCCTTCTAGGCAGCTAGTTCCAGGGGGCAGGGACCTGCAGCAACTCAGTTTGGAAATGGTACAATATTGTGAATAAGCATGGTATATAATGGTGGCAGAGCCTCAGGGATGGAGAGATGTAGAATGCACTCTAGCAGCAGCTCCAGTATCCAGTAGTAGCTTGGGGCCTTGAAGCCTTGGAGTTGGGATCTGGAGTGTACCACTTGCTGTTTCTCAGTAGTCTCAAGTAGAAACTACCTCTCTGACAATAGCTGTGATGGCATGAGATGCAGGAGTCTTCTGCACAGTAGAGTAGGGGCAGGTGGTACTGGAATTTGAACTCAGGACCTTCCACTTGAACCATGATCCAGCCTTACATCTCTCAGTTCTGAAGCTGACTCTCAGACAACAGGATTGTAAAGAAACCTTTGAACAGGGGATGTGGTGTGCAGAATGCTATGCTGTGAGAGGACCCTGGAAAACATATGGATATAATTTGGCAATAAAAAGGAAGATTACCCTTTGTAAATTAAGGAGATGGCGTCCTACTTTATACATGTTGCCCTTTCTAACTCTGGTTGTTAGAAGTCAGCTTCCCTCTCATCAATTCAAGATAGTTTATGATCAGAAAAATGAAAGGCAAAACCCTTAACAATGATGACCTGCCAATAAATGACAGTTTAGGGACCTTTCTGACTAATATCATCACTCTCCTTCTCTCAAAACTACAATAGGGTGAAATTAATTGATAAATAGCAAAAAGCCTTAAAAGAAGGGCTTGGATATGGCCCAAGTGGTACAGCACTTGCCTAGCAGGCATAAGGCTATGAGTTTGAACCCCAGTATGCCAAAACAAAACAAAAACCCCCAAACAAACAGCAACAAAAACAAAAACAAAAAAACCCCACACTTTTTTAGAGATTTATTTGTGTCTGCTTTTCAAAGGAATAATGGAAACAAAAAGTATTTGTTTCTTACATGGAGAATATAACTTGATTCCAAACTACTAGTTTTTCAAAAATATATTCAAGATTACTTTTAAAATGGAATCAGAAGAGAAAAAAGGACAGAGAGAGAGAGAGAGAGAGAGAGAGAGAGAGAGAGAATGAAGAGAATTTAGAAACACTTTGGTTTCATTTTATTTGAAGCAGATTCTTAAATCAGACCATGAGTACATACATGGAACTTTTCTGAGATCAAAACTTTCACTTTAACTTGATTCCAAACTACTAGTTTTCAAAAATATATTCAAGATTATTTTAAAATAGAATCAGAAGAGAAAAAAGGACAGAAAGAGAGAGAGAGAGAGAGAGAGAGAGAGAGAGAGAGAGAGAGAATGAAGAGAATTTAGAAACACTTTGGTTTCATTTTATTTGAAGCAGATTCTTAAATCAGACCATGAGTACATACATGGAACTTTTCTGAGATCAAAACTTTCACTTCATTGCAAAGATTAAGGTAGTCACAAGAATCTGAAGAACACTAGTTCTCTTGTGATCCTATTTGCTTGCTTTTAACGTATTTCAAACTCCTGGTTCCACTTCGTATTTCAGGGTAGATACAGAACAATGTTGGTGATGTTGCATTAGATACTCCATGATAGCTCTGGGAAGAGGGAAGTCTGTTTTATAAGACACAGTTGCAGCCAAATGCCTTCAGAGAAGTGCTGGTCAAAACATGGTCCCCTGCTTTAGACTCTAGAAGAAATCAATCAGCACCTTCCACTGCTGTTGTGGAAACAGGTTTTACATAGTATGGACCTTCACTCAAGTATGTTCTAAGTCTCAAATAATTTGGGTTCCCAAAGATTTCTGCAATTGTTTTGGAATTGGCAAGGGCTTTTACCAGTTCATACTTGGCATCCTTTGAAGCTTTGTCATGCTCCACAGACCGGTCCATCACATATTCTACAAAACCTGGGCTGTTAAACATAAGTTTCTGAGCCCAGGGTTGGTTTGCAATGGCCTGAAATAGAAGGCAGAAACAATAATTCCTTTGGCCTTAAGAAGTTAAGTTTGAGCTGGGTGCTGGTGGTTCATGTCTGTAATAGTTATATGGGAGGCTGAGACTGGGAGAATGGAGGTTTGAGGCTAATAATTCATAAGACTCCCATCTCCAAAATAACCACAGCAAAATGGACCAGAGGTATGGCTCAAGTTGCTTTGCAAGCTTGAGGTCCTGAGTTCAAACCCCACTCCCACCAAAAAAAAAAAAAAAACCAAAAACCAAGTTTGTTAGTGGGATGGCATAATACTTAGAAACGTGGTAGCGTGAACCTTACAAACAAATTAAACCCAACGCTAAATGTTAAAAAAACTGTACATAAAGATATTCATCACAGTTTGGGCAGGGGGAAGGGGGGGAAATGACCCAAACATTGTATGCACATATGAATAAAATAAAAATTAAAAAAAAAAGATATTCATCACAGTGTGAAAGCTACAATATAAATACCAAATAATGGGGGAATGGTTAAGTAATTATAGTATATAGCAACAAAAAATAAACACTAAGACTAATTGTTTACAAACAATAGATAATGACATGAAAAAAGTCATACACAAGATTTAACTCATACACAAGGCATAATTACAACAGTGGAAAATTAACAGCAAAAACTAGAGAAGAAAAGACTATCCTAAAGACACTCAAATACATACACAAGATAATACGTTTGAGAATGTTCATGGTAATATCATTTGTATAGATGCTATCTAAATCTTCATTTGCAGAAGAATGATACACTATGACTATTCAATGAAATACTGACTTTCTCATTACTTCTTTTAAAATTGGTATATTTTAAAAATATAATGAAGAGAAAAAGCAAATTGCAAAGTTCTATGAGTAACATGATACCATTTATAAAATATATAAAATACTGCACAAAGAATATATAAAATACTGTACTTTGCTTATACACACAACATGTAATAGAAATATGAAATCACTTATGGGCCTATATGTCCTAAATTTGTTATTATGATTTCTCAGGGCAGGGGAGTAAAGGGAGAAAGGTATGAAAACAAGTAATAAAACTAAAATGAAATACAACAAAGGCATATAATATGATTTTAAAATTTTCAATTTTTCATTTTTCCTCAAAATTTAAAATAATGAATAAGAAACATTAATGTTATTACATTCTAATGAAGAACAAGGGATGAGTTTACAGTTTCTTGTTCTTGAAATGCATTTCAGAAACCAGCAGCACAGCATCGTCTGGATCTCAAGCTTCATCTTAGAATTACTGAATCACATGCTCCAGCTCAATAAGATCCCTGGAATTAATATCTGAGAAGCACTAGCCTAGACAACAGCAGCCACAGATGAAAAGTGGCCGGAAATAAAACTAGTCATCCCAACCAGCAAATCAAAAATTATCTCTACAACCATAGTCACCTAAGCAGACAATAAGGTAGAAGACCAAAACCAAAATAAACTAATGAGATACCAAAGCAGGTGCCAAAGTGGCAATCTTGTCTGATGACAATGGTGAAGTAGTCTAAAAGCATGATAGGACCATGATAGGAATATCCATATCCTTCAAGACTCAGATCACATATTACATCCCCAGGAAGCTTTCTCTGTCTTCCCCTACCAGCTAGGCCTACCATGCTGCCTACATCACATTATGGTAAGACTAGGGAAGTAAACGCTACATATCTATGAGCCCAGAGACTATGGTAAGAGCTGGGGCTACAAAGATAAATCAGATATGGTCCTTACTCTCCACAAACTCTGCTAATAGAGGAAGGATCAATTAATAAACATTTTCAAACCAATACAGTAAATAGTACACACAGGTACATTTCTTAACACAGCTGTAATTACGAAAGGAACTTTACTATTATATTTACTGTCTGGCTCTCTCGATAGACAGGAAGTTTCAGAAAGGAAAGTCTTTTGTTTTTTGGTGGTAGTGGGGATTGAACTCAGAGCCTTACACCTGCTAGGCAAGTGTTCTACCACTTAAGTCATGCCACCATCTCTTTTTCCTTTTAGGTTATTTTTCAGATAGGGTCTTGCATTTTTTGCCCAGAGCTGGCCTCAGACCACAATCTTCCCACCTATACTTCCCATGTAATTGGGATCAGAGACAAATGCCACCATGATTGGCTTTGTTTGTTGAGATAAGATCTCACTAACTTTTTGCCTGGGTTGGATTTGATCCATGATCCTCCCCAGTAGCTGGAATTACAGGTGTGAGGAACCATCATGCCTGGCAGGGAAGTCTTTATAAAATTTTGTGCACTGTTAAATTTTCTACATCTAGCAAACAAATTCAACAAGTAAATGCTGAATGAATATGATACAAGAGCCAACATCATTTAACTCAACCTTGTCAGTCTGGGCAAAATGAAGAGATACCTGAACTACTTTTTTTTTTTTGGTGGTGGTACTGGGTTTAAACTCAGGGCTTCATGCTTGCTAGGTAGAAGCTTTATCACTGGAGCCACTTCACCAGCCTGAGTTAGTTTTTGAAGAATAAATGAGAGGTTAATAAGCAAAGTTAGGAAAGAGTGTTGGATGCAGAAAGCATAGTGAAGGTCCAGACATATGAAACAAGCAAGTTGGCATCACTAGAGCATTAAGTACCAAAAGGGAAGTGCCAGGAAAGAAGGCTCAGGAAGAAGATGAGGACTGGGTAGACTGACCATGAGATAAGGAGCTTGGAATTAATTCTGTGATCCAAAAGCACCCTGTTAAGCCTCAAACAGTACCTAATATGGAGACCCAATCTCAAAATGCTTACCATCTGTCTCCCTCATTGGTCTCTAAAGTAACAGAGGGCAGCACCTGTGTTGTAAGTGGGTCCATTCCCAGAGTATGGCATTAGGACTGGCCAATTTTAAGTAGGCATGAGTTGAACTGGCACAGTTCCAGAAGGCCCAAAGTAGAGGAGTACCTACCGTGAACACTTTTAAGGCAGCACAGTGTAGTTCAGGGAAGGGCTGATTACTGATACCACGAAAGAGCTCCAGTGGGTCCCGAGATAAACAGGAAAACCAGGATTCGGTCATCCTCAGGAGGTCATCAGTCTGCTGCTCAGGCTACAGAGAAAAAAAAGAAAAGAAAAGAAAAGAAAAAAAAAAAATCTCATGATGAAGAAAAGAAAATCTCACAATGAAGTTAACTTGTCTGGAGAAAAGGACATATTTGCAAGTCAGAAAACCTGGGTTAATTTCTTTTCTTTTTTTTGCAGCACTAGGGTTTGAGCTCAGGGCCTCATGCTTGATAGGTAGGCTCTCTACTATTTGAGCCACTCTGCCAGCTCTTTTTTGTATTGGGTATTTTTGAGATAGGGTCTTGATTTTTGCTGGAGCTAGCCTCAAACTACAATCCTCCTGATCTCTGCTTCCCAAGCAGCTAGAATTACAGGAATGAGTCACTGTTGCCTGGCTTGCTATGTTATCTTAACTAAGTCTAGAGCATTATTGCTCAAATCCAGCCCAGAACATTCCCAGTTTTTGTTGGGGCAGGGTAAGCAATCTCTAGGATCTCTTCAGTTCTAATACTGTATGAGTCCATTTAACTTAAAAATGTCACTAGTCATATAAAGAGAGCTATCTTCTTTTACTAAAAGTGATAAAGATGGCATTTACTTGGTCAACATTTATATTAAGCTAACTAGTATTATATTGACTTAGACATATCTGATTTATTCTCCCAAACATATCCCAGTGCCTTTCATTAATTTCCCAATACTCACTGGTAAATACAGAAGAGACGAAATTGCATCCAAACATCTAATTTTTAGCTCCATGGAAGCATTCTTTGCTTGATGTCCTATTCTTATAAGCAAGCGTTCAAAGCGAGTTCCTTTGAAAGAAATAGTTGTTTTGTTGTTTTTTATACAGTGTTAAATTTACCATTTTAAGCACACAGTTCAGTGCTATTGAGTATATTCCCACTATTGTACACCATGACCATCATCTAACCATCTTTAAAACTTTTCTAATAATCCAAACTAAAACTCAATACCCCTTAAACAATAGTTTCCATTCCTCCCTACCCTCACCTCCAGGTAACCAATGTCCTATTTTCTAATTTTTAGGAATCTGACTATTCTATGTACCTCATCTAAGTGGAATCATGCAGTATCTGTCTTTCGTGTCTGATTTCCTTTACTTAATATGTCCTCCAACTTCCTGTACCATGTGTCACAATATCACACGTTAGAGAAAGCAAGATTCTATTGTATGTACATAACACATTGTTTCTCCATTTATCAATCAATGAACATTGGGTTGCTTCCACCTCTTTTAGCTATAATAATGCTACTATGAACATGGGTGTACAAACAACTACTTGAGTCCTTGCTTTTAATACCTTTGAGTATACACCTAGAAGTAGAATTGCTGGATCAAACAGCAATTCTGTTTAATTTTTATGTGGAATTTCCATATTATTTTCCATGGTGATTCCTTACCATTTCACATTTTCATCAGAAAACATAGGATTATAATTTCTCTATATCTTAACACTTGTTATTTTATGCCTTAACATTTTTTTGGTAATTTTTTTTTTTTTTTTTTGGCAATACTGGAGTTTAAACTTAGGGCCTCATGCTTGCTAAGAAAACACTCTACTACTTAAGCTACTCTGCCAGCCCTTATGTTTTTAAATTTTTAAATAATGGTGATCCTAATGGATGTGAAGTGAAAAATGAAAATTTTCAAAGTATACTTTTATGCATCATAGTCCTTACCAACCTAAACCAACACAAAAATAAGCATGTAGTCAGAGACCATGTGACAGACCTAAAACATACAACTATACGCAATGCAGCATATATAAGGCAAAGTGTATAGGATTGGAATCAAAGGACCTGGATTTGAGTAGCAGCTGCCCCAGTCTGTATGATCTTAGAAAATTTTCTTAACTTCTCTGAGTTTCAGCTACCTTATCTGTAAATGAGAATGACAATGGTATGTTCTTTGTAGGACTACAGAAGGATTATATGTTATAGGCTAAAGCACTTAGAAGCTAACATTAGTGTTAGAACTGGGACATGACATAGTCTTTGTAGAACAATTACTAGTCAAGAAAGATGAAGAGGACAGTGTTTGGTCATAATTGTTGGTAGGACCCTGAACAAAGAGAAGTAAAAATTAAAGGTGTTCAGTACAAATTAAGAGACTTTTAGAGATGAGTTCAGTCATGGGTAAAGACTGCCAACCATAGAAGTAGTTTTTACAATGTAGTTAATATACTAGCAAATGTATTTGAGTACTGAATCCTTGTCAAAAATTAAAATATACCTAAAGAAAGCCAAGACAAGCATACCAACCTGTTTTCTGTAAAACCTGTTTTCCTTCAACATTGGACCCCAGGATTCCAACTGTGTCTACAGCTACACCAATCATGGTGGGGTCCTGACTTTCTATCATTTCAAACACTTTTTCCACAAAGACAGGATAACGCTCACAGATCTGCTGAGGACTATCCATGACTGCCAGGTTTCCAAAAAACTTCACAAATCCTGAAGATATACATACAAAAAAAAATATACTAAAGATACATATACAAAATATATTTTAATAGGACAGCACAAATTGTGGGTCCTATGTTTTCATAAGAATAGTAATAAATTATAGGCCAGAGTATTGTGATGCCTGGAAATCAGAGACCATAAAGAGATCAAAGAACCTCTGATACATGGAATAGAAACCCCAGAATGGCAACAGAGCTGGGTCAAAATACTGAGTATTATAATATGCAAGAGGCAGGACAAAGAACAAGGTCTTATATTTCAGTTTTTGATATATTGTGTTGATTTTTTATAAGGTATGAAATATGGATTAATTTCATTCTTTTGCATATTAATATATAGTTGTCTCAACACCATTTATTGGGAAAGCTGTTTTTTCCCACTGTGTGCTGTTGGCATCTTTGTCAAAAATTAACATAAATTCATGGAGAAGTCTCTGAACTCTATTCTGTCGCATGGGTCTGTGTGTGTGTGACTTTATGTCACTAACAGTTTTGATTACTATAGCCTGTAGTATATTCTAAAGTCAGGTTGTGTGATGTCTCTGGCTCAGTTCTTTTTGCTCAAAACCTCTTTTGCTATTTTGTGCTTCCACATGAATTTCAGGATTGTTTTCTCTACTTCTGGGAAAAATGTCATTGGAATTTTACTGGAAATTGCACTCAATCTGTAAATTGCTTTGGATATGGACAATTAACAATATTAATTCTTCCAATCCATAAACCTGGAGCATCTTTCTATTTGTGTCTTCAATTTTCATCAGTATTTTATATTTTTCAGTATACATATTGTTCACTTTCTTAGTGAGATGTATTCCTATGTATTTTGTTGTTTTTTTTTTGGATCATATTGTAATGGATGGTTTCCTTAATTTCTTTTTTTGGATATATTTGTTAGTGTTCAGAAATGCAGCTTTTGGTAGGGTGAAGAGTATTCTATACATGAGACCATGTCATCTACAAATGAGAGTTTAATCAGATTTGGAAGCCTTTTATCTTTTTCTCTTATCTAACTGCTCTGGCTAGAACTTCCAGTACTATGTTGAGTTGAACTGGTAAAAGTGGGCATCCTTGTCTCATTTCTGGTCTTAGAGGAAAAGCTTTCAACTTTTCACCAAAGAGTACAATGTTAGCTGTGGATTTGTCACACATGCCTTTACAGTGCTAAAATACATTCCTTCTATACCTAGTTGAGCTTTTAAGAGGAAAGGATATTGAATTTTGCTACATGCCTTTTCTGTATCTATTGAGATGATCTTTTTTTATTATTATTATTATTCATATGTGCATACAAGGCTTGGTTCATTTCTCCCCCCTGCCCCCACCCCCTCCCTTACCATCCACTCCGCCCCCTCCTTCTCCCCCCCTATCCCCTCAATACCCAGCAGAAACTATTTTGCCCTTATTTCTAATTTTGTTGTAGAGAGAGTATAAGCCATAATAGGAAGGAACAAGGGTTTTTGCTGGTTGAGATAAGGATAGCTATACAGGGAGTTGACTCACATTAATTTCCTGTGCATGTGTGTTACCTTCTAGGTTAATTCTTTTTGATCTACCCTTTTCTCTAGTTCCTGGTCCCCTTTTCCTATTGGCCTCAGTTGCTTTTAAGGTATCTTATTGAGATGATCTTATGTCTTTTGTCTTTCACTTTGTTAATGTGGCATGTTACATTTATTGATTTGTGAATCAATAATTGTGGTTGATCATCCTTTTAATGTCCTACTGAATTTCGTGGCTATGGGTATCTTCTGAAAGGAACCAGCTCTAAGGAGAACAACCCCTGAACTCTCCCAACTGATAGAACCCAGAAGCAAACATGTACTATCATTTCCAACAGTATCAATGTTTCTTACCTGGCAAATAGAAGCTAGAGAAAGGGTCTGAATCTGCCCCAACAATTATATTAGAAATCTGGTCAATTATTCCTTCTTGAGCAAGGTACTGTCGTCCATGATAAGTATATGCCAGTGAAGTCACCATCTCTATGCAGGTCGCTCTAATATGAAAGACAAAATTAGGAGATTCTGCATATAAGTAGCATATCTTAAAACTGTTTTCATATAGGTTATTATATTTAATTCTTCCCACCAAATCTTTAAGGTCCATAATACTGGCTCTACTTTTTAAATGAGGACAAAAAATGTACAAAACTGCAGTGACTTATCTGGAATCACATTTGTTAATACAAGGAAGAGTTTAGACTTAAATCTTGTCCTTTTTAACTGGAGGCACAGGATTTTTTTAAGCTTTCGTTTCATTTTGAAATGTCAGAGCATAATACACATAACGCTGATTTAATTCTGCTTTACTTATTTCATTTTTTTTTTGTTTCTTTGTTTGTACTGGGGTTAGAAATCAAGGCTTTGCACTTGCTAGGCAGGTGCTCTACCACTTGAGTTATGCCTCCAGCCTTTCTTTCCATTTGTTTTGCTAAACTATTTTTTTCTATGTCTTCATTAGGCTCAGATATTCTAATGCATTGAAACAACATAACTAGCAACTGATTTATACATAAGTTTAATAAACTTAGTCACATTTAAAAAAAATAGGACAATCAGAAAGGCACTTAATAGAAGAAACATAAAAAGCCATATACAGAAAGATGACAACTATAATGCTATTATAACAGCAAGATACTTCAAGTCAACCAAGTGCTCAATAGCATGGATGTAGTAGTAAACTGGAATATCAATAAGGCAACATCTGGCAGATATTTAAAAGGAATTTAGGGAGTAGAGGGAATAGGGAGATGGAAGATACTGAAATTAACATTTTGAGGACCTAATTCAGCCACTGTATTAGTTTCTATGGTTAATTTGCTTAATCTTCTTTAAAGAATTGTTACTGTTCTGCAGGATGCCAGTGGCTCACACCTGTAATCCTAGCTACTCAGGAAGCAGAGATTAGGATTGTGGTTTGAAGCCAGCCTGGCAAATAGTTTGCAGGACCCTGTCTCAAAAAACCCATCACAAGGGAGGGGGTGGGGGCAGGGGGGAGAAATGACCCAAGCCTTGTATGCACATATGAATAATAAAACAATAAAAATAAATAAATAAATAAATAAACCATCACAAAAAAGGGCTGGTGAAGTGGCCTGAGTAGAAACATTACAATCATCTGATAAGATAATAGGTTAAAAAAAAAAAAAAAAAAAGGTATGCAAGCTCAACCCTTCATCCTTTGCAAAAGCCGGTATTTTATCTATCATGCCACAGTACTATTATTTAACAATGCCAAAGAATCCACCTGATAAAATGCTAAGTCATCCAAAATGGCAGTTATCATGTGTCTACAGTTGTTTAAGAGCACACTTGCCTAGGGACAGAGGACACAGTCACTAGAAAACAGCTGAAGTGTCTTGCAGAGCTTTGCTTAGTTGCACTATGTTGTCATATTATAATATCAACAATTTTCTGAAGGCCTTTTCCTAAAGACACACATCAGACATGGGATTGAGTCTTGGACACAGGCTCTAATATGGAAGATCAAGCTAAGTCCCAAGGTTGTTTCTTGGCCTTGCAAAAGAGGAGGGTGGGGGGCATAGCTCAATTGGTAGAGTGCCTGCCTAGCAAGCACAAGCCATGAGTTCAAACTCCAGTGCCATAAAAAACAAACAAACCTAAAAGAGGACATTTTGATTTACAAACTCTCTTAAGTCAACACACCTGACCAGTACATCCTCACCAGTCAGCTCTCTCAAGAGCTGGGTCACCAATCCACTTGTAGTACAATAGTTTAAAGATTCTGATGACACAGAAGAAATCTCCACAATTAGCTGAAAAATTAAAAAAAAAAAAAAAAAGATCAAATAGCCTCAAATCTGTGAGGTTTCATTTTAAGTTAAATGTACAACTAGGTATTTTGTATAACTGAATTTTAAAAAATCCATTATTTGTCTTTCATTAACATATAAAAATTACTTTGGCTTAGGAATATTCCTATGAAATCATCAATCAGGTACAGAGCTCGAATTAGCAACAACAAATATTAAGACCATTCATTCACAGGTAAAATATGTAACAGTGATAGAATGCTTTCCTAGCATGTACAAATCCCCAGCACCACAAAAAAAAACAAAACAAAAAAACAAATTACTGACACAGGCTATCAGCAACTTAGTCACTTCATTTGACAAGCATGTTCTGAGAATTTACTGAGAGATATAAGACACTGAAAGGTTTTAAGCAGAGAAGTGACAGAATCAGATATGGGTTTTTAAAAAGATCATTCTTATGCATATTTTAAAACATTACAGTATACACGGTAAATATATACAATCTTTCTGTCACTTTAAAAAAAAAAACAATACATTTGAGGAACAAGCCATTCTGACTGCATGTAAGATAGACTAAGGATAAAAAAATCTTTCAATTACAGCATATTGATGCATAACGAGCAAGAAGGAATATGTGCTTCTAACAAGTAAGTGAAAGATCAATAGTCTTTCTTAGACTGGAACACAGTGCCACATTCTAACCTCGTTACTAAGCAGCTTTTAGAACAGCAGTTACATGGTTCTTTTAATTATAATACAGGTGAACAAGACCAGTATAGAATATTTGGGGACTGTAGGTATGTGTGGCTCAAGTGGTAGAACGCCTGGTAGGCAAGTGTTAAGCCCTGGGTTCAAACCCCAGTCCCACCAAAAAAAGAAAGGAAACAAAAAAATATTTGTATGCAAACACAGTGGTCCAGCTAAGTAATACTCATAGGTTGGTCTAGGGTAGTGGTTGCTATACTAATGAAGAGAAATATACAGGTTTAAATAAAATGGACACAATGTGCTGATTGAATAGCTATGTGGCAGAAAGAACAGATCTCACGAAGAATGAGCTCAAAGTCTAATACCAAATTTTGAGACAGGGCCAGTTTGCTGCTGCTTTTTTTAAATCAGGGGCATGCAGTGGATGAGTGTGAGAGTGTTGGAATACATTCAGGTGGGCAAAAGTGAGTAAGCAGTTGAATATGAAGGTCTCATATCATCACATAGGTTGGAACTAAAATCACAAGATGAATAAACTTGCCTAAGTCTGAGTACAGACTACATTGAGAGCAGGGATTGGGAGTTCACCTTCATGAACGTCAATAACTAAAAGTTCAATAAGGGATAATAAGCCAGAAGTCAGAGAAGAAAACACAGACATAGATAGAAGGAAAACTCGGGTAGAGTGATACCAAGACATGCAAAGTAAGCAAGTATTCTGAGATGAATTAAGATTGTACAGGGTTCCACTTTGGATACGCAGCCCTACTAAGAACCAATTACTCCTTCAATAGTGATGTTAATAACAGTACCATATGAGGTTTACTATGAGAATTAAAGACAGTATTTGTGAGAATTTTAGCCTAGTGCTCAGTACAAACCTGGTAGAAATAAGAGCCATTTCTTCTTACTACTACTGGTAATAATTAAGTCTAGTTTTCAATGATATCTCCTCTATTACTACACTACACATTTTTTTTATTACTATGCCATAAACAGGCTGGGAACACTTCCAACACATCCCAGTACCTTATACCATGCCTAACACAATGCTCAATAAATGCATATTAAGTGAGCCATCTTGCCTTCCATTGTAAATTTACTGCATTCTGTCTGTAAGCATCAGAAAGTGTGTGTTTTCAGTCTTACCTCATATACCCTGTATCGAACAATGTCATTTGTCTTCATTACAGTTTTCAAATCATCCAGCAGATTGCTTTCAAATAAAGCCTCCAGTCCAGCTTGGGTTAGTGATATTCTTGACAGGGATTTGATAGCCTTATAAGGAAAGAAAATATATTTTAAGTCACGAAAATACAGAATATTCCTATCTATTGCCTAAGATTGATGATGAAAATTAGTGTATAATATGTACTCATTCAATAAGTATTCACACGTTAGCTATTGTTATTTTTAACTGGAAAAAGATCAAGAAATACAATGTAAACCAAATAGTTAAGTATGTGTCCTAGAAAACAGAAGTTCACTATTTATTAACCATTTATTTATTTGATATTATCTATATGAGGTTATAAAATCAGTTCCACAAATCATCCATTCTAAACTTTTATCTCTCAATTTAGAAGACCTTTTTAAACTCTAAGATACTAATGTCTCTACATGTTTGTTGATGGTTCTAGCAAACTCACCGCTTTAGCTACAGATAGATTCTCTCCACCAATGCAATAAACAATTTGTTTTAGTAGTTCAGGATTATTTAGAATCTCAGTTACAGCATCTGAATTTTCAACAATTCTTCCAACCTGAAAAATAAGATACTCTTCTAAGGTACAGCACATGTGAACTCATGTTCAAAATTTCCCTAGCAATTATTTTAGGAGTTAGTGATTATAACTACTGATAACTCATTAAAAAATCACAATGACTCTAATTCATTAAAGCCAAACACATATATGGCATAGTGATATCTTTAAATGGAAAGAAAAATTCAATGGATAAACAGAGGAGTTAGGTCAATGAGTAACAATACAAATCCCAATCATCAATTTTTAAGTGCAATGAGTTTGAGCAAATTAAGTAACTTCCTTAAGTCTAATTTTTTATTTGTAAAATAGGAAAATGATACTTAATTTTAGGGTTGTTATGAAGATTAAATGAGACAGATAGCCAAGGCACCTACTACAGCATCTGATATAGATATGGTCAATGAAAAAAATCTATTGCCTTTCCCCTTGTTACTGAATAAATAATTTAGAGAAGAAAAGGAAAAGCAGCAGAGGATCTACCAAGAACTAACTGCTTAGTTCCCAACACTTCAGTAGCTAGACATCAGTGGCAGCTCTTCACTCAACAGCAGGATGTTTCAGTTGCCAGGGTAACAATTACTAACTTATGAGCTTAATGACCTTGATAATAGCACTGAGACAGGATTCAACATGGCAGAGTAGCTGCTCAACACCTGAGAATCTTTTTCTCTAGACTAGGAGTTACTTAAAGAAAAAACAGATTTATCTAGATAATTCCAAAGGCATATGGCGCAATACCTAGCATGTCAAAGGAATTTAGTCAGTATTTGATTAATCAACGATCAACATGTTACTTAGAAGAAACTCTTTACTTTAGCTTATATTTAGAGATTATAGTTAGCTAGGCACAACAGAATAGACATATCTTAGGAACTGGGAGGGACTGGTACCCAGCACAGAACCTGGCTCAGACAGGTGATCAATGTTAGTGCCAGTAAAATTTCATACCTGGGACAGAGTGAGGATTTTTACAGAGTCATCGGGGTGAGTCAGTCCCCTCTGAAGATCAACCCTGAGGTTCCTGGCCACGTGGACTGGCTCCACAGCTTGGAGCAATCTCTCCAGAATGGATACACACAAAGTAATCTGTTCCCTAAAGGAGACACCATAGATCTCATTAGTTCATTCATGTCCTGTCACATTGGAAACAACAGCTTAATAGTTGAAGCTTCACTCACTGAAGATTTCCTCCACAAAGACTTTTCTTCTACTCACTCATTAAACATTTACTACATACCTATTATTTGTCATGCCTGTGTTGGAACTAAAAGGAAGGGTAATAAATATTCTCTAGTCTCAAAGAGCGCAGTCTCATGAAAGATACAGGAAAAAAAAAAGCAACTATAATCCAGATAGATAAATGATATAGGGTACAGCTAAAAGCTATAGGAGCTTAAAAAAGAATACAAGGTATAGGGAAGGCATCTCAGATGGGTATACCTGATCTAAATTTTAGGAAAAAGAAAGAGCAATCCAGAAGAAAAGTGTTCCAGGTACTTTTACTCCAGGAGTAGTAGCACATGAAAAAACACAGAGGAATAAGACAGTGTTAATACTTTTAAGGAACCACATGGCACTTGGTAGGACTGGGGTCACAATGAGGGAGAGCTGTGGAAAAAAGGGTGAATCAATGTAAGAAATGAAACTGGAAAGATGCACAAAACCAGACCGAGAGGTCTCTATGTCATGCTTGGAATTTAGGCTTTTTCATAAAGCAATGGCAAGCCAAGGAGTCGCTTTAAATAAAGAAGTGACACCTGAGATCCGACAAACAGAGTCAGTTTGGGTCTGGGTACACAGACCATTTGCTTGGCATGTGCAAAAAAAAAAAAAGAAATGTCACTCTGCATCAGTCTTAGAGAAAGAACTTTCTTTTCTTTTTTTTAAGTTCAAGTTTATTAGGAAGTGGGTCATTTCTACAGAGAAGGATGACTACAGAAAGAACTTTCAAATTAGAAGGCAATACATTTGGGAGGTGATGAAGGCGTGAACCAGGGAAGTAGTAGTGGGAATGAAGAGGGAGAAGACAAAAAAACTAATAGAAAGCTAAGTTAATCATAACTTGATGACTACCAGTTGTAGATACAGGTCCTGTTTCAAGAGTAATTTCCTTGTCTCTTAATAGACAGTACAAAAGTGGGCTAATAAACTAGTAATAGGAGTACACATATTTAAACGGATACAATTTTTCTATATGGTGACTAAGGAATACAAAAGACTTAAAAATTGAACATAGTCTTACTTTTTTGCGATATTAGGGTTTGAACTCAGGGCCTCTTATGCTTGTTAGGTAGGTAGGTGCTTTAACACTTAAGCCATGTCCCCAATCCTTTTTGCTTTGGTTATTTTTTTTGGATAGATGTGGGCCTCAGACTGCCTCCTTCCTACCTCCTCACACATGGTTGGGATCACAATTGCACCCCACCTTCCTGAGTTTACTAATTCAGGTATGTGTGTGTGTGTGTGTGTGTGTGTGTGTATGTAATCTCATTAACTTTTTGACTAGGGTGGCCTCAAACCTCGACCCTCTCAATCTCCCTGATTGCTGCTTAAGTAGCTGAGATTATAGAAATAAGCCACCATGCCTAGCCAAAAATGAAATACTCTTCTTAACTCAGGGATTCCACTTTGTATAACTGAGCCTAAGGAAGTAACAAAGAATGTTTCTATACCCAATAATTGAAGACATAATTACACAAAGTCTGTACACAAATATTTGTAACAGTAGAAACAACCTAAATGTCCATCAACTAATAAACGGATAAATACAATGTGGTATAGGCACGCAAGGAACTCTTTTCAGTAATAAGAAGGGGAAAGTACTCATGCATGCTGCAATACAAGACTGCCTTGAAAATACTTTGCAGAGAAGCCAGACAGAAAAGGCTTCTTTTTGATGATGATTTTATTTATATGAAATGTCCAGAATAGACAAATCTTGGTTTGCAAGTGCTGAGGGAGAGAAACAAAGAGATATGGCGAGTGACTGCTTCTGGATGTGGGTTTCTTTTCCTTTTTTAAAACAACTGTGATTAAAGCCAGGCACGGTGGTTTATGGCCTGTAGTCACAACTACTTCAGAGGCTAAGGCAGACGAATTGTTTGAGAGTTCAAGGCCACCCTGGGCAACATCTAAAAACAAAAAAAGAAGCCAACTTGGGATCATTCACCCATTTTAATAATTCTTCAGGCATACAGTACTGTGGGAATAAGCACATTCACACTACTGTGCAACCACACCATCATTAATCTTCTGAACTTTTTTTAATTCCCAACCTGAAATACTGGAACCATTGAAGACTCCCTATTCTCCCCTCCCTGGCCCCTTTCTTTTCATTCTCTTAACTAGAATGTTTAATTTTGATGAATTCCAATTGATAACTTTGTTCTTTTAGAGAACACGTTTTTGATGTCATATCAAAGAAATTTGCTGAACCCAAGGTCACAAAATGTTTTCCCCTGAAGTTTTATAGTTTAATTTTTATATTTAGGTCTATAAATCTACTTTCATATACTGTTCGTGGAAATGTAAAATGGTATAACGTCTTCGGAAAACAATTTGTCAGTTTCTTAAGAAGTTAAAATGTCTACTACCATATTAATCAGCCATTCTATTGATTAATGAATGTTACTCAAAGAGAAAATACTTCTATGTAAAAACTTGTACATGAATGTTCATAGCAGTGTTGTTATAATATCCCCAAAAAGAAAACAACTCAAATGTTTATCAACTAGAAAATGGATAAACAAATTTCAGCACATCCATACAACAGACTACTACTCAGCAATGAAAAGGAACAAACTCTTTATTCACACTGCATGGATAAAGTTCAAAATAATTATTTTGTGTAAAAAATATCAAGAGTGCACACTCCATGACTCCACATATATAATACTTCCCCCCCCCAACGAGTCAAAACCCCAGTAACCTTATCTATAGTGATAGAAAGCAGACCAGTGGTTGCCTTGCCGAGGTGGGGGAGGGATTACCAAGGGGCATGAAGAAACTTCTGGGAGTGAAAGATATATTTATTATCTTATTGTGGGAATGGTTTCACAGGCATACACACATAGTAAAACTTGTCAAATTATACATTACATGCAGTTCATTGTATATAAATTATACCTCAATAAAGCTGGTTTAAAATGAAGAAAAAACAACAGTGGTAGGTTAAGCTGCATAGTGTACAAATTCCAGGTCATATGTGGCTCTTTGGTACCAATATGCCAAAGAGCTAATAACTCACAATCAGTCTTGTTCGATTTCCACATTGTAAATTAGTAATCTTAGGACTTCATTTTCCTCACAAAAACCTGAGATTCTAGACTTATATCCACAAGATCAGAACCTGAACCAATATGGTAACCTATGTGGTTTAGCCAGGATGATAGCAGTGTATGTGGAGACCGCCAGAACACTATCCAGAGGGGAATCATTCCCATAAATTTGCAACAGGCATCTACTATGTATTCGGTTGTGAACTGCTGTCTTTAAATTTCCATTAAACTGCCTGCTAGAAACTACTCCATCCATCATTTAGAAAACTGTCCTTTTTTGTGCCTTATTTCTCAAACTCCCTGTCACTGTAGTTAGTTCCTGTTTTATCTCTGTTACCAACTTGCAGTATGGCCTTTGAAAGTCTCATCTATAATTTGTAGTTGTACGAGGTACCCTTTCCAGATGCTGAGCCTCATTTTGTATCTGGCAAATATAGTATTACATATTTTGCTAGGAGAACCAAACAGAAAATGATCCCTGCCTTCAAAGAACTTACAAACTAGAAATACACACATAGAACAAGGCAATTATGTCAAGTATCATTAACAGAAATAATGATAAAGTCCTTTAGGAGCTTGCAACTGAAGTAACAGAGAGATGAGGGCATTTAAATTAGAAGGATTGGTAGGAATAAAGTTGAGAAAGTGCAAGTCATACTCTAGGGAACATCAGTGGTGTGACAGGGTAGGTAGATTAGATGAAATATAAGTGGAGTAAAGGCAGAAAATGAGGCTGCTAAAGTAGGATGGAAATACACTGGAAATGGCCCAAATACCAGACTAAGAAGACATGATTTTACACTGTAGGCAAGGGAAAAGATTTGAACCAACTGACATGAGAAGTTCACCGGGGGTTGCAGGGTGCAAAGGACTAGTTAGAAAAGTAAACTTAGAGGTAATGAGTGTCAAGATTAACACAACAGCCCTAGTAAATGGAAGAGAACGAGAGCCTACATTAAAGAGAGACTACGTAAGAAACATTTCACAGGTAGACTTGAATAATGGTAACTAATGTAGTTAATGAGAGAAACATGAAAAGGGGAAATACCTTAGGTCAGAGCAAGGGGGCCCTCTGAAATAATCCAGTGTTGATCCAGAATTATCTTTTCAAGTGAAAAGGTGACTTTTAAATTCTGTATCACAAACATCTTATAATTCGTTTAAGTGATCAAATTATTAAAGTGTTTTTAATTGAACACTAAAGATGTGTATTAAATCAAAAGTTGCAGTCCTAACATTTTTAACTCTCATTTCCTTGCTAACAATTTCTACTGTATCTCTGCAGATAATCCCATGCTATACCCATTATGAAACATTTACACACAATGGAATCACAAGCTTTGAAATTTTCTTTTTGCACTGAAGAACAAATATTAGAGCTCTTTCCATATCGACATATATAGATCAACCTCAATTATTTTAAATAGCAGCATAATGTCACATAGCATAGTGTTACACAGTAATGTATAATTTACCTACAATCTCTTTTCAATAAATATTTAGGTTGTTCTTAGTTTTTTGCTGTCACACACCATCTGCTATGAAAATTCCTACAGGCACAGCACATTTTATAAGCGTCTACTTGCATTTCTAAAATTTCTGTAACAGCAATAACTGAAATTAAAAGGTGTGTCAAGTTAAAATGTTCATGGATCTTGCCATATTGCCAGGATAGCAGAGGAGGAGAAAAGTCAAGCACTGGTACACAGGCTGTGGAGTTTTTTGCAGGTGGCAACCTTGCTTTTCTTCTCCCGTGGCTACTTCACGGATAAGCAGTGAGGCTAGGCGACCACAGCAAACATGCCCAGGGCCACCCCTCCGCGGCTGGCCTGAACCACAACTCCTGACTCTCAGCCCACGGTTCTTCACTCTCTGCAATTAAGGCCTCCGCTGCAACAGGGAAAATCACTCCCGTCGCCCCCACCCACTCCCGTTTCCATACTTGCTTGGGGGAGCTCTCATCCCTGCTCAAGCCCCAGGGTTCTCTCACCGATGGTTTTCATTAAGCAGAGAGAAAAGAGGACCGAGGTGCAACTCCGCCGCTTGCTCTCGAAGCTCCCTGAGCGGCACAGCTTGTACCACGGACTGCAGCGCGCGCAACTCCTCCAGCGGCGCTTCGAGCCGCGCCACCTCCCTCAACAGCGCCAGCGCCTGCGCCGCCATCTTGCCGGCTCCAGCCGGCCCACTCATTAGGTTCCCGCGGCTCTTCTCTAAGTCTCGCGATATCTGCTTGGTGCAGCCTTCTGTTGGGTCCGCCAAGTCTCGCGAGATAAGGTCAATTATGAAGAGTCAAAGGTCGCCAGCTGTGTTGTGCTTCCAGCCTGTGCAGAGTAGGTTACGCGTCCGAGTTTCTAGCAGTTTGCTAAACAATGGGAGGGCTAACCTTTGCCGGGTGTCCGGCAGGCGGAACAGAGCGGATGAGGGCTTACCGGCAGTTAAATGGCCCCGAATCAAGCTCTGGCAGCAGAGAGCGGCGGCGGAAGTTGCTCTGGGCGGGGCGGCGTGCTTGGGAGAATCGGATCCCGAGCCTATCAAAACGAGGCGGAGGCGCCTACCTCTGGAAGGCAGGAAAGAGGTTTTCCAGAAGGTGGACCAAGGCGTGAGTGATACGGCTGTGGGTACCATTTTGGCCTCGATGAGTCAACGGTACGCCTGATTAAGAAAAACAGGTCGCATTGGTCCTGCGTGGAGAAATTTCTCAGTCTACTCCAAGATGTTGTGCATTCCTGTGATATAAGCACCGGGGAAATGGAGGCCGCCTTAACTTTCTCAGTAGAGTAGCAGACCATAAAGGGGCAGCCAACGACCTCAAAGCCATTTGCAACCATGCCAAACGGATCTTGTAGGTATCTGGTGGAAACCAGCGGTCAGGGCAATCCAGATACGGTTTGAGACGTTTAAAAGTTGCTGCTGTTTGCGAAATGTGAGGTTGATGGGAGAGGAAGAACCATTAAACGCTGAGTTGACACCCAAGTATTTCAAGAAGTTGGAGAGATTGATCAGAGATTCCTCAGCAGGTTCCCAGTTTCAAGCAGATTGTTGCGGGAAACAGCGAGGGAAACAAAGTCACCGAGACCACTTTGCAGGAAGCAGGAATTTTATAATTCTACCAGACTCGAGATAAATTCTCAAAGCCCTGAGCCCGGATCAGTGTCAGGAGATGAGTTATGTACCCCCCCAGGTGGGTAATGTAACCAAGGGGTTTTTGCAGTATATGGTTCGCAGGTGGTCAGAAAGACAAGTCAGTTATAGAGAAACAAGTTAGTTACAGAGTTTCCCCTCAACCCCCCCACCCCGACAGAATGTGGTCACAGTTACAGGAAATCTTGCAGAGCCTAGCTGGAGGCCTGTGACACTTTTGAGCTTGCAGAAAGCTGCTTGTAGCCCCCATAGTAGGGAATTCAAGGTAAATTCTAGACACAGTAAATCCCAGAAAAAATAGCCACGTTGGCTCCAACAAGATGAATCTCTTTTGGAAGTGCATGCCTCCCATATTTTTAAGGAAATAGACAAAAATCGGGAAAGCTTAGAGAAACTAAGGTCAGGATTTCCCTCATTTTTTTGTGCCAGTGCCTCAGGGCTCAGGTGACAAAATGATAAAAATCATTGCAGCATTACAAGACCTTAATCTCCTTCGTCTTCTGGAAAAAGATAAAAAACAACAACAAAACGCCCTCCTGTGTTCTGGCGATCACACCCCGAAGTATCTATAACCACTGCCCTCTTTTTGGAATGGTTTCTCAATCGTTTGTCTATGAGGCCCTAAGTTAATGTAACAGACAAAAAAAATTTGAATTTGGAGTCTTACTTATTACAAACAAAAGTCCCAACAACCTGACTTAATATTCTTTGTTCCTAATGTTGATGTGGTTTTTCCCTGGGAAGGCACTAGCTTTCTCCAGTCCTTGTATTATTGTATAATTGAAGCATTCAGGTGGTATTGCAGCAAACAAACGTTTGACTACTTTGCTGACTTCATAGATCTAAACCCTCACTGTATGTTTTAAAAAAAAGAACATGGCAACATTACAACATCGCTGATACTTTATTAATGGTTAAAGAGGTGATGGATGACATAAGACAGCCATTTTTAATAAAGCTTAGTGGGAACTTTGAGAGGATGCTGCGAAATAGTATGTATGTTTTCCTAGAGTTGATGAAGTCAAAATGAAGAAGAAAAAGTCCATAGAGTCTGCAAGATGGGTGAGTTATAAATTCATCAATAGCAAGAATAGTGAAAATAATGAGCTACTCAATCTTCGGTGATAAGAGAGTCTATATCTATAGATGAGGAAGAAAACAAGTCCCTGCCACCAGAGGTAAATATAAGGGAATTGAATTGAATGCTGTTTTACTGCCAGTCTTCAGTCCTCACCAATATTGCAGTTGATAGGGATCCTTTCCAGGACTGAAGTTTGGCTTGAAAAAAGTTGTGGTAAATTGCTGTATATCTATAAAGTGGTGCAGAAGAACCTTCAAAATCAAAGGAGTCCAAGAAAGAAAGATGATGAAGTGGATGATGGAGATGAATGCAGGATCTGAGTCTGAGGGGAAATCTGAGTCTTTCTCAGAGTCTGAGACTGCCAGAATCCTGTAAGGAGGAGAAAAGGTGGAGAATAAAAAGTGCCAGAAGTGCCTGGACCTTCCGGCAATGGTAAAGACTTAATATATCTGAAGAGCCTGCCAAAGCTATAAAGGCAGAATTGGACTTCTGGAATCTAACCTTGGAATTGAATCTGAAGAGAGTAGAGGTGTCTTGAATTGAAGGATGAAGAATATCTAGAGGTTATGTCTTCCAAATAACAGTCTCTTGCTATCCTTCTGTCATTATCTCAACATCACCTGCATCTCTACCATCATTCTTAGAATCAGCAGTCACATGTCTATAACATTTAGTCATTGAACAAACACTGTGTAAACTCTGTGCAGGGCCTTGTGTTAAACTTGGGAATTCATCTCAGGAAATCATCTGAGGATCTGAGGTAAATGGTCATAACATTGTCCATTTTTATTGATGTAATAGATATAAAAGATCTTGATCCTGATTTATCTTAGTGTTCTTAAATTATAAAGGTTTTCTTAGAATTAGTCTTATTTTCTCTAACCATATATTTTTACAGACACAAGTTTTTCAATCACAAATGAGAATAGGTGCTCTTCAGATGGTGATGCAGTCATACATTTTATAAAGCACTTTTTTTTATTTATATGTGCATACAATGTTTGGGTCATTTCTGCCCCCACCCCCTCCCTTCCCCCTCACCCCGCCCCCTCCCTCTTCCCCCCACCCCCTCAATACCCAACAGAAACTATTTTGCCCCTATCTCTAACTTTGTTGTAGAGAGAGTACAAGCAATAATAGGAAGGACCAAGGGTTTTTGCTAGTTGAGATAAGGATAGCTATACAGGGAGTTGACTCACATTGATTTCCTGTGCGTGTGTGTTACCTTCTAGGTTAATTCTTCTTGATCTAACCTTTTCTCTAGTTCCTGGTCCCCTTCTCCTATTGGCCTCAGTTGCTTTTAAGGTATCTGTTTTAGTTTCTCTGCGTTGAGGGCAACAAATGCTAGCCAATTTTTTAGGTGTCTTACCTATACTCATATCTCCCTTGTGTGCTCTCGCTTTTATCTTGTGATCAAAGTCCAATCACCTTGTTGTGTTTGCCATTGAGCTAATGTCCACATATGAGGGAGAACATACGATGTTTAGTCTTTTGGGCCAGGCTAACCTCACTCAGAATGATGTTCTCCAATTCCATCCATTTACCAGCAAATGATAACATTTCATTCTTCTTCATGGCTGCATAAAATTCCATTGTGTATAAATAGCACATTTTCTTGATCCATTCATCAGTAGTGGGACATCTTGGCTGCTTCCATAACTTGGCGTTTGTGAATAGTAAAGCACTCTTAATATTAACATTCTCTGTTAATCCTTACTTCAAACCTATGAAAGATCTAGTATCTCTTTCTTTACCAAAAACCACCCAAACCCATAGAGATTAAGTAACTTGCCTGCATCTACACAGCTAAAATGTACACAGCAGTATGAGGACTACAACTGATTAACTACTTTATCAGACACTTTGCTAGGAAGTGTATCAAGCCTTCAAGAATTTATAGTTCCAAGGAATGAGGCAGGTTAATTACGACAAAAAGGGAAACCACTAGTGTCACTAAACCTCCTTCCCTGTGTTCAGAGTTGTCATTTTAACATTAGGATATTTTACATTGAAAAGCTGGGTCAAAAGTTTGAAAACCCTGCCAACAATGCTCTCAAAAGGACAATAGTCAGACATTGGCTTACTGCTTGTCTTTCTTTGTAGCTCCTTAAAGTGTATGCTCAATTGCTTTGACCTAAGTGTGTTATGCCATGTGCCTTAGGAGAAGATGACTGTGTGATTATCTCTGGGAAAGGCTGTCCAGAGCCTGGAAGGAGGAATGAGTTCATTAGGGAGAGAAGTAGGGAACAAGAGTGTTTTAAGCCAGGGAGAATTAGAAGGAAGGTTCTGGGAGGAAGAGTGGGGTCAGAGAGCCATTTGTGCTTCACTTTGTTTTTGTTGGTGACTTGGGCCTCTTCAGAGAAGAGTTTTGTGTGTGTTTAGTGTTTGTGTGCTATGGTTTCTGAAAGTTTTATAGTGTAAGGAAGGTTTGTCTTTTATCTGTACGTCTCTTGGGATTTCATGATTTTCTGTTTGAATGGAAAAAGAAAATAGCATTTATTTTTACAAGTGTTAGGGGTCTGAGAAGGTGCTTAGGTTGTAAGATTCAAAGGAGAGGGTGCTCAGTGAAAATCTCTTTCCCAGCTGCCTGCACTGTCTTGTGGCTAGCCTCCTGCGGAGAGGCGGGGCTGGGTAGTGAGCCTGCAAATGGAGATAGGGGGAGAGGGCAGTTAAGGCCCTTAGTGCCCGCCCACCAGCCAGCACCCAGCAGAGGCTGTAATTTACTGCCACTGCCTGGTGCTAAATTACCAGCGACGCCATGGACAGACTGGGATCATGGTGCCCTCTGTCAGGCTTCCCTCGGCCTTCTGTCCTTATATGCCTCCTGGTGAGTGCTCCAGTCTACAGTGCTGCCAACCCTCCTCACCCTTACACCCACCTGGGAATGAGGGAGAGGAATGAAAGGAAGAAAGCATATTTCCCTACACTGCTTTTGGGATTTTGAGCTGGGGGCAAGCAGGTAGGAGGTAAAGTGCTACTTTGTCCTGAGGATTGTGAGATGGTTTTTGGTTACCAGCACCCCTTTACTTCTGCCTTCTAGGGAAGGTGACTGGGCTGTGTTCCATTCTAGAGTCGGGGAGGGGAAGGGATATTTGCTGCTGAATTCTCAGCTAAACTGCTCATGGTAAGTTCTTTCCCCCTTCATAATGCAGTTACCATCTCATTTTTCTGTAATTTTCCTGGGGCATTTTCTCATCTCTGGTGTCAAGTGTTAATGTTGGAAGTGAGAACAGAATTAATTGCAGTGGTGGTAGGGAGGGTTCTAATCCAGCCCTGCTGCTCACTTTTGGCATGATTGATCCCCTTGTTTGGCCACTGTGTCCTCATCCATGAAAATTGGTACTTAACTTTTGGGAATGTAAATCTCTTTGAGTTGTTTTGAAAGTTCTGGATTGGCACCCCAAGAAAATGTATAGATAAACTCAATGTTGCATTAGATTTCATGGTATTTTAGTTTTTCTTAAAACTAGGTGGATTATAAGTTTAATGCCCTGGTTTAGGTGAGGTCCTTTCTGCTTTGTCACAGACTTGTGAAGTCAACTGCAACCTTTTAAAGGTAATGTACATACTCTAGGACAAAAAAGGGAAAAAGTCCTGAGGAAAGAGGAAGTAACTGAAAGGATACATAACATTTATATTTGCATTTTATAAGACTATAAAATTAAGTATATAGTAAAAGACAAATATGAAGAGGTGTAAAGGACATAAATATAAAGTCTTTATAATGTAAAGACATTTCTTTAAAATTTATGGTAAATATTTTCCCGTATAATAAATGTTTTGTTAGGAAGTGTGTTTATTTCCATTGGTTTTACATTCATATAATTTCAGTTCCTAAAATTTTGTCATTCACTATTGGGTCCAAACTGACCATTCCTGATTCTGATAATTTGTTGATGTATTCTGGAAACATTTCTCAAGCACATACTCCTTCTGGGGTGGTAAAGTGGGAATACAGAAATGAAAGAGAATGAAAATTTCCTGTCCAGGACCAGGTATGGTGGCACACATATAGGCATCTCTTAGCAGTGTGTTTAGCAAGAACTGGGTCATACTGGATGGAACACTTTGTGGTGTTCCAGCACAACAAAAGGAACACTCATCACAGGGTGGCTGGCCCACAAAGAGGAAGGAAGGTGCTAAAATAGAGGTAGGAGGATCATGGTCTGAGGCTTTCCTAGGGTAAAAGGCAGGAGACCCTACCTGAAAAATAGAGTAAAAATGACTCAGGTGGTAGAGTGCTTGCTTAGCAAATGTGAGGTCCTGAGTTTAAACCTCTACCACAAATAAAAAAATTATCTCTGATGGGAGAGGCATATAGAAACAACTCTGTTTCAATGTGATCAGTGGTACAACAGCAGGTTCAGCAGCAGCCCTTGTCTCTACCCACTAGATAACAATAGCATCTCTTCCCCAGTCATGATGGACAACATTATCCCCAAACATTGCCAAATGTTCCTGGGAAAGGGGTGGCAAAAGTGCCCTGAGTTGAGAAGCACTGGATTAAGTCTAACTGAAAAGGCCCCATTGTACTGATTCCTAGTCATGCTGAATGCAATGCGCAGAACCTAGACTGGAAGGCAGGAGTCTTGGAGGCACTCAGTTTCTGTATGGTCTGCATTGATTATTACCTCACTGTTTAGGTAGTACCTGAGGGCACGTTTACATCAGTGTTTTGACTATGAGCTCGTAAGACTTTTAATACATTGTAGGTGAGTTTACATTTAATTCTATTAGCTCTGTGTCCCACTGATACCTGCTGGCTGAAATGCCCCCAGATCTTCCCCCTGGGAATAGCTTATCTGGCTAAAGACAGGCTTATAAGGCTGCTTCTCTTCCTTCCAGTCACCTTAGCACCTTCGTTTCTCTTTGTGGGCCAACTACCCTGTGATGAATGCTCCTTTTGTTTAGAGTTGTTCTGGAAACCTCAGTAGACACCATACAGTGTTCCACCCAGTTTGACCCATTCCTTGCCCTTTAAATGCGTTGCTAGCAGTGAATGACCTTCAACCCTACTTACTTCCCAAGGCTGTTTAGTGTTAGCAGCAGCATTTCACTTGGCTCACTGCTGATTCACTAGTCTGTAAGAACTTACTGAGAACCTGCTGTGTGCCAGGAGCTGTGCTGGGGTATAGTGATGAATAAAGCACAGCCCTCCCATCATGGAGTTGGTGGTGTCAAGTTGCTCTTCCTGTCTTGTCAGAGCACCTGGCAACTCTGAGGTAGGCAATGCAAGTGCCATAGTCTCCAGTTTCTAGATGAGGTTTATAGAAAGGTAGGAAGTAAGTTGTCAGAGGCCACTGGCAACTTAGCAGTACTGACACTAGGATTTCAATCCTACCCTCTAGTGTATTTTATTTATTTATTTTTCCTATAGTCTGATTGAATTGTTGTTAATGAAACAACAGTCAAAGCTTCCTTGAAAAGCCCAGTAGTTTTTTTCTTGTATGGTCACTGGTTTAGTTCAGGAGACTAGTGTGGTGTATTGAATTGAAGGTCCTGGTAGAGGTAGTAGGAGAAGATGAGAACCCAACTCATACAGGCCTATAGTTAAACTGAAGTTAAAGACATAAAAATGCTGTCAAGAAGTAGGAGCCAGGACCTAGACAATAATGTAAAATAATGGGGAGGTCAGAGTTCATTTGAGCAAAGCATGATCCCTGGGCTGGGAGGAGGAGAAACAGCTCCTGTTCACCTGCCTGAGTCACAGCCTTACTCCTTACAAGTTGCCTGTCCTTGTCAGTGGCTCCACTAGATCCCTCAAGCAGAGAACCCTAGAATGGAAGGGTTACCCAGTTTTTTCTTTTCCTCTCATTTTAAGTATTTGTCATTTAAATAAGAAAAAAACATATCTTGAATGTCTTTTCCTTTCATATGGTCACTATTACCTTAGCTCAGGATCTTTTTAGGGGGGCAGGGTGGGTATTGGTAGTTGAACTCAGGGTCTTGTGCTTGCTGGGCAAGTCCTCTACCACTTGAGCCATGCCCCAGGCCTTTGTGCTTTAGTTAATTTTTCAACTAGGGTCTTGTACTTTTGCCTAGGGCCCATGCCAGACTGTTACTCTTCCTATCTCCAGCTCCTTAGTAGCTGGGATTATAGGTATATACCACTATACCCAGCTTGTTTTGGGGTATAGGGTCTCACTTACTTTTGCTGAGGCTAAACTCAAAGCATTATCCTCCTATCTCTACCTCTCAAATTGATGGGATTAAGGTGTATGCCACCATGCCTGTCCTATCTCTGGATCTTAATCTTTTTCCTGGATCATTGAAATGACTGTCTTAAGTAGGCTGCTTTCTAGACACTCCCCAGTCTCCTTACTCTTGTTACTCTACTCTGCTTGGCCATATTGTTACTGTCTTACTTAGAAACCTTTGGGCTGGGTGTGGTGCATGTCTGTATCAGCACTCCAGAGGCTGAGACAAAAGGATCATGAGTTCAAGGTCAGCCTGGTAAGTTCCCATCCAGCCTGAGCTACATAGCAAGACCCTGTCCTAAAACAAAAAAAATCCAAAAAGAACCTCAAAAATCACCCATGAGTACAAACCCCCCACTCTTTGGCCTGACACTTTTCTTCATAATTCTCATCAGCCTCATTTCCTCCTGATCTCCACCAAGCCCATGCAGACTGGGTATTTCATACCTCTTGAGTTTGCACATATTCTCATCTGCTTAGATGTACCCCACTCTCTTTGTAATCCTGCTTATTATTTCAGATCCAATTCAGGTGGCATCTTCTCCAAAAGCTTATTCGTGTTTCCCCAGTAGAGATTTCCTCTTGATCCTCCTAGCCCCATGGTCTCAGTAGCACAGGTTGTATTGTTTTTAGAACCCTGCCTTTTGCACTAAACTTTACACATCACCTGGTAGTATACAGATGAATACAGATGAAATTAAATTACTCACTAAAACATCAGTAGAGGTAAGAATTTATCATCCAGAATAATCTCCTTGGGGTGTTAGCTGTTGAATGGCTGCCTGTTAGAATTGTCTGCAATAGTAGTTTTTTACAAATAAAACACTTGAAGTCATCCAGATTTGAGCAAATCCTGGCTTCATCAATTAAAACTGCGAGCAAGTTGGTTTTCCCTCCTTCCCCTCCGGAGCCTCCATTTTTTTTTCTCATCTACAGAGGAACAAAAACTATTTGAATACTACAACTCAATGTAGATATTGGAAATTATTTTGTGGATAGAGGATGGGGATGAAAAAATTATCTCAGCATGGTTCCAGTCTGCTTGAGCTGGGAGTTACTGATCTGTGCTTTTCTTTTCTACCATGTAGATCCTGACGGCTTCTTTTCTGACATACCCCATGCTCAGGACCCTTAGCCTACGTCTCCACTCAGCCATCACTGGCAGCTACTTCTCTGGTGCTCACTCCATCGTCTTTGTCAACTGTCCCAATGAGCAAGTTGCCAGAGACATTGCCAGGTATAGTGCAGCGGCTGAGGTGCTGCCCCTGAAGGCTCAGGGAGCTACCAGGGTGCTCCAGAGGGGCAACTTTGGGGCCCTTTTCTTGCTTCTGACAGCCCTGTCCCTACATTGATGAACTCCACAACTATCTGCTTGGGATGGTACAAGGAGCACAGCTGAATGATCCCCTGACTGAGAATGTTGAACATTGCATGGGAGTGGAAAGGGGGATATGAGACCACAGAGACAGGCGGCTATAGGAGAGCAGTGGAGCCCTGCAGGTCAACAATTTAAGACTCCTCATTGCTGGCCAAGCCCTCTTTCTTCATGGAGGCATTCTCTGCTCAATTCCAGATGAGCTCATTGGGATAAATGAGGAGGCCATTCCAAATCTTGGGCCGTTTTCTAGAAGCAGCTATGGTATGCTAGACAGGGTTTCCATGTTGGCTGTGCCACTTAACTATGTGTGTGACCTTGGGAAAGTTGCTTCCTGGTTTTTTGTTGTTGTTTGTTTTTTTGGTTTTTTTTTGTGTGTGTGTGTGATATTGGGGATGAAGTCCAGTAGCTTTAGCATGCTGTGCAAGCATTCAACTGTTGAGTCACATCCATTTATCCATTTCCCTTCTTTAAGCACTGGTTTTATGAAGTATAAAATGGCAGTATACCACCTATCTCACAGGATTGGGTGATAAGAGATATGTAATGTATACCTCAGCAAGTGAAATGTAGTAAATGCCCAATAAATGTTTGTTGGTTCTGAATTTCCTCCTTTCTGTTTCTGTAAACATAGCTTTGACACAGGTTAATGAGGATAGAAGTTAATGGGTCTGGCTCCTTGCTCTTTTATTCTTGCTTTAGAACTCAGCATTCTTGAAGTTGGTGGTAGACTAAGATTAGTACAGGGTTACAATCACAGATGCCTACAGGCGAGTGACTTGAATAGAGTGGGCTGGGTTGTAACAGTGAAGGGTGGCAGTGGAAGGCAAACCTCTGTGCTTCCCAGGTGTTAGGAGGGCAAGCAAGGGGAACTGTGTTGACTTGAGAAGAATATTTCACGCCTAGGGGGAACAGCTGCTGCTCAGCTCTAGCTTGGCTAGATGTGACCCGAGGGACTTCAGGACCAATGTGGTGAGATTCATTTCGTCATGCAGAGCTAGGTAATCTGTATTTTTTTGAGTGTGAAACATCCTGATATTAAATATTGGTAATAAAGTTGAAATTTTTTTTAAATGCCACGAGGGCAAAGCTGTGTATCTGGTCTGTGAGCCACTATTCTGTTGATCTCTGCAGTCTCTGGGACCCTAGCAATCTGTGCTTCTCTCTTCTACTTCCTAGGGCTAGAGCTCCCCATGGGTGACTCATTGCTGGTGTTTTAAGTATTGCTATAGCTGCTTTAAAATGGAATTTAGTCAACCCACCATCCCTGCCCTCTCACTTTCTAAGGCCATCAGGGCTTTTTGTATAATAAACTTCCATATTGTATAATTTTTTTTAGCCTACCGGTTGCTATAATCAGTGGTGAGTTTACATTAAGAAAAGATTGGAAAGGGCCTGTGAGGCAAGAGGATTTGTTTTTCTAAATGTATAACTTTTGCTTTGTTTTTCTAGATTTGTAACTCTTGCTTTGTGTTTGTGTGCCTTCTGGAGAACCAAAATGTAATTTCACATCAAGCAAGACTGGTAACAGTTACTTGAACAAGTTTATGCCGTATATATCTTCTTATAGTTGGGAATTTTCTAAGGGAGTGATCAGATGGTGATAATATCACATTAATATGGAGCTTTAAATAGAGTACTCTTCAGCCTGGGAGTCAAGGAAAGACAAAAGAGGTCCATTCTCTTCTTGGCAACAACTAAGGGAAGGAAGGGTCAGTGAGCAAGGCTGAGATAAGGTTTGTTTGGCTGGTCTAAGCACTTCAGAGAACAGTGACAGGCACCCTTTGCTTTCTGAGCTCTCAGAATTTTGCCAGGGCTGCCTGACTAAGTGCTGAAGTGTGAGGTTGGGCACACTTCTTTCTTGCACTGATGACTTGTGCTCCTGTTTCTGCAATACTCGTACTAGTTCACCACGGCTATGCTTAGGAACCAGACTCTGAAACCATAAGCTGATTGGAACTTGAAAGACTTGTTTGACCAGAGATTTCAACCTGGGGGATGTCAGAAAAATTGTAGAGGCTTTCAAAGGAGATGATTGTGTTCTTGAGGCTGTAGTGGAAAACTTTTTTAAAAATCCAAAGTGAAAAGATGTTATAGTTGCCAAATACAGGCTATGATGCTTTCTTTTTGCTTTTGCTTGGAGTTGTATCAGCTCTGTGTGGTCATGTAAGTATCTGCAGGTCAGTTGCACTGAGGGTCAGCCAGATGCATCTTAGAGTTAAAGGGAAAGATAGCATAATGAAAGGAGTTTTTAGTAGTAAGAAAGGTTGGAAATCATTAACTATACAATTCATCCCTTATACAGAAGGAAAGTCAGGTTAAAAAGGGAAAATATAGGTGCTCAGATACCTATTTCTGGAAGAAAAGTGAGGACTTGCTTAAGTTCACATAGCCATTCTATTGCAGGGCTGGGAATGGAATCCAGCTCTTGTTTAGGTCCAGTTATTTCCCATACCCCAAGCAGACTAAGCCTGTCCTTAAAACTGCCTTCCTGAAGGTGCTTCCCAGCTATAGGGACTCACACAGCTCACCCAGAAGAGGACTCAGAAATAGTTGTCTTCAGAGGTTCTGTGTGCTTATGGAATGTGCTGGTTTGAAGAGGAATGTGATGAGTTGATGATGCCTCAGTCTTTTTTCTGTTTCTATAACTGAATTTCACAAGGTAGGTCATTTATTTATAAACTGTGAGTCTTGTTTAACCTTGGTTCTGGAGGCTTGGAAGTCCCAGAGCCTGCTGCTGGTATCTTCCTACATCATAACATGGCAAAGGACATTACATGGTGATACAGAGCAAGCTTGATCTCTCTTCCTTTTCTTATAAAGCCACCAATACTATCATGGGGTCTCTACCCTCATAACTTCACATAATTCTGATCATCTAAAAAGCCCCACCCTCAAATCCATTAACATGATTTATGGGATTAGGTTTCCAGCCTATGAATTTTGGGGGCACATTCAAACCATTGTGGTCTGCTTCTGGCCCCCAACATTCATGTCCTTCTTACATGTAAAATACAATCCCTCTGTCTTAATAGCCCCAAAGTTTTAACTCAAAAGTCCAAAGTCCAGTGTCTCAACTGAATCAGATATACATGCCTACAGCAGATTTACTCCAGTTAGGAGCCTGTGAAATCAAACAAGTTACCTACTTCCAGAGTATAATGGTGAAACATGCATAGGACAGACATTCTCGTCCCCAAAGGGAGAAATAGGGAAGAAGAAAGTAGTAACTACTCCCCATGTAAGTCCAAAACCCAACGAGACATTAAATCTGAAGGCTCTAGAATAATCTTCCTTTATTCCCTGTCCTCCTCTCTAGATATATTGGGGCAGGGGTTATGCCTTCAAGGACTTACGGGGCTCAGCTTAGCCTCAGCTCACTCTGCTTGGTGTTGAATGCTGATTGCTCTATAGTTCTGATTCTTGGTGGCAGTCAGTCCCTTTGGCTCTACTAGGCATCACCCTACTGAGGTCTCTGCAGCAGCTCTGACCCCACAGTTCCACTTTACTAATTACTTCCCAAGTGCCCACCTCCAGTTGCCATTATCATAAACCTTTCAGGATTCTGGAATGCACCCAAACTGTAGCAGGGGAGGGATACCCTAAATGATTGTCTACTGAGACTCATATTTCCAGGGTAATTCACAGGAACCTTTGTCCCCATCCTTGGGACCTGCCCCAGTGACTGCCATCATCTTCTTTGCTTTAGGGCCATATTGAACAAGAAGCTGGCTGCCTCTGTGAACATCCTGCCCAAATCATCTTCACTGTGAGTTTTTGCCCTAGCCAATAGGAGAAAGTTGGGAGTGTTAGGGTTAGGTCCTGGCTGGTGGAAAAAGCACTGAACTAATGAGAAATGGCAAAGAATAATTCAGACACTAATCAACAGACCACAGTTGATTTGTAGTCAGAGGATCAGTCAATCTGTGTCACTCAGGATAAGCAAAAATATGCTGTGTATAGAAAAAGGAGGGAAAAGTAATATTCCCTCAATTGCTCACATCATCTGTAGCAACTGCTCCCAAATTTCGCTGTTATTTTGATCCTTCAGCTCTACCCTAGATCTTTTCAATTAGTCTCCTGAGGGCTCTGAAACTTTAGAACGTTGTACAGGGACTGGGTACATAACTCAGTGATAGAATGCTTGACTAGCATGTGCAAGGCCCTGGGTTCAATCCCCAGCACTAAAAAAAAAAAAAATGTGTACATGTGTTTTGTTAATTCAGTTAGTCTGAGACCCAGTGTTTGATAACTGGAATAGAATATCAGCCTGGCATTCCCTTCAAGTGGTCCATCCTCATTCATAATTGATCCAGTTACCAAAATGCAGGGCCACGGGCCAGTTCATCTTAGGTTTGCCCTACATCAATATAGATCTCCTCAGGCTAAATTTTTCCCTTTCTCAGCCAGGCGTGGTAGTACATACTTGTAAGCTACTCAGGAGGCAGAGCTCACAGTTAGAGGCCTGCCTAGGCAAAGATAGCAAGCCCCTGTCTCAAAAACAAATATAAACAAAAGGACTGGGGACGTGGCTCAAATGGTAGAGTGCTTGCCTAGCATGTGCAAGGCCCTGCTTTAGATCTCCAGTACCACAGACACACAAAAGAATTCTCCTTTGCTCATGATGCTGTTCTTATATTAGCTTCTGAACATTATCACTGACTCTATGTATGTGTGTGTGGTACTGGGATTTGAATTCAGGGCCTGGTGCTTGCTAGACAGGCACTCTACCACTTGAGCCACTCCTCCAGCCCTAGTACTGGGGTTTGACTCAAGGTGTCTCTCTTGTTAAGCAGGTGCTGTACCACTTCAGCCACATACCCAGCTCTTTTTTGCTTTAGTTATTTTTTGAATAGGATCTCATGTTTTTGCCTGAGCTAGCCTGGACCTCTATTCTATTTATGCCTCCTGCATAGGTTCGGATGACAGGTGCACACTACTGTACTCATTATTGGATGAGATAGGGTCTCATTTTTTGCCCAGGCTGGCTTGGAGTAGCAATACTCCCGATCTCTGTCTCCAAGTAGCTAAGACTACAGGTGTGAATGAACACACCCAGTTCATCACTGACTTTATTTTTAACTTCTAAAAGTTTCCACATCTTGGGGTTGAGGATGTAGCCCAGTGGTTGTTTGCCTAGTATGTACAATGCCCTGGGTTTGATCCCTAGTACCACAAAAATAAATAAATAAATAAAAGTTTCTACATCTTGTAAGACTCATTTCTCTCCTGAAGCCTTTTTTAAGTTTATTCATTCTTGGGCATTCAGCTTTGAGAGTCAGTAATTGAAGAAGTGTGAGTCCAAGTGGGGAGGGGCTGGAAGCCAGGAGTATAGGATGGGAACTAAAATAGCTGGAGATGCCCAGCTTGGAGGACAGAAGACTTAGGAGTTTCTGTAGGGCTGTTCTGGGGGGTGGTTCTTCATGTAGCCAGTTGGGAAAAACAATTACATGACAGATGTTGGCACACCACAAGGAAAACCATCTCTACAACCATAGTTCAGTGGTAGAGCAATGGCCTATTATGTGCAAGGCCCTGGGTTTGATTGCCAGCACTGGAAAAAAAAAACAAAACAACTCACTCATAGGAAAACTTTGAGTTAACCTTACTGGCTGGAGAATTAGTGAGGATCCCTTGGAAAAGGTCAGTGATTGAGTTGGGCCTTGAGGAAGAGAGGGACTTGATTGATCAACAGGACCAGGAAAAACTTTCTAAGTGGGGAGGATACAGCAGCATTGGGGGAGGGGAGATTGAGGCAAGCACAATATTATGTATGGGATTGTGATGAAATTACTAGCTAACATTTAATGACTCTGCAATGCAGGTAGGTATGTTAAGTAACTGCTTATGTACCTTGTCTTATTTAGTCCTTAGCAATTCAATCATATAGGTATGTTTTTATCCCCTTTTGTAGGGATAAAGTTAGATGGGCTTTTTCAAGAGCTGGTGAACTTCCCACCTGTGAGAGTGTTCTGGCAGATGCTAGATACTTGTGTTAAAATGGTTGGACTATACAACCTGTGGGGCTTTGTCCACTCTAGACTTCTTTGTCTGGGCTTGGAAAGATTTTAAAGTTTCCTCCTTAGTAAGTCATCTACTTGGGCTAGGTTTGACATTTCACTAGGCTCCTCTTTAGAGTATTGTTATTTGATTTTGTTCTTTTTTCCAGGTACTTTTGGAAGGGAGAAATAGAAGAAGCCACTGAGATCTTGTTGGTAAGTGAGGATGGGGCAAAGGAGGTCTTACTCATGCAGAGAATGAGTAAGACAAAGGCCTTTTCCTGGGTTCCAACTGAAAATTAGCAAAGATCAGGCTCAGTTGTTAGAGAGCTTACTTAGCATGTGTGAGGCCTCAGATTCTATCCCCAGTAACAACAACAACAAAAAAAGCAATGATGAACTGATTGAGGTTCTTGCTCCGTCTAAGATCTAAGATGCCCAAGGCTGATTTGTGAACTAGCAACATGGCCTATTGACCTAGGAGGAGTAATGTCTCCTTAATGGCCAGTTGAATGAGTAGGGGCAGGGCTGGGGCTCAGGTCCAAAGGCAGTAATTAGTTTTTTCTTTCTGTTACAGTTAATAAAGACAAAGACTTCCAAGGTCCTCATGCTGTCCAGCTATATCAGGTAAAGCTGACATGTTTTCTTGTTAATTACCACAGGGCTAGCCAGAGACATTCTGGGGACCAAATGAATGAGCTTGGCAAGCAGGCGAGCTGGAGCCTAACCACAACCTCCCATATGACTCTGGGCAAGTCCCTGTCCCTCTCTGAGCCTCCGATTCTCCATCTGTAAAATGGAGAGCTAGGGTGAGATAGCTTAAGCTAATGGGTCTTAAAATACTGGTCTCAGGACTTCTTCACACTTTTAAAAATTGAGACCCAAAGAGCATGCTGGTACACATCTCCAATCTCAGCTACTTGGGAAGCAAGGGCAGGAGGATCTCAAGTTCAAGGCCAGCCTGGACAAAGTTAGGGAGACTCTTATCTCAAAAACAAAATTACAATCAAAAGGGTGGAGGGAGTGGGAATGGCTCAAGTGGTGGTTTACCTAGCCCAAATGAGACCCTCAGTTCAGCAAAAAAAATTTTTTTAGTTCATTTAAGATAAAAATAACAAAAACATTGCATATTAATAACAAATAATGTATTTTTATAGAAGCTAATTCTATTTTCCAAAACCAAAAAGTAATTAATGAGAAAAATGACTTCATTTTATATTTTTTCCAAGTTTTGGCTTAATAAGATATCTTGGTCTCTTCAGAAGCATCTTGGGATAATTTTAAGCTTAAGATAACAAATTCAAGTTTTCCAAAATTCTAATTTTTGTTTAAAAAATGAATTTTATCATTGGCAATAAGAAAGTTGTCTTTTTTTGTTTTTTAAATGTTGGGGATCTAACTCAGGGCTTCATACATGCTAGGCAAGTACTCTACCAATGAGCTATACCCCAACCCCTAAATTGTTTGTGTGTGTGTGTGTGTGTGTGTGTGTGTGTGTGTGTGTGTGTTTGGTGGTACTGGGGCCAACTGCTTGCTAGGCAAGTGCTGTACCACTTGAGCCATGCTGCCAGCCCTAAGTTGTCTTCATTTGAGAGATGGGCTCAGTTCATATTTGAAAAAATGTCTACTTAATGCTCAAGTCTGAGTAACTATAATTTGCAAATACGGCTTATTCAGGCTTGAAAATAAAAATGTTCTGCTAAAAAAACAAGTTTGTGACAATTATTGAACTTTGATATACAGAAGTTCTTTGTGTATACTTCTGATTTTGCCACAAAGAATATTAAAAAGACATGTATATGCTCAAGGGTTGAAATTTAATAAAATTGGCAATTTTTATCACTTCAAAGATGCTAAGTGAAACTTTTTAAAAATACAAGCATGTAGCAGCAAAGAATACAGCGACAGTAAGTGCAGTATGGTACCACTGCCTTGACTCATGCTGAGGTGCCGGTAGTTTTACCATCACTGCTTTCACACCAGCAGTGCAAATGTCAATGTAGTTAACAAGATAAATGACAAATTAGTGTTACTATGAAAACCTTTTGACCTTATGGGCTCCATGAAAGCATCTTGGAGATCTCCAGAGGTTATTGAACCTCACTTAGAGGACCACTTGTAAACCTTTGTCATTCAAAGTATGAGTTTTGAAATTGGTATCACTGGGAGTTAACTAGCAATGTAGAATTTATTGCTCACTCCAGATCAAGTCAAGCTACATTTTACACAGATCCCCAGTGCTTCCTGTGCATATTAACACTTTAGAAGTTCTGGTATAAACCAGTGGTTCTCAATGCTGGCTATGTATCAGATTACTTGGAGACATTTTTTTAAACTACCAATTTAGGCCCTACCTCACAGATTCTGACTTAATTTATTTGGGTTGGGGATCAAGTACGTTATTCTTTAAAAGCACCCCACATTGACTAATATGCAGCCAGGGCTGCAAACCACCTATATTGATGATAAAACTTTTCCTTTATGTCTTAGAAAACTAAGAATCTATTAATATATGGCTGTTGCTAAGTATCAAATCTAGCTGTAGAAGGCCCTGATGTTACCACCTCAGCAAAAGTGAGGGAATAAGGCACCTTTGGTAGAACCAGCACCATCAAGAAATTACAACTTAACTGGTGAGGGACAGCTTCCAGGTTAAGAGAGAACTCCAGAGCTTGACCTCCTGTATCAAAATGTGGTACTTCACTAGCTAGTTGTATCCTGCTTCTTGCAAAATACTAATATTTTTGTGCCTCAGTTATCATATCTGTAAAATGGGATCACACTATTGAGTTGTTATGCATATTGGAATTAATATGTGAAGTATAGATGTGAAGTGCTTTAATGCTTTATCTTACTAAATGTTAAACATTGCATTCTTTGAATTCTGCATGTCTACTTGTGAAAAATACACAGGCCTAGGTGTCCCTGAAATAAGCTACTCAAAATCATTATCTTCAACCACTGGATAAAATTACCCAGTGTTTAAGCACCTATACACATACATTGTGATTGGTTAAACATGTTATCTCAAGAGAACTTTGAAGTACTTCATTTAGCAGAAAGGAAGCAGAAAATTATTACCCTCATTTGATAGATGGGAAACTGAAATCCAAGCACTCATGTTTCTTCAGTCTTGAAAGTGAAGAGAACTTCCATTATGTGACAAGGGCCAGGTGAAACAAGAGAAAAGGGAGAGGGTCCTGTGGGTTAGGGGTCACTGAGGATCCCTTGGAAAAGGTCATTGATTGAGTTGGGCCTTGAGGGAGAAAAGGGGATTTGATTGATCAACAGGAGAAAAGAGAACTTTCTAGGTGGGGGGAGGAATCAGAGGCACTAAGGGAGAGGAGACTAGAGAAGGCACAGTGAATGAATGGGGTTGTGATGAAAACAGTACCTAACATTTAATGAGTATGTGCTTTATATATTTTTATGTCCCTTGTCTTATTTAGTACTCAGTAATCCAATCATGTAGAGACATTTTTATCCTCTTGTATAAGAGAAAAGTGACTTATCCATAGTCACATAGCCAATAAGGGCAGTCTTAGAATTTGAACCCGTGTCTCTTAAGACTCTAAACCCAACTCACCACCTGTTAACAGATGGGAAACCTGGCTCAAGAGTGGTGGCCAAGGTACTGGCCAATGAGCTATAGCAGGTGGCAGAGGGCCTCTAGTGAAGCTGGCTGCTTGGTTTTGTTGCCTGGGTTAATTCTACCATAGTCACTTGCAGGGGTTTTTTTGCTTTTCAAAGGTTGGTGCATCCGTTTGAAATCCCAGAAGTCTTCAGTCTTCCCATGGACCAAGGAGATGTGCACTATTTCAAGTGGCTTGAGGAGGGCATGGAGGAAGACTGAGTGGGAGAAGCTTCTTGTGATGCTGCCAGCTGCCTCTAGCCTTCATCATCTGTGCTCTGGGGAAGAGCAGGCCTCCTTCTGTCTCCCAGCTTCTGTGGATGCTATATTCCCATTAGCACAGTGGCACTAATTGACCTATGCAAGCTGGAGGTCCAAATTTCCCAAGGCTGAAAAAGAAGGCTAGGCCAGATGGGCCAGCAAGAACCCAATGGAACTTGTCTTTGAGTGCTATGTGTTTAAAGGTGGCCAGAGGGTAGGTGTGGATGGTTGGGTGTAGGGCCTAAGGGGAGGAGGAAGTGAGGGTGAAGTTTGTCATCTTTATAGTCACTGGGCCTAGCTTCAGTGCCTAGAGTGTAATTTCTCCCCTGCTTTTCAAGGGAAGGAATAGAGACAATGACCTTGTTCACCCGGAAGTCTGTGGGATGAATACCTCTTTCCAGAGGGACTGGCAAGTGCTCTATTCAAAAGGATGACTTGGTATTGTGGAATGTCAGGGATCAGCAGGATTTTCTTTTTCTTTTCTTTTTTTTTTTGTAGTTAAAGAGGCTTTTGTTGCTCCTGAGTCTCTAGGAGGTGGTACTGGGAATGTGTTTTTTGAGCACATGCTTGACTGGGGGGTATCAGGGCTTAGAACACAGCCTTGTGAGTTGAGAGTATGTCTTGACTGTTTTCTGGCCTTAATGTAACAGACACTCAAAGGTTCTGGTGCCTTGCTCAGTGGCAATACAGATCTTGAGTCCTGGAACCAGCTAGACCAGTGCTTTTTGTGTGTCTGTGTGTGTGTTTTCTACACAGAGCCCTGGGGTTGACACAAGGCTCCACCCACATTCCTGCCAGTTCACTGTTTTCACTTTTAGGTGCTGAACTTCTTTGTAAGATTTGGGGGATTTTTGAAAGTTTTCTTTGTCAAAAGTTTTCTTTGTCAAAAATTTGTAAACCATTTTGTTGAGCCAGTCTCCATTTTATGGATTACTGAGGAAAACTGAACAGCATGACATTCAGAAGGGGGTAGAATGTTGAATTATGCATGGTACAGCCATGCTGCTCATAGTTTCTGGGGCTCTCCTATACTTCCACCACAGTGTCTGATGAAGAGCAGGGGATACTGAGACCCAGGTGGTGGGAAGAAGAGATTTGACCTAGGTTCCCTCCGAGAATTTGTCACAAGGTAACTCCATTCTGGGAGGACTATGGACAGTTGGGTTAAGGATCCACAGACAGCTGTGATATCCTGATCTCTCCTAGAGGAAGGGGTGAGTGAGTGAGGTTCTGATACTTGCTGTGCTTCTTTCACTTTAGTGCTCCCAAGTATCAAGCAGGGGAGGATCTCCAAGGGCCCAACTGTGAGGAACTTATAAGACCTGCAGGCTGAGGTCCTTCCAAAGGTCCAGAGGGTGCCAGCAGTGATTTTGAGGGCTGCCTGAGGAGAGGAACAGAATGCTAATGATGATGTCTCTTGCTTTTTACAGTAGATCAGTTTCTGACACATATGCAAATACTATGTAAAGTAAACCCTACTTAAAATGTACTGAGGTTCCCAGATGGACTACGGTTTTTCTTTTAGGCTTGTATCTTGAGGAAGTCTGGCTTCATAACCTTGCTCCCCTTGCCTTTCCCATTATCACCCTTGTCTCTGCTGTGCCAGGTAATGTTACTTCTTTGCTCACACTGTCCCTTCTGTCTGGAGTGTCCTTCTGCCTGAATGCTTATGACTCTGGGGCTGCTGCTTTGTAAGACCTGGCTCCACAGCTGGAAGTTCTCTCTTCTGCCTTGGTGTTCTGCCTGCCTTTGTGTGTCACAGTCAGGGGCATATCTGAATCTATTACATCTCTTGCACAAGGTTTGGCGAATATTCCCCCAAATTGATGTTTCAAGGATTTAAATAACCAAAGTTTTCTCTACAGTAAAGTGTGGAATCAACAAGATTCAACTTTTTTCCTTTGTTGCAGGCAGGTGGCGAGGGTCCTTGCCTTCACTAGCCAAAGAATTGGCCAGTGAGACAGCAAACTGACTCACAAGACCACAAGGTCAGCAAACAAGTAGGATTTATTAGACAGGAAGGAAAAGCTGCCCTTAGAGATAGACAGAGAGCCCAGAAAGTCGGTTGCTCCCTGCCATTTACAGAGGGGGTTTTTTATTTGGTCCTTTTTGTTGGGGAGGAGAGTTAGGAGTCAGGGGTGGAATGGCCTTTTGAAATATCTTTGTGGAGTGGGGGAAAGGGAGGTGGCGGAGTGGGTGATAAGGGAGGGGTAGGGGCAGGGGGGAGAGATGATCCAAGTGTTGTATGCACATATAAATAATAAAATAATTTAAAAAAAAAGAAATATCTTTGTAGAAACACACTGTTGGGGAGGGGAGGTGTAGGAGTCAGGAGTAGAGTGGTTTCTTAACATATACACAGGAACATATACAGTTTTGTGAAAGCCTCCTGCTAATCAGCCTTGTGGCATTGTGAGGCATCCGCAGGGGGCCATAAGTTGTGAAACCACATGTCCCTTTACAGGATGTAGGGCTCACAGTGCTCTCATGGGGGATGGGGGTACTGGCTCATTTTTGTCTTCTGATCCCCCAGACCCAACACCTTGAGCTTTCTTAAAGTTGGACTAATTCCAAAGGAGATTTTTTTTCCTGTGGCCTTCACTGGTTCATTTTCTGTGCTGTATATGTTATCAGAAAACTTTCTTGGTGGCCTGCTTTGGATTCAGTGTCAAGAGTTGACTAGTACAGAGAATGGGAGAGGAGAGGGACATTTATTAAGCATTAGCTCTGTCAGCCAGGTACTAGCTTCTAAACATTCTTATCCTTAAAAGTTATTCTTACTTGTTATCCTCATTTGGCAGACCTGAGATCAGAGGGCATAAGACACTTCAAGTAAGTGGAGAGCCAGGATGTGAGCCTGAGTCTCTGATTCTAAATGTAATGCTCTTACTGCCTTGCATTCAGAGAGGCTGGAGAAGTCCCTGTGAAGGCCACAGACCCAGACAACCTGCTGCAGCCAGCTCTAAAAAGTTACTGGTTCTGAAACATGTCTGTCAGTTGGCTGGCACTTACACATATATTCATTGTTTACTCCTCACCAGGTCTGAAGGTTGGTGATCCATCCTACAGATGAAGGAACAGATTAGAGAAATTCAGTGACATTTAAGGTCAGTGTAACTCCAGTCTGCATAGTGCAGCTACCACCCCACACTACCCTTCCACAGTGATGCCATAGCAGCCAGGGCTAGGTCCTGGACCTTTATGTGGGAATTCCTTTCCAGCATTTCTTAGAAAATCTATGTTTTTGATCCCAAATCCCTAGAAAAATTAGTTGAGGAAATGAGGCAAAGTGTCATGATAATCTTGTGAATACTAAAGCTTGCTAGTATAGACACTTTACTGGTTTTAAAGAATCACCTTCATCAAGCAAAAGCAAAGCAGGAAACACTAGGCATGCTGAATTGAAGAGGGAGCTGAGACAGGCGCACATAAAGGGGAAATAGTTCATACGATGAGCCCGTCTTATTTTTGGTTGTTGCCATGTTAGAAGTGTGTCTATCCCTGTGTGCTGCTCTCAGTTTTTCTTGTAAATAAAATTTTATATTCATGGTAGACTTTATACAAACTACATGAATGATGTTCTAAGAAATAAACTTTGGAAGCAAAATAAACTCTTGAGTTGGCAATTTGGACACATGGTTGATTTTATGTACTATTAATTTTTTTTTTAGAATATTCTATTATTTGGATACTATCCTATAAATGTTCCCTAGCATTTTCCAGTCTTTAAATTTTCCCTGTGGGGTATAGTCCTTTGTAAATACTACTAAGCTTAATATTTCTATTCATTAGACAAAATTTTTTCCAAGTAAATAATGAGGAAAAGAGAAAGAAATATTTTAACAATTCATTTGAACTGACCTTCACCTCATTATAGTGACCTTTTCCTACCCCTTTACATCTCCTGTTTCTCTCTCTCCAAACTGCTGTGAAGGTAACCATCCATCACATATGTGAAGGTTCCCTCCAACACCTGGGTTGCCACATGCTGCATGGTTGTCACTGGCATGTGAAGGTGAGAAGCAGAGAAACCTGACCAAGTGCTACCGGTTATAACCTGCAGAGCCAGGCTCTAAAACTCAGTTCAGATTCCAGAGTTGTGGGCTTGTGTGTACTGAGCAGTTTATATTGTATGTACTTATATACTTTAATAGGATCAATTTCTAAGTTCATTTCCCCCTTTCTCTCTGTGGTTCTCAACCAATGTGTTTTTTTGCCCCCATGGGTCAGGTACAGTACAAAAAAGTTCCACATTCTCCCAGGCAGTAAGAGCAGGCACACTGCTGAGAGAATGTTGTAGGCAGTGGCAGGGGTGGCAAAGTGGGGCCCTGCCACCCTCTTCAGCTTAACCGCCAGGAAGCCAACAGCAGAAGCCAGAGCCAGTCCCTTCTGCTGTCCACTAGCTGACTGATAATTCAGAAGGGGAAGACAGGTGAGTTTTCGAAAGGAACTTAGCCAGACAACATTAATTATAACTTTAATATAACAAATGTTATTAAAAGCAGCAATTCAAAACAATGTATCTTTTAGAAGGTGCACAGGATTATAAGGTCAGTTGGCAGTAATGCAGCTGTTACCTGGTAAGAATGAAATGGGGTGGGGAGTCGGGTGACACAGTTAGGCCTGTGCTGTCTTCCCAAGTGGGAAAGGTGCCCTCCCGCCTCGCTTTCCAAGCCCAGTAGGGAGATGCAGATGTACTGTAACAGGCCTTGCTCAGTGGACTTTCTCAGAAGCCTGGAAAGCAGGCCTGCGAGCTTGCTGTGCTCACTGGAGCAGCTGGGAGTTGGCTTCTCAGCTCCCCTTCCATGTGGGCCCTGTGGGGGCTTCAGTGGCAGCAGCTGTGATGCTGAAAAAATGGGCCCAAATGCCTGATTGTCCCTTCCTGGACCATGCCAGAGAAGCAGAAGGAAGTGGGTGGGCTGTGTGCAGGAGGTGAAGTCAGGTCCCTTTGAAAGGCACTGTAGTTGCTGAGGTTTAAGGCAGGGATCATCTAACCCATCTCAGGGACCCCTGAATGCTCATAGGTGGCAGGGGGCCAGGCCAAGTCATGGAAAACTAGCTTACCAGGCCTACTGTCCACTGCTGCCTCTCACTGTTTTGTCCACCTTCGCCTTCCAGATGGCAGCCTGCAAAACTCAGCCAACCTGGAGGCCAGAGCAGCAGTTGGCAAGGCTGGTCCCAATCTGGTGTCCCCATCCCACAAGTCAAGGCACTTCTTTCCATTTTCCAATCAAGTGAGTCGTTTCTAATATTTCTGGAAGCAGCAAAAATAAGGGGTCCTCACCCCCTTCCAATTTTGTTTCTCTTCCAATGGAGCTGAGTTTGAATGTCCATTCTAAGAATTCTATTATACCTCAATGACAAAAGTCTCTATTTGAGGGTACTGAATGACTTAGATCCTTGAAAAATCCCAACTTATCCCCAAAAGTGACTGTCAGTTTCAGGGCAGGGAAGGGATATGGAGGAGAGCATGAGTCTGCTGTGCTTCCCCATAGGGCCAAAGCTGGTTCAAGTGCTGAAAGAAGTGGGCAGGAGCTGGGCTTTCACATTCAGTGCAGCACATGCCCTTGGAGAAGGCCAAGAGAAAGCCAAGGGTAGGAACCAGGCTGCCCAGAGGAAATGTGTGGTTGTGAATGTGTGTGTATATGTGTTTACACATGGTAGTATAAATGCATATGTGTTGTGAGTAGTAGGCCTGGGATTTAGCAGGTCCCCCAAGGGTTCCCAGTCCCTCCAGTATTCAATGACACCTTTTATTCTGGCAAGGCCAGGCCCAGTTCCATGTCAACTACAAAGAGCTATGGCTGGGAACAGGCAAACTTACGGGACCTCCAGAGCTGAGGTCAGCAGCCTTCCCTCTCAGCCTCAATAAGGGGCCCCAGTGTTGGCTCTTTCTGGGAAGAGACCTAGCTCTTCACTCACTAGGCCTTGGGTCCCAACTCTGCCACATGGACTTTGTAGAGGCCCTCCCACCCCTCTTTCGAGGGGCAGGGAGAGGGGAAGAGTGAGACTTTACCTTCACCCCTTCTCCCTCAGGGACTTCCATTCTCATAATGTGACCCCAGGGAGGACTGACCCCCATGGGTCAGGTGTGAAGGACAACCAGTGGAGGGACAGATGTGCACATGAAAGATGTGTACACAAATGCAGCCAAAGGGGTAAGAGGTGAAGGGACGAAGAACTGGAGACAAAGAGAAACAGATTCGGGCCTCAGAAAAAGGGTCATAAGCCAGGGGGACATGAATTCAGAGGAACCAATAAACAGAGTTTGAGGGGTATGGAGTGTGTAAAGAACTGAAAAAGGGCCAGCATGTCTTAGAGACACAGGCAAAGTGTGATAAGCCTGATGAGGCCCAAGAGCAGAATTGGTCTGGCAGCAGTACTGGCAGGCCTTGGCCTTGACATGGTGGGCACACAGGCAGGGCCTTCTGCCAGGCACTTGTGACTGAACTACTTATTTCCCCCACCCCAGCATGGAGAAAATGGGGAGCCTATGGCTTCTGCCGTCCCTCCTTTGGTTTTCAGGGCTCTGAGCAGCCCCTGAAGGGTAGTCAGTAAGGGGTGGTCCCTTCCCATTCCACCAGGTACTGAACCTTGCCTTCTGGGGTGACCCTCCGAGCTAACACCTGGTACTTTTCCCCACAGGCCAAACGCCCAGCAGCGCCAAAGTAGTTAGTGATAGATGACTTGAGGTGGGATAAGGATGAGTCGTCTTCACTGATACTCTCAAATGTGTGGCTGTCAACACCTTCATCAGGCCGCTCAGGGCCAGAAGCACCCTCCACACTGCTGTCTGAGGGGCAGTGCCCACCCAGCTCAGCTGCCCGCCGCTTTGCCCACAGGGGCAGGTACGCTTTGGCTGCCAGCTTCCTCTTGCGGCTGCCCATGGTCCGTCTGCATTAGGAAGGGGAGAGGGAAATGGTGGGAATGAGATGACAGTTCCCTAGGGTCTGGGCACTCTGCCAGGCCATGGGGCATAAGTTATCTCACTGGATCCTCACAACAGCCCTGTGGGGAGGAAAACTGAGGTTCCAGAAGGGGGGAAAAAAAAAAAAAACAGCCAGGGGAGGAAGGACCAGGATTCAAGTTCAGGGCTATCCAACTCTGAAGCACATGCTCTGTATCCAGGAGTTAGGGTGGCT